GGGACTTTAAAGGGTAATTTCAAGTGATCCTGCAACGATGACAATGTCCGATTCACAACGGTATCTTTAGAAGAATGAGTGAGATATGAGTGTTTATCATTTTGAAAATTTAAATTTTAAATCCAGAAAATCAACAGTATTTTCCACATTATTAATCAGATTAAGGGGTCAAGGCACCGTTGTGATTCGGGCATTGCCATCTTTGCATGGAGGGTCACTTTAAACTACGCTTACAGTCCCTTTAAGCATACGATAGTGTAGTATAGGATATTAGAGAAGGAAGTGTAAAGTAGAAGAAAATAAAACACCATTTATACCAATCCGTTATACAAGACAGTTGTCTCAGGAACAACACATTTATATGCTAATATCATAGTTTACACAGTACAATTCCTGGCGCTTCTCAACCTTATTTTAATTAGATGAGGTTTACATGGTACAATTCCTGGTGCTTCTCAACCTTATTTTAATTACATGAGGTTTACATGGTACAATTCCTGGTGCTTCTCAACCTTATTTCAATTACATGAGGTTTACACGGTGCAATTCCTGGTGCTTCTCAAACTTACTTTAATTACATGAGGTTTACACGGTACAATTTCTGGTGCTTCTCAACCTTATTTTAATTACATGAGGTTTACACTGTACAATTCCTGGTGCTTCTCAACCTTATTTCAATTACATGAGGTTTACATGGAACAATTCCTGGCGCTTCTCAACCTTATTTTAATTACATGAGATTTACAGGGTACAATTACAAATGGTTTACATGGTACAATTCTTGGTCCTTCTCAACCTTATTTCAATTACATGAGGTTTACACTGTACAATTCTTGGTGCTTCTCAACCTTATTTTAATTACATGAGGTTTACACGGTGCAATTCCTGGTGCTTCTCAAACTTACTTTAATTACATGAGGTTTACACGGTACAATTCTTGGTGCTTCTCAACCTTAATTTAATAACATGAGGTTTTCACGGTACAACCTTATTTTAAGTGATCTTTTTTATTACTTAATTTTATGTTTTACCCAAGAAAATCAGCACCGTTTGTAATTATTTCTTCGTCGCTTTTTGTAACATTACCATTACAGGGTCTCGTTGGAACAAGGGATTTAAGTGCAATATCGAGATTTAATGAAAATTAACTTCACAAATTTCTAAAAATGTCCTCTCCTGTTCTCCATCAGTCCAAAATAATACAATTATTGCTTTTATCTGCCACAGTTGGGGTAATTAAGGTGCCCGTATATAAATGTTTGGAGTTTGGTCCATTTTTGGTCTCATTGGTACAACAAGTGTGTACGGTACAACAAGTGTGTACGGTACAACAAGTGTGTACGGTGCAATCTCAAAAGTGTTTTTACCATTTCGACACAATGTTAGACATCAAAAGTGTTATTATGACACTTGTCAATATTCATGTATTTTGATTGGAAAAAAATAATGTTTCAAATAAATATTGATTGTTTGAAAATTTGAATGAAATATACCATTACCTACCACATTTAAAAGGAAATAGCTTTTTTGTTGCGTTCTTTCCCTTTTGGAATACATTTTATAGACTAACTACGCATTTAATTATGCTAATTAATAATTCTAAATTTTTTAACATTGCTTATAATGTCTAAAATTGTGTTGAAATGGTAAAATCTGATAGTGGAGATAAAATGTCGCAACATTGCGAAATATGAAACTTTTCATGTACTTTTCATGTACTTTTCATGTACTTTTCATGTACTTTTCATGTACTAGCCGCAGCGCCTTGCTGTAGTGCTTAGGCTGCGTCACCTCAGATATTATTTTGACCATCAGTTGTCAGACACATAACACAGTGTAAATTGTAATTAGACTACAAGGTTATTTTATTTATATTAGCGTACTTAATATTTTTTTTAGATTAGTAATGTTTATCAATCAGTAAATATATTTATTTTCAAAGGGCTCAGTTAGATTTTATAAAGTTACACTTCATATATTTACACTTGCTGTGATTACATTTGAAATAATTATCATAGTTTTGATTTTTTTTCTCAAAACGATCCTTTTCCGTTTTGGATGACCATTTTTGGAATCATTTTGCTTTTAAAACTAAGCACTTTTTTTTTTTAAACGGAAAACAATTTAAAAATTGTTTAGAAAAACCTCGAACGATTTTCAAATTTAAAACGGTAAACAAAAACTTTGAAAACAAAAAAAAGTTGAGTCTGACAGTGGTCTTCCTTTATTCAACAATGTTCTTGTTCCTGAAGATTTGTATTCTTTATTAACTTCCATTAATAAGTTCAAATCAAAAACCATTTGAAATGCTCATAATTTCTCAGTGGCAATAAAGAACCAACTGTTAACCCTATCCCTGCTGGGGTACTTGAAAACCAGGATATGCTGGGGGGGGGGGGGTAATTTAACCCCCCCCTCTAAATCCCATTTCTGAGGTCCCAATATGACAAATGTTACATTATTGGAAAGCTCTTGTGCTCTACTTTTAGAATCTGCAAAAAAATTTGCAAATTTGCAAAAATTGAATTTTTTATCGCAAAATCCAGTTATATAGTAAAAATGTTTGCAAAAAAAAAATTGTCCAAAAAATGAAAAATTATACATTTTTTAAAAGCCCTTGATCATGCCATTTCAAATATGCAAAACATTTTGCAAAATATTAAATAACCTGGTTTTTAATCAAGAAAAACTAAAAAATTTCAATTTTTTTTTGGCAAAACTTGTGCAATTCGTTTCCTTATGTCAAAGGCTTTCCAAAAAGCTAAATTTTATCAAAATCTGACAAGTGGAAGTGGGTCAAAACAAAGATTTAGTTTGTTACAGGAAAAAGCAGTCCTTCAGGCAGTGCGCCTAAGGATTCAGGCAGTTAGTATTAAAGCCCGGTTTTAGGCCTAAAGGGAGGGCTTTGGGTATGTAGTAAAAGTCAGAAAATTTCAACAGCCTCAGACCAATACTTTTTGAGTTATGTAAAAAAAAACTACAGGGGGGGGGGTCAATTTGACCCCCCCACTGTAGTTCCAGCAGGAATAGGGTTAAGGTGTAAACTGATAAATTGTAAAACTGTCAACTGGCAAATTGCCACCTGACAAAATTGTCAACTGGCAAATTGTCAACTGGCCAAATTGTCAACTGCCAAAATTGTCAACTGGCAAATTGTCAACTGATAAAATTGTCAAGTGACAAATTGTCAACTGGCCAAATTGTCTTGTGGAAAATTGTCAACTGGCAAAATGGTCAACTGGTAAAATCATTAACTGACAAAATTGTCACCTGGCAAAGTTACCTGGCAAAGTTTACCTGGCAAAGTCTACCTGGCGAAGTTTACCTGGCAAAATTTACCTGGCAAAATTTACCTGGCAAAATTTACCTGGCAAAATGGTTACCTGGCAACTTTGTCACATGAATTTACGCCAAAAGAATCATTAAGCTCGAAAGTTCTGTGGAGATTAGAGTATTTTGAAAATATATTATACCATCTCAGGGCCTTAAAAAAGAATACCTAAAAAACCTTTCTGTTAATTGTTAACCTATAAAATTGAACTAGTATCACCTAGATCAACTACTTTTATTATTAAGGGAAATTGATTTGAAATATTTAATTTCAAATTAGGAGCTTCATTTAGAGCTTTAGAAATGTGTCACATGTTTTTGGTTTTGCTTTGGAATAAAGCCACCAACACTATTTTGAATCCTCCATTATCCTCAGCAAATAATCATTATTTGACTAAAGTAAGTACTTGGTTTTATGGATTTTCTATATATACGGCTGGGCAGGGTTACGCCAAAGTAAACTGTTTCCACTAACATTTTCGTTTCTTTTATAAATCAAGCTGGCAACTTTTAAATTACTTGAATTACTTTAAACCATAATTAGTTGAGAAACTCAGTTTGAAATTATACTTTTAAGGAGTCTTGAATGTGTACGTTCAAAATCTATAGTACTTCCTTTCAGGTATCTTACAACAAATACACAAACAAAATTGTCAGCAGATGTATTTTTCATCCCATTATTTTCATTGAAAAAAATTGCCACACCACTTTACGGCTTACATTGTGCATTACTAAGTAAACACTAAAATTCTGAGTGTATTTAATTGAACAGTTGAAAACTGCTCGCATTCACTCTCTTGCCGCCAACCTACAAAGAACCCACACAAGAAAATATGCAATTCTTAAAATTTCTTTTAAGTATCCGAGCAGCACCGTTGTTCAAAGATAAAAATGGAGTCTGGAAATTTAAGATGGCCACAATGACCACCATTGTCACTTACTTAATATGGTGCGTTATCTCAGTAACTGCATTTTTCACGAGTTACACTATCCTTTACAACAATGGAGCCTTGGATCATATTAAGCTAACCTCAATCCTTGGAATAGGGACCTTGGCCAGTCTAGTAAACTATGCCATATTGCCAATTTTATTTCCATATTTGATGGCAATCTTGATCGAAAAGTCTGGAGTGTTAGAACAAGACAAGATGATACAGATTACTACCAAGAAGACACTTATTATTGTCATAATCATTTGCCACGTGTTATTCTTTCCCTTACAGCTTTATGAATATTCCAAAGCTAAAGACTTTAACATTATTTGTGTCCTGTTAACAGTCTGTATTGTTCTGGTTATATTTCTTATGAGTTCCAACTTGATGGTAATCAATATAATCTTCAACAACTTTATTGAAGAAGCCAAGGAGATGAATAAAGAAGGGCCTGCCACAGTAATGATTGCTTCAGCCTTCAAGCAGGTGTTTAAGCTGAGAAGGATGAAAGAAGGCATGAATCTTCAATTGTTTACATTGATCCCAATAAATGGAGTCTTTTCAGGCAAGTAAAAAAAAGCTAATTAAAGATAGGATTGTCTAAACCTTGAACTCTGAAAACCTAGAAAAAGAGCAAAAGTTGAATTTTAAAATTATATGAATTTACTTCTTTGGTGTTCACTTTTTTCTTTCTTCTTTTACATATTGCAATAATGATATTCTTTTCTGTATTTCCTAAAAATTTTGAAGGTAGCTTTTTTTAGTAATTTTGGCGTATTCTGGATTTGTCTATTTGGTCAAAGGATATTATAGGATGCTATTCATAAAGCTGTGTTTGCTGTCCATCAGTATGATTTACAACTTTTATCTGACAAGCTCATGCCATGCTGCTCATCAGGCACTGTCACTTAACAATGATAACCTTAGGTAAGCAATCAAATTTGTGACTTCACAATGCAGAAAATTATTTGAAAATAATTTTTCTTCTGATTTGATCTTTAGGAGGAAGGGAATGAAAAGTGAAGAAAATGAAAAGCAACAGATTCAATCAGGTATAATATACAACAGATTTAATCAGATAATATACAACAGATTCAATCAGATAATATACAACAGATTCAATCAGGTAATATACCACTGTGATTTAATGGTCTCACACTCTCAAGCAAAAATCGTGGAGAATTTTGCCAATTACTTCTAAAAATTTAAAGCTAACAACAAGTGCTTTACAGTGCTAAAATGTATATGTAAAGGGCTACAGAAAAGCATAAGTAAGTTAGAGCGGTAAAATCTAAGCTTAGGGCGTCGCGACACATCAAAGGTCAATCCTGTCTTAAAATTGATAAGACTGTTTATAAGCAGACTGAATCTATGTGATACAACAGATTCAATCAGATAATATACAACAGATTCAGGCCCAAGTATTTGCAATTACAGTAAATGCAGGAATTAGGTATGCCAGCTTTAAAAAGGTGGCGGACAGTGGGTACAGATTATCTAGTGGCACAGGAGTCTTGGAAGTTAGGCGTACTTTTCAAATTACATTTTCTTGTATAGTTCCTTTCGCTGTAGATATGGAGGTCAGCTTTATTAATCATATATTTTAGTTCTTGACATGATAAGAGATGAAGAACCCTTCTCTGCCTACGGATACTTTGAAGTGAACAACTCAACCTACCTTTCAATCCTTAGTCAGACAGTTAGCTATTTAGTCATTTTGGTGTCTTTCTCGAACCTTTGAAACCACACCATACAAATCAGAGTCTAAAACTTAAGAATGCGCGAATTTTAAGTTAGAGGTTAAAAGTTCTGTAAAATAATGAGTAGCTACTTAAACCTTCTCAATTTTAAATTTGAATTTCCCGCGGAAAATCTGAACTAATCAGAGAAAAGGATTTACGGAGAATTTTTACATAACTATCGGTAATCAGCTGTTTTTTTTTTAATTTTAAAATATATACGTAACGGAAAACAAAACACATTTCCAGTTACAACCGTAATTTGGGTTTAAGTCCAAACATTAAATAATCTAAAACGTGAAATTTATTAAATCAAGGTTTTTACTTTTAAATATATTGTAATTAGTTAAATGCCACTTACCGCTGAATAGACAAATAGGGATTGCGGGATTTCAAGGTTAAAGTTCAGGTTTAAATTAAGTCAGAAGTGACATTTAACCATGAACTTAAAATTTAAGTCAAAACTTTTTGTTCTTTAGTTTTGGACTCAGGAGTGTATAATTTTCCAGCGTTTTGATTTTTCAAATTTTAATTTCATTTCCACAGTAACATTAACAACCTTTATCAATTTCCTTTCTTAAGTTATTAATATAAATGTTTGTATTAACTGAACAAATGTAACATGTTGGAGATAAACTGATGCCTGATACGAGTTTACAGTCATGTATGTGCACAAAGATTGCGAAATTATCTGCAAAAGATTGCGAAATTATCTGCAAAAGATGGCGAAATTATCTGCAAAAGATGGCGAAATTATCTGCAAAAGATGGCGAAATTATCTGCAAAAGATGGCGAAATTATCTACAAAAGATTGCGAAATTATCTGCAAAAGATGGCGAAATTGTCTGCAAAAGATGGCGAAATTGTCCGCATAAAACTGTCAGATCGAATATTTCAACATTTTTTTCTAACCTAATCCTTGGAACACTGCAACCACCAGAATTCTGTACAAAAATATTCAAAAGATTTTCTTTAAGAATTTTGCAAGCTTGCAAAAAAAAAAACAATTGAAATCGCACTAACAGAATTCCTATTCAGTTTTGCGATGAAAATATTCAGCATAATCTTTAGATTTTTTAAAAACTTGCTGTTAAAATAAATTCAGAATTCACAGCATAATATTTTTCATTTCCTTTAAACATGAATTAGCTTTAAAATTTTTTAGGGATATTTGCTAAAATGAATATTTAATAAGTATTACTGTCAAATTCCTTTATAAAACATTTTTCTATTTATGGATTGTTTATTAGGATTAGAAACATATATTTCATTAATTTATGTATAAGATAATACAGGATTACAACTAATCTCACCGCTCATTGATGTTGCTGAGAGCTAGAATAATATTCTGAGGCTTCTTTGACCAATAAGATTTTTTAAAGTGTTTTTCTTAAATTCAGGAGTGAAGAATTATCTGTATTTTCAATTTAATATAATTTCTTTGAAGTTAATATTTGAAACTACATAAAAGGAATTGAGACTTTCCTCCAAATCTCTAATTTCTAATCCGTGAATTTTTGCAACACAATGTCGTAGTTCGAAGGCCCCGGATATTTCAAACTACTAATTCTGTTAGATCAAATCTCGTTTTGAAATTTCAAAGGATTATATCATCAGGTTGCAATGATATAAGGATTTATAGAAAATTTTAATCTGTGTCAAAGACTCAATTTATTTTTATAAAGGAAACAAACGTGCATTTTCCAATCCCTATATCTTTGCATTCTGATGTTGTAAGCCTGTGATATTTAAAACTTAGATTACTTGATATATCAGAATTTATAGTTTGAAATATCTAAGGTTTACGACATAGGTTTGCAAAGATATACGAATAAAAAAATCACAGTTTGTCGCAAAGACTCAATTCCTTTTCTCAAAATAAAAGAGTTAGCCAGTTTAAAGTAACAATAAAGAATAGAAATAAATTTCTGTTTTTACAGGAGGGTTACACAGCAGGGTTCTATTGAAAGTTGTACACTTGTATAAACATGTAAAATCTATATTCCTCAATATCAAATCTGAATAAAAATAACAATTTTTTTTTTTTAAATATTTAACGGTAAAATATAACAATATATACGTTTACTTTAATTATTGATATATATAAATAATACATATAGAAAAGAAGTATGTATAAAGATTGACAATACTAAAAAGTATTATTTAAATAAAGTTTCCAATGAATATTTAAAAAAAAGAAGAGAAAGCAGCAGGGAACAATCAGTGTTTAAAAAGTTTAAAACGTCTCATCCTTTGTGGTTAACCCTGTATTTTGAAGTTTAAGGAATATTTTAAAATAAATGTAAAAACATGAAATTAGATTTGAGAGATTGCAAGAAGAACCATCGTGAGCTCCTGAAAGTATTAAAATGTTTATTTTAAATTTAAATAAATGTTGTTTCGAATTTTACCTTTTTTGAAACTCTTCCATCCCTGTTAGTGTCACATCCTTTCATTATAGTGTCGTAGAAATCACTTATATCAGTGCAATCATAATCCTACAATACATAATCCTACAATATATAATCCTTCAATATATAATTCTACAACATATAAATCCTGCAATATATAATCCTTCAATATGTAATCCTACAATATTTAATCCTACAATATATAATCCTACAATATACATAGTCCTACAATATATAATCCTACAATATATAATCATACAATATATAATCCTACAATGTATAAGCCTACAATATATATAATCCTATAATTCATAACCTACAATATATAAACCTGCAATATAGAATCCTACATTATATAATCATACAATATATAATCCTACAATATATAATCCTACAATATATAATCCTACATTATATAATCATACAATATATAATCATACAATATATAATCCTACATTATATAATCCTGCAATATAGAATCCTACATTATATAATCCTAAAAAATATAATCCTACAATATATAATCCTACAATATATAATTCTACAAAATATAATCCTAAAATATATAATTCACACAATATATAATCCATACAATCCACATATCAGCCTACAATATATTTATTTCAATTTAAAGGAGATCAATTACCCCCAACATTTAAAAAAGATTTTAAATTATCAAAAAATATCAGACACGCAAATGTTAGAAACAGAAATGATTTTTATATTCCTAGAATAAAATCTATTAAAATTGGACTGCTCCCCTCTCACAAGTTCCCTAAAATATGGTATGAAAATAAACGACACTTTTCTAAACTTTCAAATATCAATCTTATTTCGAATTTTTAAACAGAATTCAATGGAAGATTTTATCTTTTAAAAAGATGCTTAAAAATGCTCGTTTTCCATAGAACCTCTCTTTCACATTCCATAAAACTTTTCTTGCTTCTTTTTCAACATTACAAATAAATCTATAATTTTTATTCCTGAAGTTGTTAGTTGATTGTAGAAAACTACTAATACATAATTCTACAATAATAAAATAGAAAATAAAAGATAAAAATTAAGGAAACCTTTTTTATAAGTTCCAGCATATCCTTTAGAAATCCTGTCAGCTCGTCATTCTCTATATACCCGTTACAATCCTAGGAACATCCATAGATTATATATATATTTTTTGTCTAATTCATGCATCTAACAAACATCAAAATTGGCAGTTTTGGTCTACACCAACTCTTGTTTCAGTTCTCTTTCATCGATCCGTCCTACTCCATAGCCAATTCAAGTTTCATACAGTTTTAAGATGGGTTTGAACTAGTGGTATTGAAATAGTATTTAGTTAAATTTTATAATTTACAAGAGCAAAGAGAGTTAGATACTCAAAGATTTTCAATTTGTTAGAATAATTTGTAGATATTGTTTATGCAAACGATGCAATAACAGTCTAATTCTAACAGATAAATATCCTAATTCATTCAAGATTTCTAATATTAAAGAGGAAAAAAACTGAAAAAGTTTTTCATTTGTTTTCTTGTCAACTCTGTTTTATATACTTCTATACTAATATTGGATGGTAGAGCAATAAGATGAGTTTTTGATTTTTATTTCTTTGGTTTATTCAACAGTTAATAAAACTAAGAGCTTAATCTATATTTCAGGATCTAGCTAGTACTTTTAGTATTTTTAGTAAGTGGTATATTATGTTACTTATGTATGTTATGAGAATAATATAAAAATCCAGTTAAAATAAAAAGGAATTTAGAAAAGAAATAAATTCGTGGTTTTTATGATGCACATTTTCGTAATTTATTCAATAAAGATAAAAAGATTTCAAAGAATTAACATTTTTTATTGGATTTTTTACAATTTACAAAAATAATTCTTGGCTGGGTTTCTTCTGCAGAACTTTTGTGTTTGATATTCATAATCCCGATCGCTTGATCTCGATATCCACTGTGGGGACTTTTAATTTAAGGATCTATAAAAACTTTTTTTTCTTTCCATATCTTTATTTCAGTTATTCCTCTCCTGATCAAAGCTCCCTTCAACCCCTGACTGGGTAGGATTACCATGTAAGTTATCGACTAAAGATTAAATTAATCTGCAGATTAACAAATATTCACAATACAAAAGTTCCCAGCTCTGAATAATATTTTCACAATGAAAAAGTTTTACTTTACGGGATTTATTGTTTAAATATAAAAAGTCAGATCCCACAGAAAATTTGTCCTGAGCTAAAACTCTTGTATTATGGATATCTAAATCAATGATGGATGTCCTCTTTTTGTCAATCTGCAGATTAATTTAATCTTTCTTTTTGATATCCAAGAGAGTGTGTAAATTTCAACCATCAGAGTGTTGTTTGCAGAAACCGAGCAGCCAATCAGAAGCCAGGAAATTTTACGCGCAACCAATGAGAGAACAAGTTACTAACTTTTCTGCTCTCTGATTGGTCGGAACCCAGTAGGTATATCAAAAAAAGAGGTTTGAGCTAAAAAAATTAAAGTTTTAACAGTTAATATTAAGATTAAGAGATCGGTGGCCGAATTTAAAGAATTTGAGCGGCGGTTTAAATTTAAGCCGCGGTTTAAATATGGTTGGTTCCACTTAAAATTGTATCAAATGTTTAAAGATTTAAACCGCCGCTTAATTTAAACCGGTTTTTGGCGGATTTAAACCGCGGCATAAATTCTTTAAATTCCATCTCGGGATTCCCAGCTTTGATCAGTTGGAAACATTTTGATGTTTTTTTTTGTCTGAATAAACCAATAAACCCAAATAAAATATTGTATATAAATAGATATGTGTTTCTCCCCACTTCCATTTTCTCATGGATCATTATTCCGGGACTTATTGCAATTATTCCATCATTCTGGAAGATGGAATACAATACAATCCATTTATACTTTTTAGTCGCAATAATATAAAAGCAAATGAGGGAGAATGCAGAAGGGGGGGATTTAAAAACTAATTCTATTTAAAGGAAGATTTAAAGTGAATTAAAAAATTTATTTGTCTCAATTATATTTACGATCTAACTTGCTACAATTTGTTTAAATCATAATTAAAATTTAAATCAAATGCTAAAGAATAGTAATACTTACTCTATCATACAATGCGAATACATGTTCAATATCTTCTCTCGTAATTGTATTGGTTCCCTGAACAGTAAACTGTAATTGTATTGGCTCCCTGAGCAGTAAACTGTAATTGTATTGGTTCCCTGAACAGTAAACTGTAATTGTATTGGCTCCCTGAACAGTAAACTTTAATTGTATTGGTTCCCTTAACAGTAAACTGTAATTGTATTGGTTTCCTGAACAGTAAACTGTAATTGTATTGGTTCTCTGAACAGTAAACTGTAATTGTGTTGGTTCCCTGAAGAGTAAACTGTAATTGTATTGGTTTCCTTAACAGTAAACTGCAATTGTATTGGTTCCCTGAACAGTAAACTGTAATTGTATTGGTTCCCTGAACAGTAAACTGTACTTATATTGGTTCCCTAAACAGTAAACTGTAATTATATTGGTTCCCTAAACAGTAAACTCTAATTATATTGGTTCTCTGAACAGTGAAATGTAATTGTATTGGTCTCTGACGAGTAAACCGTAATTGTATTGGTTTTCTGAACAGTAAACTGTAATTGTAATGGTTCTCCGAACAGTAAACTGTAATTATATTGGTCTCTGAACAGTGAACTGTTTCAAATAATAAAATTAGTATTACAAGAATTTAAAGAAGGAGAATTTTTGCTTTAAAAAATTAAATATTTCAACTGTTAATGTATAATGTAATTAACTGAAAAATACCGTAAACATTTGACGAGTTAGAAAATTCTCTTTCACAGGCAGCAATCTTAAAAACATAGATATTAAGTCCAACTATAGTGTCTTTAGGTGTATATATTAAGTCCAACTATAGAGACTCTAGGTGTATATATTAAGTCCAACTATAGAGACTCTAGGTGTATATATTAAGTCCAGCTATAGAGACTCTAGGTGTATATATTAAGTCCAGCTATAGAGACTCTAGGTGTATATATTAAGTCCAACTATAGAGACTCTAGGTGTAGATATTAAGTCCAACTATAGAGACTCTAGGTGTAGATATTAAGTCCAACTATAGAGACTCTAGGTGTAGATATTAAGTCAGTTTCTCCACCAACTAGAAACTCTAGGTGTAGATATTAAGTCAGCAACCAACTATAGAGACTCTAGGTGTAGATATTAAGTCAGTTTCTCCACCAACTAAAGAGACTCTAGGTGTAGATATTAAGTCAGCTTCCCCACCAACTATAGAGACTCTAGGTGTAGATATTAAGTCAGTTTCTCCACCAACTAAAGAGACTCTAGGTGTAGATATTAAGTCAGCTTCCCCACCAACTATAGAGACTCTAGGTGTAGATATTAAGTCAGTTTCTCAACTATAGAGACTCTAGGTGTAGATATTAAGTCAGTTTCCCCACCAACTAAAGAGACTCTAGGTGTAGATATTAAGTCAGTTACCAACTATAGAAACTCTAGGTGTAGATATTAAGTCAGTTTCTCCACCAACTATAGAGACTCTAGGTGTACATTTAGGTGACTCTCCATTTGTAGAGTGGTGTATCCGATTTACAACAGTACCCTAGAATCGTTTAATTTATCAAGGATGACGGACTTGTTCTTATTTCTCTATCAAAACGCTTGTAATTCTTGAACACTTTGTTTGTGAGCTTTATAATATTTAAGAAATATCAATATTTACTTTTTAGAAGTCGCAGAAGAAAAATATTTTTAATTATTCTTTTAAAACTGCTCTGGACTTGAAAATATTTAGGATTTTAGAGGAGTACATGTAACGTCAGCTGTGTTGTGTTCACCTTTACATTGTTCACACTGTTCACAATCATAAACTCCAGTTTTCCGGCAATTTAAACACCATTTTAGAGATGACACACAGAGTTCTCTGCCATCGATGATCAGTCAAAGTGGGAAAATGGAAATTTTGTAAATCGGATAGTTCCTTCTATTTACAGTCCCTTTAAAATAAATCAAAATGTTTGTTTTCTTATTCTTATTTTTCTATTATATGTATAATAATGGCAAAGTTTATCTCGCATAAAATGCAGAATTAAATTTCTTATTTTTATATTTTTTTATTTCAGTATTAAAAACTAGTTTAACGTTTGCAAACAACACAACCAGTGAAGTTTTTACTCTTCTTAATCTTATTTTCTTAATTTTTACGCATTTCTTGCTTCACAAACAATGGAGAAAGGATCAGAATTAAATACTTTTTAAGCCCAAAAAACGACGGTACATTCCACATTATTGATTAAATTAAGGAGTATGAAAATTTAAACAGTTGCAACGTAGGAAATTCACATTTTTGAAAAAAGATATATCAACCCTTGTATGCTTGCATTTTTTTCTTTCTTCAGGACAAAATATTATTTATTGTCTCTTTACCCATTTTTCCATTTAAATATTCTTTGTTACGTTTTCTTGAACAGTCTCTTTAAATTCATTTGTTTACTTCTGATTTTCTCTCTCCCCTTTATTTATTAATGTGTAATGGTAAACTGATCTATAAACAGAAACTAAACTTCTCTTATTTCCAGCAGTTATTATTACATTATTACATTATGTTTTGGCAAATGATGCCAGCGTGGGGATTTTAAATGTCTGATACATTTAAAAATCTAAATCCTTGTACTCTTATACAGGGACTGTAGGCGTAATTAATCCTACATTTACACAGGGCAAGTCATATTCACGACAATACCTTTTCAGCCCTTTTTCTGATTATCGAGGACGGAACTAACCGTGTGTTTATCTCTAAAGTGATGTTCAAATTGCCAGACAAGGTGAACTAAACTGAGCTGATTTAAATATTCTTCGAAAAGCCTGAAAATTATTATTTTCTTCTACTTCTGTGAAGTAAATGTTGATATATTTCTTAAATTAAAAAAAAAAAATTTGAATCGGACACGCCTCTTCACAAAAGTAAAGTCACTTGAATTTACGCCAACAGTCTTTTTAGAAAAAGATACTGCATGCACAGACCCCTGTAAAGTGAACATTAAACAATTGTTTTGGCAAAAATAGTTTATATTCCAATTCCATAGAAGACAAGTAGTTTTAAGGTGATATTTGAAAAGTTAGAGTCGTGGAGCTAAAAATGTATTTTTTAAGGGTTAAGGAATAGATCAAGCTCTGGGATAAGACTGTAGAAGGTGAATTCTGATCAAAAACCAATGAATTTAAGAATAATTTCAAATATTTATTCTGGTTCTCCGATTGTAGCACAGTTATTGGCTTCAAAGAGCAATTCCTTGTAAGTAATGGGTTAAGAAGAGGAATTGAAGAAACGGTTCGAATGGTAATAATGGAACTCTAGAGAATATTAAAGATTTATATCTGTAATATATATTTCAAATTCTTTTTCTTTATCAGATCTTCATTTTTAATATGCTTTGTTTACTTGTATATTCTAACTGAAGTGCCCGGCGTTGCCCAGGGAATATTAAAACACTTTAAAAAAGTGTTTTTTTTTAAATTCCTTGGGCAACGCCGGGTAATTCAGCTAATTATATAGGCATTTTCCTTTGTACTTTACAACGTGAACAAAATTAAATTTTAAAGATTTTATCTCTAGGAATTTTTAGAATGAATGGAAATATGACATTGATTTTTAAACCAACGTTTTTTTCAGTGTTTAGAGGATTTTGTAATCCTATAAAGTTTAAATTAATCTCTATATTTACAAAGAACGAAAGAATAACGATTTAGTTCATTGTTTATTGATTTATAAATGCATATATCTCTGCAACCCGATGCCGTATAGACCTTTGGTAATTCAAACTATGAAATCTTAATATCAAATATAAGTCTAAGTTTAAATTATCTAAGGCTTACACCATCAGGTGGCAAAGATATATGGATTCTTAAATTTGAGTTTGAGAACTTTATACCTTTAAAACAATTTAAAAATATTTCTTTTTTTCAAATTATTCTTTCCCTATTTGACATTTTGTAAAATATAAAAACTGATAATCTTGCACTTACTGGGACATTTCAGACAGTTGGAGCTTTCCATCCTTGTTAGAGTCAAACATCTGCAGCTGTAATAAATCAAAATATATAAAAATAGATAAAATATAGTTTAGTTACCGTTTACTTATTTAGAAATATACGCCATACCCTAATATTACGTATAAGATTATTCTGAATTTAACGTTTTTTTTCTATACTTAATTTGAGTATTAGACAACAGACCAAAAGATGGATTTAATCGTTTTAAGCTTTGAGTTTTTAGCTTTTATTTGCAAGTATATATATTAGCCAAAAACGGACAGTTTCTATCGTTATCGGTCTCTGAAATATCTAGGAGCATAGAAGATAGGCTTTGATTAAAATAAAAATTCATAAATGTAATGATAAAATATTTTCAACAGAGTACAGCGCGCCCTATAAAATAAAAAAATTGCTACAAAAGACCGAAAACTAATCTATATATATCTACATTGCTTGTCTTTCTTGTCTGTTTGTTTGTATTCATCAAACGTCAAAACGCCCAAACCGATTAGGCCCACATTTTGTGTGGTACCTCGCTTGACCCCAAGGGAAGGTTTATGGATGATCAAAATTTCAAAAATTATCCTCCAATAAAATTCGATTTTCATTAAATTTTGAAAATCCTCGAACTTTTTCTTATAAAATCCGCTAAGTTTTTTTGTTTTTGTTTTACAATGTACACAGAGAGAAAATGTTGAATTAATTAATTAGTTCTCTAAAAATCAAAAGGCCGGGGGTTTTCTCATAAGATTTAATCAAAATCAATCAAAAATGATTTTATATAGTATCCATGTACAGACAACTTGTATATTAATAAAAAGAAAGAATATAGAATGATATAGATTATATCGTTAGAATTAATTGTAAATATCATATTTATTGCATTAATTATATGAACTTAATTGGGCATATTTTTGACAACAATCGTTATGTCATCTTGATATGTTTTTATTTTTATGTTCTTTCATTGTCATTATTGTGATAAGTAAATTAAAGGGACTGTAGAGGGAAAACGTAATCCGAAGTGACCCTCCATTTAAAGTGCTGCATGTCCAATTCACAGTCCTTTAAACCTATGTCCGGGTAAAAATGAGAAAAATTTAAACATAGAAAAATTCTAATTATGGTTTCTCTGTAGAAGTGACTGAGAGGATTATAAGGTGGTCCGTTGTGTACATCTGAGAGGATTATAAGGTAGTCCGTTGTGTACAACTGAGAGGATTATAAGGTGGTCCGTTATGTACAACTGAGAGGATTATAAGATGGTCATTTTGTGTACAACTGAGAGGATTATAAAGTGGTCCGTTGTGTACAACTGAGAGGATTATAAGGTGGTCCATTGTGTACAACTGAGAATGACCTTATACATTGGGCAGTTCAAATACAGTGCGTAATTCATTTAAAATTAAAATTCTTTTTTCGAGTTTTAAAAATTTCAGAATTTACTAATATAGAGGTTGGTAAAGGAAACGTTTACAGTAACTTGATAGTAATTTACAAACCAAAACCAAACGTTTTTTTTGTGTTTGTTAGATTAACTTTTATGAACCATGCTTTTTTTATTTATCCTTAAATTATTTTAAATATACCACATAGATTCAGCCTGCTTATAAAAAGACTCAGCAATTTTTAAGACAAGGTCGAATTTTAATTCTGGCAACGCCCTGGGCTTTGATTTTACCGCTCTAACTGTAGCCTTTTACATTTTAGAACTAAAGTAAGTTTAGCAATAGTTTTTAGCTAGAGAGCTTGAGAGCTTTAAATCACAGTGATACAAAGGATGAGACTAAAGAACCGACTTTACAGATTCAACACTGTTTATGTTTATGTTCATAATTCCCTCAAACTGTAAATATGTTTCTTTCTTTTCAAAATCATTAAATATAACCCGCCGAAAGACTTAATTCTGTTCAGAGCACTATATTTTCAGTAGAAGTAAATATATCCATTTACTGATATAGCGCCAATATAAGGATTTATCTCTAATTGGATAATGAGATAGATACAGTAAAACCCTTAATTACGAATACATCGAAAGAATTCATCAAATGTCGTATTCTTCACTTTCTGATAATGGAATGTTGCAGATATTTAGTTTTTTAATTAAATGATTATATGGAACTCTTTTTAATTGTTCCCGCAAATTCATAGCTATTTATTTAATTTCGCAAATACTGAAATTTACGTAATATAGTATAAAACTCATTGAAAAATTGTCAAGACGACATTTGATAAATTCTGTATTCGTTATTAAGGGTTTCACTGTAGAAGGATAGATGTTACCGCCATGCAATTTCTATTGGTTTAGAATAGACACCAAACACATGACTGAACCATGATTGGATCAGGCGCTAATGGAATCGGCAAACAAGAGTGAGATTTTCCCGTCGTCTTCACAGTCTTATCCATTATGAATAACCTTGTATATTCTCTTGGAGCACATTATAACAGTTTCTACATCAAAGCAGTTTCTACTATAGTTACAGTCAAATATACTTCTTAATGAGAATTGTTGGCAAGTGAAAAGTATTGTTGTGAGAACGTATATAGGTGCAAGCAACTAGGATTTTTAGCAAGGGGGGGTTTGAATTGTTTGACATTTTAAAAACTAGGCTTCCAAAGTACCTCGCGTACCTTTCTATAAACAATTTTAGCTGTTAACCGTTGCTCTTCAAACAGCCATTTTTTTCTGTGTAAAGCGTTTCGCGAATTACTCAGTTAAAAGTTTCGGATTTTCAAAAATAATAAATGTTATTTTATATTTAATACCGGGAAAATTTTTTTCTCTTTAACCTTTTACCCGGGGTTAAAGCCGAACTTTTAGCCTAAAGTGAGATGCTCAGTAGCAATAGGTGTTTGTACGGAGCATTAAAAAAAATTCCGTGGCATGCAAAAATACAGAGAAAATGCAAACTCTAATATTATGGTTTATTTATGTATACAAAATTAAACAAATTTGTGAACATACCGAGAGATTCTTTTAATTCCTCTCTATATATTCTATTCTCTATGATTATATATAATTATGAGACGGGATTTGAATTAATATTAAGGACCGGGCGATTATTTTAAGCTCTCGCTCCTTGTTCGTGAAAGTATGGTTCATTACTTCTTTAAACTATAAGACTAAACTTTTTTTGGGCTTTAACCATTTTTAGACATGATAACATTTTTAATCGTTTACAAATTACAATTGTTCATCGTGAATGATAACTATTTTTAACGATAATTAAATAAATATTTCGTCGTAAAAATTACTTTTAGAAACTTGCAATCGCTGGTTTTCCAAGTGATGTTATCGAATCGTTATGGAAAATCCCATTCGTTATCAGTGTATGTATGTAAGTAAAGGAAAGAACGGAATTTTTCCATGCTTATGCCACCCACTTTTCATCTATACACACCACTTGTTCATAAAACTAGGACAGTGAGACCCACAAAACATTAAAAAAGAAAGACAACATTTTTGGCAATCTTATCTGCACTACATAATAGATCTTGTTATTCAAGGGAATTACTTACCAGTATCTCGGAAATCGATTTATTGAGTAAAATCTATTTATTAAGTAAAATGGTTCTTTTATAACTGCAATTGAGTTTCATGTTCATTGGAATATTCAAGATCATAACTTTAGTCTTACAATCGTCTTCATATTCCACAGTTTAATAGGCCCCACTGTACACAAAACAAACAATTCTAGTTAGCAATTGGTTAAAATATTTTTGTGAAGACCTACCATTACGTCAGTGTACATTATAAGCTGATCCTCATGTACGCCTTGACCCCTGTGGGTAGTTCTCAGAAGATCTCGGAGAAAATTCTAGAAGAAAAATAGTAAATTTAAACTATAGCATACAGGAAAGGATATTTACTTAAAACAAGATGATAAATCTGATTTTCAAATCCCAATATTTTTGCTGTCCAATATTTCAAACCTTAGATATTTAAAACTATGAATTTTGTAAGAACCAATAATCTCAGTTTTAAATAGCAAAGCTAGGTGTTAACCAATAACCATCAGAATGCAAAGATTTTGCTGGATTAGAAAATTAAATTTTGTGGCAAAGACTTAATTTCATTATGCGTCTAATAAATACAATTTAGACAGTTCATCGATTATCAATTTGTCCCAGTAAAATATTCGAAAAGTTTACTTCCTCTGAATTTTACCTTCAATTCATTTGCTTCGAGAAATCCACTTCCATCAGAATCATATTCATTCCATATCTTTTATATTATATTAATAAATATACAATACCTATGATCAGTACAGCGGATTATCAGTACAGTATATACATTCATAAACTCTACACTACAGTACTGTGGATTATCTGTACAGTATGCAGTATACCTTCATAAACTCTACACTACAGTACAGTGGATTATCTGTACAGTATATAGTATATACCTTCATAAACTCTACACTAGAGTACAGCGGATTATCTGTACAGTATATACCTTCATAAACTCTACACTAGAGTCCAGCGGATTATCTGTACAGTATATACCTTCATAAAATCTACACTAGAGTACAGCGGATTATCCGTACAGTATATACCTTCATAAACTCTACACTAGAGTCCAGCGGATTATCTGTACAGTATATACCTTCATAAATTCTACAGTAGAGTACAGTGGATTATCTGTACAATATACAGTATATACCTTCATAAACTCTACACTAGAGTACAGCGGATTATCTGTACAGTATACAGTATATACCTTCATAAACTCTACACTACAGTACAGTGGATTATCTGTACAGTATATACCTTCATAAACTCTATACTAGAGTACAGCGGATTATCTGTACAGTATATACCTTCATAAACTCTACACTAGAGTCCAGCGGATTATCTGTACAGTATACAGTATATACCTTCATAAACTCTACACTAGAGTCCAGCGGATTATCGAATCTAAAGAGAAGAAGAAAGTTCTCTTCCATCGGTAGAAGTTGCGCCAACTAGAATATAAAAGTTTCAGAATTCTGAAATAATATTTAAATATTTCCAAACATGTTGTAAAAAATATTAAACTTTGAGGTTCTGAGAATGCATTTGGTTTTAAAGCTGAGTCATTTCATCTAGAACTCTAGGTTTAATAAATAAAACGTTTTAAATTGTTTTATTATTCAAGTATAAAAGAATAAATCTTTTAACACAAGACTCATCACATTTCCAAGATTTAAGCCTAAATCATTCTAATTTTTACAAATTTAATACTCATATTTTGAAACTAGGTCTAGATTTATTTTTGGCTTTCAAATCCCATAATTCATTTCTGTCTATTTGAAAATCCCCCTTTCTTAATACTTGAAAAATTTCTTTTATTACTCCTTTCTGGGACCGAATTAAAATAATTGGAGAGGTCGCTGAACTACCGATTCAAATCCTCACGAAACTTTAACTCTATTCGGTGATTGAGTATTTGAACCAGCAGTATAGGCAGTTCAGAAACCTCTCTCCAATTCATTACTTCGGTCCCTGGGATGTTTTTGAGTGTATTCCCATTCAAGATGCTTTCATAATTCAATCATTAATTCACGATCCCCTCTCAAGATCTCTGCTTACTGTGATCTACTATGATCTTTTCCTGATCCCTATTTTCTGAGGGTTGCTGATCCCTATATTTGTGTGTGTTTGTTGCCTACCCTATAAGATAGAGGATTGCTGAATAAACATAGTATTGATTACTATAATACTCATTTAGGGTTTGTTTATTTATCGTTTATTTATCATAAATTATAAAGATAAGGTTTTTAACCTCGAGACACCCTTTGGATATCTTCCACAACCTTTATATATCCTTCCATCCTCCAACCTTTATATATCTTCCATCCTCAAACCTTTACATNTAACTAGATACTAGATATCCATGTTTGTTATTATATTCAGGTAACTAGATACTAGATATCCATGTTTGTTATTATATTCAGGTAACTGGATACTAGATATCCATGGTTGTTATCATATTTAGGATTAGCTTGGGAACCCAACGTTGACCAGGTTAATCATAATTACTCCCGCCGTTTACCCGCACTTGATCGATTTTACCGGGAAACTAAAAGTTGACCCACTTAACTTAAAACCAAGCCAATAACATTCCTATGGCTCTCACGAGTTCCCCAATCAAAATTTTAGTCAAATCAGTCGAGGCGTTCCTGAGTTATGATCGGACAAAAAAACAGACAGACAAACAGAGATTACAACTTGTTGTATATAGATACTAGATACTAAATAAATATCCATGGTTGTAATCATAACTAGGATAATAGATACTCTTTATGCACTCAGGCATGGTAAGGTCGTCGTCGTATTTATCAATAAAATGAAGACGACTTTCTATTTTAATTTTGATTTCTACCAAGCTTTCAAACTACAGAAACAATTAAACATTTGAAACAGAGAGAATTTGCAAAATAAGAGCTTATCTTTGTTTGCTTTTAAACTTTTAATTTAAATAATGGTTGTTAAAGATAAAAATATTATTACTAAAAAGTCTTCATTGTATTGATATAATCGCCGACCACTGTTTGTTATCTTCACCTCTCTGATATCAATCCTTCCATCCTTGTTTGTATCATAAGTCTCCAGAAACATTTCTTTCAGGTTTTCTATTTCAGAGTCAGAAATCTAAAAATATTTTCTAATAAGAAAGATAATATATCGACTTAAAAATGTACAGCGATCAGTAAACGTATTTATCAGTGTACACCATGTACACTTATCAAGGAATTAAATAAGTTTTTGATATTAGACCTGCTGAAGTTCATCCTTTGAAGAGACAGAGTCAATGAACTCCCGGAGAAATTCGACCAATTCATTCTCTTCTATAAATCCATTCCCTGAACAATCAGACCACTTTATTCTATTCTTATGAACATTTATTTCGTTCTGATCCGTAAAACACAAATGTTCCAGGCTATCCTGTTCCAATCAGACCACTTCATTTGTTCCAAGGAACATCGATATTGAACTGATCCATAGAATACAACGTGACAACCTATCCTGTTCCATATGTTAGTTATACAAGAATATAAATGTTCTGCAATGCAAATCAAAGGACACCCATGTTCCATGTTGTTAACCTGTTCCATATTGATACAAGGATATAAATGTTCTGCAATGATAATCAAAGGATACATATGTTCCATATTATCCTGTTCCATATTTACACAAAGGACACACATGTTCCATGTTATCCTGTTTTATATTTATACAAAGAGCCTTGTTTCATTCTATCCTGTTACATACAAAAAAACATATGTTCCATTGTTATATAAAGAACCCATATGTTCCATGTTATCCTAGTAAAACTTACGCGAGACTATATATATATAATAAAGCTCATCCTGGTTCTAGTGGTTTTAATATCTCATTCAAACGGAATTAAGTGTTATGCCTCATACTCATTTCAAATACATGCAAATGATGATCTATTTGAATACATGTATCTTTGCAACCCACTTTCGTAGACCTTTGATATTTCAAATTTTAAATTCGGTTAGATAAAATAGCCCAATTTTGAAAAATCAAAGATGTACACCATCAGGTTACAAAGATATAGTAATTAAGGATTTAACTTTGTGGCCAAGACTAAATTCCTTAATAAGAAAACACATTAAAACCCTTGATATTCTTTTATTAAAAAAACGTTTGGTCATAAAATAGTTTAATAAAGTAATTACGAAAAACCTACATTAGCTGGGAACTAAAAACCTCACTGACCTTTGAAGCACATTTTTGAGAACTTGACCGAGGTGTTAATTTGTAAAAAATCGGGCATAGCTTTATTAGTTTGGTTACAGTACACTACACCAAATAGATTCTAGTACAATAGATGGCAACGTAGAATGTGTACACTCTTTGTACAGCTGTATTCTTACGTCATGAGTGTCAACTTAGTTTTTGAGCCCGACAAAATTAATAATAATAGGGATAATTTTGGGATAAAGTTCTTATATTACGGTAAAAGAAGTGAAATTTTGTGTTCTCTTTTGTCTGTTTTTACACTTTTTTATTTAATCTTGTAAAACATGTCAACTGATGTGAGAAAATTTCTTTTTCCTTGTTATATTTGACACTTGTGACGTTTCGTATAATTTGTCCATTTCTCTGTTGCCACCTATTATACTTGATAATCTATTTGCACAACACAAACTTACCGTCCGTGTCATAATGCTCCCAAATCCCAAAGAACTGGTTTGCAGTCAATGTTTGCAAATTTAGCGTGTCATCGCAAAATTTGTGCAGAAAATTCATCTCACCCTTCTGCTTCAACATTCTGAAAATATTTGGTTCATAAATGAAACTGAGATTTCTGAGACTTTTCTGGGTTGCGGAAAAGGAATTGAGTCTTTGCAACAAGCTATGATTTTTTAATTCCTTTATCTTTGCAACCCAGTGTCGTAGACCTTGGATATTTCAAAGTAAAGAATTCTGTCAGATCAAATAATCTAAGTTTGAAATATCAAGAGTTTACACCATAAGGTTGCACAGGTATAGGGATTATAAAATTTGAATTTGTGGCAAAGACTCAAAACTCTTTTACAGTCAGACCGAACAAATAACATTAAGATCAAGAAGACCTTTCTTGACTAAAAAAGGTAGGCACGAGATAAAAGTTTACTGATATGTAAATACTTTGTTTCTATTTTCTAAAACGCCGATATATCATTAGAATTGAGCATCTTACACAAGTTTTATATTTTTGCAGCTTAACACTAGTGGATCAATTTATTCATCCAGAAAACAAAAAAGCTAAAATTTGGAAACACTTCCCAATAAGATTAATAACATGTAAATTCAACTTATCCAGCACTATATATTCATTTAGACTTTTATCTCAAACCTGTGATTGGTGTAATTAGGATTGGTTGAATTAAGAGCCTCCAACAATCAACATAATGAACCCAAATATTTGAACAGTCCATTGTATGAAAATAAAACTGAATGGGCCCAAATCATTTGCGTTTAAATTTTTAATTTTTCTGTTCAATACCTCTTATCGGCTTGTCAGTCTGTCTGTTTGTATCCAAGAAACGTCAACATGGCCTAACCGATCGGGCCCCAATTGATTTTAGTGCCTTTCAAAATTTGCCTCACAAATATTTCGATTTTGCAAAGATATTGTATTGTATTCAGAGTACGCATAAAAATCTATTGATTCTTCAATGTATATTTATAATTTACAAGAAAATAAATTAACATTTGACAATTATTACAAAAAGGAGAGATGCGACGCGTCCCTGAATAAATTATCCATGTATGAATATTACAGAATGTTTACCTGGAAGAGGATGCTCGAGACTAGAGGTTGAGGACACCTGTATGTCGAGGTTAGACCAGGGTTAGATATATTGCATCCTCTTTCATCTTATACCAAACCATATGTTTAGAACCGGAGTCAGTTTAAATATATTGATCCTGATTCATTGCTTATACATCGCTTGCATTCTTCTCTTGGATTAGAATGCGTAGATCTACAAGAGAGATACAGAATACAGATGTGTGATTAGATAGATACAATGCTCTATTTTAAATTTTTTTTTAAAGTTCATAAATAATTGTAGAAAAGCAGGTGGATATGGAACGGAAGGAAAAGAAGGGAAGGAAAGAGAGGAAGGAAAAGAAGGGAAGGAAAGAGAGGAAGGAAAAAAAGTAGGTAACGAGAACGGGAGAAAAAGAAAGAAGGAAGAAAAGTAGGTAAAGAGAACGGGAGAAAAAAAAGAGAGAAGAAAAGTAGGTAAAGAGAACGGGAGAAAAAGAAAGAAGGAAGAAAAGTAGGTAAATGGAACTGAAGGAAAGAGGGAAAGGAAGAAAAGTACGTGAATGGAACGGAAGGAAGTAAAATGAAGGAGAGAACCAGAGGAGATAAGAAGAAAGAAGCAAAGTAGAAGAAGGGGTTATATGAAAAGGGTTGAAGAAGACTAAATAAGGAAAATAGGTGAAGAGAACAGAAGGAGAAGGACAGGAAAGGGGGATAAAACAAGGAAAAATAAAGAAGATTGTAAGGAAAGAAGGAGATGAGGGAAAGAAAGGAACAAAGAAGAAGAGAAGGTTATGACAGTGGGCCGAAGATAAATAGAAGAAAGGATGGTGGGTTGAATTGAGCAGGAGGAGAAAAGGGAAGAAAGAGAGTTAGGAGAAGAGAATGTAGGAGGAGATGAAAAAAAGAGAAAAGTAGAATAAAAATCAAGATGGAAAGAAGAAGAAGAAGAATTAAAAAGGGAAGAAAAGTAGGTAGAAAAGAGAGGTGTAGAAGATAAACAAATAGAAAAAGGATGACATTGTAAAAAGAAGAAAAGAAATGGGGAGAAGATGAAAGAGGAGAAGCAAGATGAAAAAGAAAAGTAGGAAAGTGGAATAGGATAAGGATGAAAAAGAAGAGGATTAATAAAATAAAAACTATATCTATCCCTAGCTCCTTCTCCCCTCCTCTCTTCTAAAAGTTAATATCTAATTAGGAACAGTGTAGGATATTTATTATAGAAACATATTTCTTGCATGTTAAATCTGATTAACAAATAAATAGGTTTGTTTATTTTGCAGTGAATAAATAAATATCTACTCTTGTTAATAAAAATACAAGTTAAGAAAAAATATTTATTCTTTACATGTCACAAAAATATGTTAACTTGTAAAAAAATTAAACAACAAATTATAATTAACATTTTCAAATGCCCATATTTTCTAATTTTTATAGGTTTTATCAACCAAATTTAAGAGAAATGTTTTTGAATTATAATCTAGAAATATAAGAATTTGTTTGATATTGTAAATAAAATCTGTAAAAATTAAGAATAAATAATGTTAAAGACTGATATTGATTTCGAAGTTTAGATACAAGTAAAAAAATTTCTATAAATTTTAAAAATATACATTTTTTAAAAATCCAATACTAAAGAATTGTCAGACTCATTTATCAATTAATCAATTTTATGCTTGTTACTGAACTATTAATTGACAAATAATGATAATAAGTGATTAAAAACGTAGCATTAATAATATTGAGGATTTAATAATGAACTTAGAACCTGACGAAAGATCTTTGAAATCAGCGATCTAGAGAAAATTGAATTTTTGCGACAAACTCTGATTTTCTGATTACATCATTTATAGGTTGCAAAGATATAGAAAAGATATAGATTAGAAAATTTGAGTTTGTAGCAAAGATCAATTCCTTTGTCATCAAAATAAGTCACTGCAATCCCTTTTAAGAATTTGTCATAAATACAAATACATAGATATATAAAAGGTGTTCAGGATTAGATATAAAAGGTGTTCAGGATTAGATATAAAAGGTGTTCAGGATTATATATAAAAGGTGTTTAGGATTAGATATAAAAGGTGTTCAGGATTAGATATAACAGGTATTCAGGATTAGATTTAAAAGGTGTTCAGGATTTAAAAAAAAAAAGCTTTAATATGACAAATATGATCATACTGTTTAAAGTAAAAAAATGTGTTAAAGTTATTTTTATTTAAAGAGGGCCATCCCCGATTCACTGCGGTACCCTTAAAACCTTAAAGGGACTGTAAAGGAAAAATGAAAGGGGGTATCTCATTGGTGGGAGTTCTGCTGCATATATATGAATTTTCGTATAAAGGATTTGAGTCTTTTCCACAAACTCTGATTCTCTAATCCCTATATCAAAAAGATACAATGTCATAGACCTTAGATATTTGACTAGACTATGAATTATGTTAAATCAAATAATAAAAATTTGAAATATCAAACCTTCCGGTCGCAGAGATAAAGGGATTAAAAAATTTGATTTTGTGGCAAAAACTCAGTTCCTTTGACACAGCTTTATATCAATTTCTCGAGACAGGAACATCAGATCTAACTTTCATGGGTCGCGGTCAAGAGCTGAAGTAAATAGCTTTCAGTCTATACCCCCTTTCATTTTTCTTTGACAGTCCCTTTAATCTGATCAATAGTATGGAAGTTAATTTTGATAATGTCTCCATTGCTTCTGTAACAAGAAATGCCCGAGTCACTTTTGCACAATAACCACATTGAAAATAATCATTTTTCAAAACAAAAACATGGATATTGGATTTATACTTGATCAGACAGAGCTTTTCAGGGAACCTTTGTGAATCTGATCGGACCACGCTATTGATAATTGAAATTACGATAACTTTGTTTTATTCAGAGCGTAAATCTATATATAAATTTGGCTTGTCTGTTTGTTTGTCTGTCTGTTTGTATCCAATAAACGTCAAAACGGCTGAACCGATCGGGCCCAAATTTTTTGTGGGACATCTAGGGACCCCAGGGAAGGTTTATGAATGATTGAAATTTTAAATACTTGTCTCCATCAAAATTCGATCTTCATTAGATTTTTGAAAATTTTGAAAATCAACGAAATTTTTTGTCAAATCCGCGAATTATTTTTGTTTTGTTTTACGATGTACACAAAGAGAACATGTTCACAATTAATTTAGAAGATGGGCGCGAAGCGCCTTCTAAGGCTAGTATATAATATTTTTGTATAAGTATGTATACAAACTAAGCATCCCAAAGTCTAGGATTTGTCAAAATCTAAAAAATGTTTAATTATGGTTATAAAGAGATTTTACTACAACGTAAACCGACAACTCCGACAACCTGTCTAAATAAATAAATGTAACTAGAAATAAAATCTTCCTTTGAAGTGAAATTAGAATATTTGCATAAACGTATAAAAAAATCTAAGCCTCCCAAAAGCTGAGATTTGTCATATTAGGTTTTTTTTTATGTTTAAACGAAGAAATAGATTTTTCCTTCTTCCTTCAGTTATGGTTCTAAGAGCTTGGTTCAGTTCTTTCAACATTTGGCGGTGGGTTGAGTCTAATACGAGAGTTAAAATTGGATCTTTTTGAACTTTAAGATTAAAAGTATTAATTATAAATGCAATAAAAGTATAATATGATTAAAGTTTTTTCTCCGAGAAATAAAAATTTTATACTATTTGATAATGGTTACAGTTTTGGCTTATTGATATATATATACTAAGATAATCTTCTAAAATACAATATTTGTAAATAAATACCAGTTTAATGTTGACATTAAATATCCAACAATGTCCATGAGAAAATTTCATTTTTTCATGTTTTTCATGTCATATTTTTTACTTAAACAATAAGTAATGAAAACAGAAAAGGAAATTAGTCATTGCCACAAACTCAAATTTTCTATTCCCTATATCTTTGCAACCAGGTGGTTTAAATCTTTGATATTTCAAACTTAGTTGATCTATTAAAAAACATGGTTTGAAATATCTAAGGTCTACGACATTGTGCAGCAAAGAATGATATAGTGATTAGAAAATCAACGTTTGTGGCAAAAAAAGAGGCTACCCTTCATTAAAGAAGTTTTTAGCTTTCACGACATTTCAAAATTATCGATCGCCGATTTCTCTTTAAAAAAATTATTTTTGAAAATGGAAATCGCCGACTTTAAAGTTATCGTTTTTGGTATACAAATTTGAGGGTTATGTCGTGAATAGTTTTACTCACTCTTTAAGCTCAGGATCCCTGAAGAATATTTAGATAATTTCTTTAAAATGCCAGCTTTCTTAACCAACTCTAGGGTATGGGATGAGGTTGGAGTTTGATGTGGATCCATGATTTTCTTTTGGTTTCTTATCTCCAGGTTTCGGGGCTCTCCGCTTTCTTTGATTTCTGTTGTGTCGGCTCCTGCAAAATATTTATCTTCTCTAACCATTTATATTTTAAGACGAAATGGGTTCTCATTACATCGATATTTTAAGGCTAGATGGGTTCTCATTCCATCGATATTTTAAGACTAGATGTGTGCTCAAACCATCGATATTTAGACCTATAGATGTGTGTTCAAACCATCGATATTTTAGGACTAGATGTGTGCTCAATCCATCGATATTTTAGGACTATATGTGTGCTCAATCCATCGATATTTAGACCTATAGATGTGTGCTCAAACCATCGATAGTTTAGGACTAGATGTTTGCTCAAACCATCGATATTTAAGGACTTGATGTGTGCTCAAATCATCGATATTTAAGGACTTGATGTGTGCTCAAACCATCGATATTTAAGGACTAGATGTGTGCTCAAACCATCGATATTTAAGGACTAGATGTGTGCTCAAATCATCGATATTTAAGGACTTGATGTGTGCTCAAATCATCGATATTTAAGGACTTGATTTGTGCTTAAACCATCTATATTTTAGGACTTGATGTGTGCTCAAACTATCTATATTTTAGGACTAGATATTTGCTCAAACCATCGATATTTTAGGACTAGATGTGTGCTCAAACTATCGATATTTAAGGACTTGATGTGTGCTATATTTTAGGACTTGATGTGTGCTCAAACTATCTATATTTTAGGACTAGATATTTGCTCAAACCATCGATATTTTAGGACTAGATGTGTGCTCAAACTATCGATATTTAAGGACTTGATGTGTGCTCAAACCATCGATATTTAAGGACTTGATTTGTGCTTAAACCATCGATATTTAAGGACTTGATTTGTGCTTAAACCATCGATATTTAAGGACTTGATTTGTGCTCAAACTATCTATATTTTAGGACTAGATGTGTGCTCAAACCATCGATATTTTAGGGCTAGATATTTGATCAAACCATCGATATTTTAGGACTAGATGTGTGCTCAAACTATCGATATTTAAGGACTTGATGTGTGCTTAAACCATCTATATTTTAGGACTAGATGTGTGCTTAATCCATCGATATCCTGGACCTATAGATATGTGCTTAAACCATCGATATCCTAGACGGACTAGATATTTGCTCAAACCATCGATATTTTAGGACTAGATGTGTGCTCAAACTATCGATATTTAAGGACTTGATGTGTGCTCAAACCATCGACACTTTAACTAGATGTGTGCTTAATCCATCGATATCCTGGACCTATAGATATGTGCTTAAACCATCGATATCCTAGACCTAGATGTGTGCTGAAACCATTGTTAATTTAGGACTAGATAGGTACATTTAGACCTAGATGCATGTGTTCAAACCAAAGATACTTATATCCATTCCTATCTTAAATCTAAATAAGTATTCAAACCATCAATATTAAAACTATTTGTAAACGAATAATATTTACCTTAATCAACAAATTCATTAAAAGATAATGTATTTTAAACCTAACAATGCTAAAGTCTAGGTATAGAAAATATGTTTTCTATGCGATGATGGTAAAAGTCCAGGTATAGAAAATATGTTTTCTGTACAATGATGGTAGAAGTCTAGGTATAGAAAATATGTTTTCTGTACAATGATGGTAGAAGTCTAGGTATAGAAAAACTCAAACTGTCGATTATATGTTTTTTATTAAAAACGATATCGCTTAGTTCAGATTATTTTCAACCATCTAGCCCTAAACCATCTAGCCCTAAACCATTAATGGTTTTATCTATTCCGACACAATGCATAGAAAACTGATTTATATCTTGGTTTTAAAGAATAATTTATGTGAAATTGGAAATAAAAAAATTGAGTGAAATCCCGTTTATCATGTTTCCTCTCTTATTCAGCTTGAAGAGCAAAAACTTTGAAATGGGATTATTCAACTTAGGACCAGACGTAGGGATGGGCATAGATTTGGGGCCGCTTTTACACATTCCAGAAGTATCTGAGATTATTAACATATAACAAAATACGATTTTTTATAGTTTGCTCTTATGATTTTAAGCAACAATTTTTTTTTCTCTCACCCAAAAAGATTTTTCATAACGAAATATCAAAATGATTTTACTAAACGTTTTGATTTGAGACTGTGAATTCTGTTATATCGAATAATCTAAGTTTGAAATATCAAAGGTTTACACCATCAGGTTGCAAAGATTTAGGGATAGGAAAATTTGAGTTTGTGGCAATGGCTCAATTCCTTCTGCATAATATAATAAAAGAAAACTTAAATTTTTAAATACTAGATCAAATATCTCAGATTCTTGTAGAGCTTTAATTAAAAATTCAATAACCTTGTAAGTTTAAAGGGAGTGGCAGGGTATGTAAGGTAGTTTATTGTAGAGTTTTATTTACATTTTTTGTCGACGTTATTTAATAATTAAAAAAAACTAATTCTGAAAGGGTATCCACCCTCAAAGTAGGAGTTTTGAACGTAGCGTTTGCTCTCAAACTCAGGATTTACAAATCTTTAAAAAGTATGTCTCAAATGAACCAAAAAAGAAGTTTTCCACAACACTGCATACTCAGTTCAAATAAAAGAATATTTATATATCAAGCTCCTAACTTGGACCGGAAATTAAAAACTACAACTTCCTATTTAAACTTATTTAAAAGAAGAATTACAAATGTCATATTAAAAATGCTTAAATTTCTTTAAATCTATATGCATTTGAAAATTTTGAAAAAATTAGTTAATAAAAGTTTGAAATGTTCTTTCTTCTTCACCTTACTACAGTGTTATAAAGGTTAAAAATACAGTGTTTAAAAAAAACACTAATTCATAAATCGATTATTTATTTTGATAAAAAAACATTGGTTTTACTTCTAACTACTGACGTTTAAGAATTTGCTCGGGGGGGTTGAAAATAGCATTGTTTAGTCGACTGGTTTTAATTTGAAGTTTGATATGAAGTCCCTGCACAATGATCACGCAAGTTTCGATAAAATCTTCAATTCAATGTCTCCTGGAATGTTATTAGTGAGTAGTTAGTTTTATTACTAAAGAAAATAAGAAAAAAATTTTAGTTCAGTTTTCATATGGTAAAACAAAGGGATTTTTCGAGATTTTTCCACGGATTTCAGATATTTAAACGATGTGCAAAACAAAAAGATTAAACCTCAGTACTTACGTTCTTCTGATGGAAAAAAAGGGGAAGAGCTAAATTTATCTTCAGAACTAAAGCTTGTCTCGGAGCTAGCACGTCCTGTTTCTGGGTTCTTGGCAGATCCTTGGTTTAGGATCTCCTGAACCTTCTTGAAGAAATAATCAGGACTTCCTGATCTCTGGTTGGAGCTAGGTTCAAGGTTTCCTGATCTCTGGTTGGAGCTAGGTTCAATTGATTAATGATTGAATTTTTAATTATGCTAGTAAAAACAGACCATAGCAATTATAAGCTAAAAATAAAACAAACAAATGGATTTTTGAACTTTGAACAAGGAAAATATATTGGAACAATTTTGAATTCACAATGTCTTGTTTTTATTATTTAAAACTCATTGAATTTCATATCAATAATTTATATTAATTGAAACTGAAAGTTGGAGGTTTACAGTTTACTGTTTTAATCAAAACTAAAGTATGTATTAATCTACTGGAAATTCAAGACGCTTCAAAAACAAAATTCAAGGTGTGCGACACCAGTTTGCAATGATACACGGATTAATAGTATTCTCTTTTAGTTTTTAATTTTTCTCCCTTAATGTTACGATTGCTCTTTTAACTGGTGGAAAAGACTTAAATATTGCTTTTCACTTTAATAACTAAAAAGCCTAAAAACTCATGAGGAGTTGTTAGTTAGAACATAGAACGGCTTTGATTCAATAAAATCTAAAATTTCATTTTAATTTAGCTTCGGATCTAAAATTCACAGATTAAATTTTTTGAAGACCTTTAAAAATGTGTAGACAAGTTTCACATGAGATTTTTTTATGCACTGTAAATCCATACCTTGACATTGTGAGGCCTTTTTTCAAGAGTTATTTTAGGGTTGAAAATGATGCTGATATACCTGATACTCCGTCTAGCTCTGATCTCCATTATTCTCTCCATTTCCAGGGTTCGGACGGAGATGAGCTCCAGTAGGGACTGGATCTTATTCAAACCTGAAATGAAATATCGTTCAGGAATATAACGGAAGTTTAGACGCTAATACAATCATAATTTGCATGTAAGAGAAATGGAAATAATTCTTATAAGGAAAAGTTGGAGAACGATTTTGCGATTTGTAATAATAGTTTAAACTCCAAAAATGTGCCCTGAGATGGATCTTATGTGTAGTGGATATTGTTAATCTTGAATATCCAATGTGGGCCCTCTTAAATTTTAAAGGGGGTATAGGTTGGTTCACGGCGAAAAAAAAGCGCTTTTGATTGCTACTAATCTAACTTCTATCTGTTGCGTCTATAAGGAGAAACTTGTTAAAAACGACTGAACAACAAATATATATAAGAAATATGAATTATCAACTATATACAAATGCGTCGGATTTGTTTGGAATCAAATTGATTTTTTTACAATACGAGTTATATGTTGCAACTTTCTTAATTTGTACGGACGCTACGTTCTTCGCAATGGAGTCGTTTTTTACAAGTTTCTCCTTATAGACGCAACAGATAGCAGTAAGATTAGTAGCAATCAAAAGCGCTTTTTTTTCGCCGTATGTCTATACCACTCTTCATTTTTCACGAACACTCCCTTTAATATCAATGCTTGATCCATTTCATTTAGGTATCCCTGCAAGACCAATACGGGATAAAACTTTTTAGAGTTACATTAGTCAGAACCGTAAAAAATCTTTGGCTGCATACATGATCTATATCTATATCTAGAAAAAAGAAATATCTACTGATCTGTTTGAATGTATGTCAGATCAAAACTCATGAACCCCTTAGGTTTTGATTGGGAAACTCGGTAGGACCACGAAATGTTCGGTTCGGTACTTAAGTTAAACCGTAATCTGGGGCCATTTTTCCCTTTTACATGGGTTAAATGAATCCCAATAATGTGAGGGTTTGCCCTCAATTATTTTTTAGTTACTTCCGGCATTCCACTTCNCTGATCTCTGGTTGGAGCTAGGTTCAAGGTTTCCTGATCTCTGGTTGGAGCTAGGTTCAAGGTTTCCTGACCTCTGGTTAGAGCTAGGTTCAAGGCTTCCTGATCTATGGTTGGAGCTAGGTTCAAGGTTTCCTGATCTTTGGAGAAAGCTTGGTTGAGAAATATCTGTTTGTGTACTCCTGGTAAGATTAATGATGTTCTGGTTATCTCTAGCCCGGAGAAATGTTCCTAAGAAAACGTCCCCGTCTTCTCTCAAACTTCTGGATTCCATTAGAGTCGGGAGGAGGATGAGAAGAAGGAAACTAAATACCATGGTCGGATTGAAGGGTGGGAGTAGAATGAGAAACCAAGGTTGAATCAAGTATACTGCTTTCATCTATTCTTGACTATGGGGATTCCCTACTTTCTAATTACTAGGTTAATAGTTTGAAAATTGTAGTCCTGATCGGACAAGTATTTTGATATATCTATACTTAAATGAATTCCATGGTTTTTTTTGTTAACCCAATAATATTACAACGAACTTGTAGAGGTCATGGATGCATTCTCTCTCATAAAATTTTATTTTGTTCCGCAAATAAGAAATAAGATTTTCTTGATTGAAGTTTGCGCTTAATTATGGCTTCAGGCAACCATGAGCCACAGCTTTTCCCATTCCACGCCAAAATCGTCTTCCGAAAAGCCATGTGTCACACTATTCGATCTTCCATGCCACAATTGGAACTTTTTAACATTCAATTTAAAACAGAAACCACTACGTGTGTAAATAAATAAAATTTAGAAATTAAAATTTCACACATTATGAGTGAAAACAATTACACTCCCATTTGAACGCAACCTTAAAATGTCTTGTATCCTTGCAATTTTGTACAGAGGCGAAGGTGAGGGGGGGGGGGGACAAAAACAAACATTTTGAAGATCATATATATACATATATATAATATATACAATAATTGAAATAAATCCTATTTTATTACAGAATAAATGTAGTTAATTGTAATTATAGTTACTATATCATTAAGAGTGTCACTATAAATTGAGACTTTAGAAAAAACGCTCTTACTCACTAAATTTTAAATTTACGCTGTTGAATTCTAAACACATATAAATAAAAAAGACAGATTAGATTTCATTTTTTTAAGATTCCTGATAAACATCTTTAGAAGTTGCTTTTAGAAGCTTAGTTTTTAACACTCTGTACAGACTCTGGCAGAAAATTCCTCTTTTAGAAATGGCAAGAGACACCAAAAGCCTCTCAGGCCTCTCTGGCATGTATAAAAATATAGGAATTATAATTCATAAACAATTGCAGATGATCCAAAATCGCAAATTCATTTCCATATTGGTGGATTTGCTATTTTATAGGCTCTTTAAAAAAGTCTCAATTTATAGTGGACAACCTTTAGAAGCCTTATCTAGATAATAGGCTTTAAGGGCACTTTGCGCCCATCTTCAATTTAAACTTTTAGTTGTGGCTTGTGATGATCTTCTCTTTGTACAGTCTAAAACAGAAACAGACAAGTTTGCGGATTACAATATAATTTTTCACGCATTTTCAAAATTTTGCAGAAAAAAACTTTTTAACACAAATTTTTATCATTAATAAACCTTCTCTGGGGTCACGTGAGGTCCCACACAAAATTTGGGCCAGATCGGTTCAGCCGTTTTGGCGTTTATTGGATAAAAACAAACAAACAAACACCCAAAAAAGACAACAAAGTATATATCTTCTATTTCAATTGTGGACATGTTCTCTTTGTGAACATTGTAAAACAAAACAAAAAAAGTTCACGGATTTCATAAAAAAATGTTCGTGGATTTTGAAAATTTTAAAAATTTTAATGAAAATCGAATTTTCATGGAGGCAAATTTTTGATATTTTGATCATAAATAAGCCTTCTCAGAAGCCACGTGAGGTCTCTGACAACATTTAGGCCTGATCGGTTCAGCCGTTTTGACGTTTATTGGATACAAAGAAACAGACAGACAGATAAGCTAAATTTATAAATAGATATACTTAGGTTGGGTGTCTGGATGTTTTTTTGTTTGTCTGTATCCAATAAACGTTAAAACGGCTGAACCGATCGGTCCCAATTTTTTTGTGGGACCTCGCGTGACCCCAGGGAAGGTTTCTGGATGATTGAATTTTCAAAAATTTGCCTCTAGCAAGATTTGATTTGAAAGTTTTGAAAATCAACGATATTTTTTAGAAAATCTATGAAATACTTTGCTTTTGTTTTACAATGTTTACGAAGAGAACATAATCACAATTGGAATAGATGATGGGCGTGAAGCGCCATATATGCCTAGTCTTTATATATACTTTGCTTGCCTGTCTGTCTGGGTCTCTGTTTTTATCCAATAGACGTCAAAACGGCTGAACCGATCGGGCCCAAATTTTTTTGTAGTAGGGTATAAATTAAGAAAGGTGGAAGCTGAGATTTAGGAAAGGAAGTCTTTTATCTGATAAGAGTTTGTTAATGCAAGAAATGATTGGGAAATTGAAATCAAAACCAAGACCACTAATTTGATATACATCATGAATGGGGTCAAGGAGAGGGGAGGTAAAGAAAATTCTAGGAAGGGGGGGGGGTAAAAAAAATATACAAAAGTAAATTTGATATTCAATATGACTGTGTTAATCCAGGTTGAGCTCAGCGAATGAATCACGACACGACAGCTTAAATACAATGTTGGGAAATATTGGTTTGTTTTGTGGTTTTTAAGTGTTCCAAATTCTACAGTATATTAACCAAAAAGAATTCCAAATATTTATATTTTTTATTCAAGAAGCAGGAAATCCCATTATTATTCAGAGAAATGTGGTGATATAATTATCATCTCTAACAGTAACACTTGTTAAAACGGTTTTATCAAATTCGACTACAGTGTCCTTCAAACCATGACAAACGCCTTTAAGCCTTTGAAATGATTTGTACCATTCATTTGTCAATCTTATTTAAAATTAAATTCTTGAAATTATTATCACAAAATACCTTTAATTTTTCAATTTAAAGCCTGCCTTTTGTGTTTTTCAAAATGGCCGAAAATAAGTTAGATTGACAATGAATGCAACAAATTATATCAAAGTTGCACATTTTATCATCATGTCCCAATTAATCAATTGAATGTTTTACTTAATCATTTAAAGAAAATGTAACCATGAACGGATGGAAGAAAATTGAGTATTTCCCGTATAGGTCTCCTCTTTTGTGGTTAACCCGAGATAAGCCACATTCTTAAAATTGTCAAGATTTTTTTGCTATACACTGTCGGGAAATAATTAGGGATAGATGTGATTTCCATTTTCAACAATAAAAATGTTGAAGACATTTAATAATCTAGAAAAATTTTAATCGCAAGAATAATTTATTTAACAGAATCGATTTTCTTATATTACTATGTATAAGTAAAGGCACTCAAGAATTATTTATCACAGTTCAGAAAATAATTCTTATTTATCAAAAACGTTTCTCCACGGCTCAAATTCTTGTTAAATGCTCAAGTTATAAATTTAATAAAAAAAATATATTTTATAAAAATAAATATTTAAACATTTAAAATATTTGGAGTGGTAAGAAAAGGAGCCAGGGAGGGAAGAACGTGAACATATTGAAATTATTTAGTTCTAAGAATTCAGAAAGTAAGCTTTAATTACAGCTAAATTATACATGTGTACAATATATATATATAAATATAGATAAAGAAGAAATGGGATTAAAATCACCACGTTTATAAATTATCAACACGGCTCGGCGGTCATTTTTAACATCAATATGATTAATTTAATTGGCGAGAAATAAAGGGTCAAGGAAGAGGAATGTTACGGCTGAATCTAAGAATCAAATACAGAAAATTAAATAAATTAAATCTATTTGTTAATCATCCAAAGACAGGGGGGCCGGGGGGGGGGGCTGCGCAAATATTTTGGTTTAAGAACTAAGGCCACAGATGTCGACGGGAAAAGTTTTATTAAAAGTTTAACTAAAGTTTTAACTTCAACGAATTTACCACTTTGAATTAAAAATAAATGAAATAAAGTTCAGGATAAAGAAATGATTTTGTATAAATGTATAAACCGTATTTTCGCCTGCTTTAGGTGAAGTTAGAACAAGTATCTTTATTTCATGAACAATCACTATGCCCATTTGTATGGCACAAGAAAACTTAGCTTTTTAGCATAATAAAGGAATTGATGTTTTGTAAAGCTTATCTGAATAAGAACAAATAATTTTAAAAGATTGTTCTCACTTGAGAAAATGAGGTTCGGACGGATTGGGTTTCATTTCTCCTGACTTATTAATCATACAGAGAAACATAGCTCAGTAGGTTAAACCTTAAACTGTACGGATATCTGCAGGGGTACTTCAAATTAAATGCGTTCTATCAAAAGACTGAATGAAAATTCGTCACACAAAGTTTTAGAAAAATATTAAAAATTAACAATTAAAAAGCTCTAAATCCAACAGCAGCTGTAATTAAATCAATTAAAGGATATCTATGTTTGTTAATTGTATTATTAAAGGGATTGTAAGCGTAATTTCAAATGATCCTCAATTAAAAGATTGCAATGATTCGATTTACAACGGTACCCTTAAACGCGTTGTCTGATTAAGTATAAATTAGAGCTCCACGTTTCAGGTATTGAAAACTATTTTTTAAACTTTCAATTGTTGTATCTCTGCAAAAGTAATCTGCGCATTTCTTACTTATAAGACTGAAGAAATGATCAGAATTACTGCTGAAGTCAGAAAACCGACGTTATCTTCTACATTTATGATGAGAAAAGGTTTCAAGGATACCGTTGTAAATTTGGCATTGCCATCTTTGCACGGAGTGTGACTTACATGCTTATATTCCCTTTTAATACTAATAATTCTTGTCGGAATTGCTTTATATCAGGGTTTCACGTAATACATTAGAGGAGACAAATCATTTAATACTCAGAGAAACCCTCCGACTAATCTCTTGTCTGATCAGCAGAGCGCTGATTGAATAAATAAACATGAATTAAATTGAACTGGTTTAGATGTCTAGGTATTGGTGCTGTCACCAACCAACAATAATATAAAACTCTACTTTAAAGCTTTTCTTCAACCAAACACTCTCGAACCGTCATTTCTTGTTGAGAGATTGATTGTTGGGTAGTGTAGAGGACTTAACCTAAACAGATTAATAATTATATTCAGGGTTAAATATTGTTTAATGAACCGGCATATCCAGGGTTAAATATTGTTTAATGAACCGGTATATCCATGGTTAAATATTGTTTAATGAACCGGTATATCCAGGGTTAAATATTGTTTAATGAACCGGTATATCCAGGGTTAAATATTTTTTAATGAACCGGTATATCCGGGTTAAATATTGTTCAATGAACTGGTTTATCCAGGGTTAAATATTGTTTAATGAACCGGTATATCCAGGGTAAAAAATTGTTTAATAAACCGGTATATTCAGGGTTAAATATTGTTTCATGAACCGGTATATCCAGGGTTAAATATTGTTTAATGAACCGGTATATCCAAGGTAAAATATTGTTTAATGAACCGGTATATCCAGGGTTAAAAATTGTTTAATGCTCTGGCGTATCCAGGGTTCAATATTGTTTAATGAACTGGTATAGCCAGGGTTAAATATTGTTTAATGAACCGGCATATCCAGGGTTCCATATTGTTTAATGAACCGGCATATCCGGGTTAAATATTGTTTAATGAACCGGTATATCCAGGGTTCAATATTGTTTAATGAACCGGTATATTCAGGGTTAAATATTGTTTAATGAACCGGTATATCCAGGGTTAAATATTGTTTAATGAACTGGTATATCCAGGGTTCAATATTGTTTAATAAACCGGTAGATCCAGGGTTAAATATTGTTTAATAAACTAGTAGATCCAGGATTAAATATTGTTTAATGAACCAGTATATCCAGGGTTAAATATTGTTTAATGAACCGGTATATTAAGTGTAAAAAGTTTAATTTTGTTTAATGAACCAGTAACCCAAGTGCACAGGGTCAAATATTGTTTAATGAACCAGTTTATTAAGCGTAAAAAGTAAAATATTGTTTAATGAACCGGTAACCCAAGTGCATAGGGTTAAATATTGTTTAATGAACCGGTATAATATGTGTAATTTTTTTTTGAATTGTTTAATGAACCGGCAACCCAAGTGCATGGAGTTAAATGTTGTTTAATGAACAGGTATATTAAGTGCATAGGGTTAAACATTGTTTACTAAACCAGTTATCAAAGTGCATAAGTTAGATATTATTTACTAAACCAGTTCTCCAAGTGCAAAGGGTTTAGATATTATTTACTAAACCAGTTATCCAAGTGCATAAGTTATATATTATTTACTAAACCAGCTATCTAAGTACATAGGGTTAGATATTATTTACTAAACCAGTTCTCCAAGTGGCATAGGGTTAGATATTATTTACTAAACCAGTTATCCAAGTGCACACAAGGTTAAATATTGTTATATTCCCCCGCATGAAATCATTTCGAAATGGAATTTGAAGAGCGTAACTTGAATAATTTGAATATACTGTAGAACATTTAGAAACGAAGTATCTACTTTCATATCTATATCATTTGGCTTTAGTATAAGTTTTTTTATTTGTCATTTTGGCGTGCCTAGAAAAACGCTAAACTCATAAAACACTACAAAGATAAAACGCTACCCCATTAAACTTCACTCATAAAACGCTACCAGCAAAAAAGGCAAACTTTGAATCGTAACTTACTGTTTTAGAAGTAGAATTTTGCCAGTCCATCTTTTTAACACGTTCCCATTTACTTTTGGCATAATGAAAAAAGCATTCTTAAGGTTTCACACTAGAAAAATATTCAGCAAGAGTAGCTCGAAAATATTTTAGAATCTTTATTGTTTTTATTTAAAAACTCATGCTCCCGTAGTGGCAACATAGTGAAATTGTTGAATATTTGCAAAATGACATATTTGAGTATTATAACGATATTGAGGATAAATTTCGTCGCTTTCCACGCGCCGGTATTAAACCCAAAAGCTGTGTCAATACACACTATATAGTAATATAGTACGATATTATAATTGACCATTTCCAACCTCCCCCCATTCTTGGCTCGGTAACCCCTCCTGTGTCAAGTTTGAAAATTTAATTAGTAGTGTATAAAAAGTATAATTTATCATCCAATCTAAAGTTCAATTTTAATTTTATGAAGTTTTGATAGAGTAGCGTTTTTCTTCTCTATAAGCGTTTTATCTATTTAGCGTTTTATGAGTGTAGCGTTATTTTAGTATGACCGCCATTTTATGTCGACCTAATAATAATATCAAATAAATTTAAAGAAAGAACCTAAGATTGATTGATCAAGGATCATGGCGAAGACCTAAACCAACATTAATTTTATAAATGACTAAAAGACTGAATCTACTTCTTCTAGTAATCTTTTCATCGAATTCTCTGATAACAACTCTTCCAGCACCATTACCCCATGCAATATCTTAGTATTTATATCTAAATGGTGCAAGCAAGAAAACACAAGAGTAATTTTATGCTCAAGACCCAATTTCAGTTTTTACATATTCATAATATTGCGGCATTATGATTTTTTTTTAAATGTCTAATTATTTTATAAATTCCAGGGTTACGTGAAGCCGGAGGCAAGACTTACTAAATAGAAATGTAAAAAAATAATGTGCCCTAATCTCAAAAACAATTTAAAAATAACGTTGTACAACTAGAAAGTACGGAAGCTAAGGTTTTCAAGAAAATTCCAAATTTACACTTTTCTCAAATACTACACTTTGCTTGGCATGATAAAATTCCAGTGTTAAAATCCATAAATATGTAAAATCTGAACAAAGGTCTGTCAGGAAGATGCAGTGAGTAGTTTGAATACCCTGGGGAAGGGGAGCGAAGAGCTGAAACCTTCTCATTTCTCAGCTGAACCCTGAACCAAACAAGACTAAATAAACAATTCAGTAAACAATTCAGTGTTGGCATTCTTCCTTTCTCAACCTTATCTTCTTGAATGGGATAAAAAGCCCTTTCTCTTATAGGAAACTAGATTTAAAACAAAAGATAAAGTTTAAGAATAGAAAAGGAAATACAGGGTAATAAATCTTCAGTTTTAATAACGTCTGTTTGAATGAATAGAAAATGTATTTTTAATGCAATAAATTCAATTTGTTAATTTTTTTTCATTTACAGGTTTAAAAATCATGAAGGAACAAAACATCAATATTGCGTTTTGATGAATTTTCGATTTTAATAATGTCTGTTTGAATGAATAAGTATTTTTTAATGCTACAGGCTGGCCAAAAGTTTTTGAGAAAAATCCGTACAAAAATCCGTACATTAAAAAAAAATCCGTGCAATTCATACAAAAAAATAATTTTTATTTCTCATTTCTATTATCTTTCATTTTCCATTGAGTTCTTATGTGATGGTTAAAACTTTTCATCAAAGGCTGACCTTCAGGCGCGTAAACGGGGGGAGGGGGGCAGTAATCCTCTTGGGCTCCCTCTGGGATTTATAGGCAAACCGTCATTTTTTTTAGCAATAATGAATAACGCTATGTGAGTAAGTAATCCTTGACCTTAAAATTATAAAAGATTTAAAGTTAGGATGATTTTTGTAAAATCCTTTGCACTTTATCAACATTCTACAGTCTACAGTGTTCCCAATAAACATGAGAATTAAGTGACGACTTTAAGCAACTCTTTAATTTTCAAATGTAAAGATACAACGAGACAAACCTCCTTTTTGAAAGCTTTAAACATGTAACAAGTAAATGATGAGGACTTGTTAATTCCCATGTTTATTGGGACATGACATGAAAACCATTTTTTACCAGTGTTCATTAATCTAAGGTTTCTTTTTAAGCTAATATTTTGAATAATCAACAGTTTTTTTTGAACTTTGGCAATCTAAAAATATAATTTCATATTTCATGCGAACTTTGACCCGTCGAAAAATTTAGCTTTTTTATCAATCGGTACATTGTGTTTTCTTCAAAAATATTTGATCTAAATTTAGTCAAAAAATTTAACATTTTAAGATTTTTGACTTGTACTCAAAGAAGCGTTAGTAAATAATATGAGGCCTAGAAAGACTAAATTTACGCTTAAAAATAACTGAAATTTTGTGCGTATCAATGACACCATGATTGAAAAGGATTGAACAAAAATTCTTCCCTCAGTACGAAATACGCAAAATACTGCAAAGTTTTTTGTAGGACACCATGTACTTTTGGAACATATTCTCGAATGAACACTTCTAGAACATATCTCAAAAAGATTAAAGAATGAATTTTAATTGTCAACTGAAACAACAATCAACCTAATATAATTCGGAATGAACTTCATTTCGACGACACTTTTTTTGATAATTGACATGCAAAAATTTGCTTTTGTTGTCAAAATAAAAAAAAAATAATGTTTTTCCGGGCTGAAACTTCTGACTTTATCCGTACAATTTGACATTTGTTGGTAAAAATGAAATGGTACAATCCGTACATTTTGGCCACCCTGTATATATTTGAAGGATAATTTTTTCACTGAAAGTAAAACAACTTTGTATTTTGATATAAATATTTGAAATACTGTTTTCCTGACTAGAAAGGAGGAATATAAATCTTTAAATATTTTATAAACCTAACACATTTTCCGACAAAAATATCTAGATAAAACTTCAGACAGAGCTGCACCAATTTTCCCACAATCTTAAATTTCTTTTTCAAATTTTCTAGAAGAAGAAGTATTTAGATTTAAATTTTGTAATATCAGAGAAGCTTCCAAAACACATTTTTAATAACAAAGTTTTTATACGAGGCATGATACAGTGCAGCACACGTTTGCTTTACATTAAAACAATATACAAACACAGAATACTTAAATATACGCAGATATCTACATGGAATCATCAACTTATCTAGCTACCTAAGTATGCTGTTTAAGAAACATTTTTTATATTTTATTTTATAAAAAAAATCAAATTTTTTTAGTTCAATTTTTTCTGTAACCTTGTGGATTACATTTATCCACACCAAAGTATGATACTAGTTTTGTGGTATTTTTTGCACATGTGATCACATGTGAACTTTATTTTAAGAAGAACAAGGAGGTTTGCTTACCAATTATAATAAAGCGGTCGTCGTATATATCGATACGATGAAGACGACTTTTCTATTTACGTTTGGATTTCTATCAAGCTTTTTTCATATTACAAGTTTACAAGCAAACAAAAAAAGTTTTTTATTGACAGCTTCTCTTTGTGTCCATGCTTAGTGTTTGGAAGCTTGGTGAAAGTCAAAAACTAAAATAAAAGTCGTCTTCATTGTATTGATATATACGACGACCATTATAAATACAATGATAAATGAAGTTGTGTTGCAATATCACAGTATTGGTACAAATCTACCAGAGTGATATTCAAATTAGATATGCCCTAACAGTATTGGTGTGTACTGGGATATTTACGTGTACTATTGGTATGGACTGGGATATTTACCTGTACTATTGGTGTGTACTGGGATATTTACCTGTACTATTGGTTTGTACTGGGATCTCATCGACTCTTGTGGGGATATCTTTATACTACCTCCGTCATTCTAAAAAAATTACAATTATTATTATCAAGCATTCATTGGCCAAGTAAAATATTTGAGAACAATGATTATTCTAACTTTTTTACATCGAGATCTTGTAGAGAAAATGAGAATTGAAAATTTTTTTTGCTAAAAAATAGATTACTCTAATTGGTTAAAAAATGACACTCTGAAATTGGTAAGAAATAAGGCTCTAAAATATTTTAACATATGAATGAGCCCCAGTAATGTGCCCCCCCCCCCCACCGTTGTAAGAGATGAACCCTGGAATTTGTAAGAAATGAATCACTGAAATCTGTGAAAATAATAAACTAATATTTCATAGAAGCCTTGAATATAAGTTCTACTGAATAAATTATTAAGTTTAATTGGTGAGAATTAAAAGTTTCTAAATGGTTCTAACAAGAGCAGTGAGCAGAAAATGAAAAGTAAATAATTTATTTGGCTGACATGCATACACACAAAACCAAGCAGAAGATTCCATTTCGAGGGAATTTGAATTGATTTATAGGACTTAGATTTAAATAAAGAAAGCAGAGGGGGGTGGATTCAGAATTCTGAATAAAGATTTACAAATATTTAAGATAAATGTATAATGTATATAACTCGAGTATGGATATCAGGATAAATAAAGAATAAAAACAAATAAAGATACGAGGTTAAAAATATGAAAAGAATATGGATGTACATTGTACATTAACGGTACAGGATAAGTAAATCCTAATACCTGTCCTGCCGCTTTATATCCAGACTTCTGAATACGCTTTAGAAGCCGAGCAACCCAGAACTGTTGTTCCTCGATAGATGGAGCCATCAGTAACATCTCCTTAGCCGTTGTAGGATCATAACTCACCTAATGTCAACTTACACATTAATTCCAGTTTTGGTATTTTTTTATGAGGAATTAGAATGGCAAAGTAAAATTTCTCGTACTGTTATGACACGTTTTGTAACGACATCAAGGCCAAGAACGGATAATTTTGGAAAATATACATAATACATTAATAATAGAAATTAATTCTTGATGAAAAGATAAGTTTTGGGTTCTATTGTTCCTTACCTTGCAGGGTACAACACCTTCTCCGTTCCCAGTAGAATGATCCTTATGCAGCTTAACTCTACATCCTAGAATAGGTTTAATTATGTAGCTTAACTCAACATCATAGAATAGGTTTATAACGATAAATTACTACTTAACCGGGAGTTTTCATGAGGATAATTAAATTGAGGGGAAAACCACTTAGCCTTGGGCCTCCTCGACGAAATCAATAGAACTTTGAATTATGATTTTAATTATCTTATTCCTTACTAATGCATATGGAAGAATATTTAATTTCTTGATCTAAATCTTGAATTAAATCTGTATGGATCACAGAGGGAGGATAAGTAATTATCCTCCCTGTAAAGAGGGAGGATAAGTAATTATCCTCCCTGTAAATAGGCAGGATAAGTAATTATCCTCCCTGGAATTAAAAAAGGAGGGAATTTAAGGTTGGTTATTTCGTTGAACAGGAGATTAATTAAGTAGCTTAACTCTACATCCTAGGTTAAGTTTAATTATGCAGCTTAACTCTACCTACATCCTAGAATAGGTTTAATTATGCAGCTTAACTCTACCTACATCCTAGAATAGGGTTAATTATGCAGCTTAACTCTACCTACATCCTAGAATAGGTTTAATTATGTAGCTTAACTCTACATCCTAGGATAGGTTTAATCATTAGCTTAACTCTTCATCCAAGAATAGGTTTAAATATGTAGCTTAAGTCTACAATCTACATCCTAGAATAGGTTTAACTAAGCAGTTGGATACAAAAATGCATTTAGACATTTGTTCAAATACGGGGTTCGGCGGGAAGTTAAATGTGAAATTTGAGATTTAAAAAAAATTGCTAAAAAGAGGAACAAGATTTAATTATATTCCTCTTGTATGCTTTAATGTATCTTCATATCAGGAAATAGATATTTGATAACATTAAGTCCAGAATCCTGATTTAGGGAAACCGCAAAAATTCATCTTCAACGAATTTAAATCTTAGCATTTAGAAAGCTTCTTTCAACTTGATTGATTAGGCAATGCGTAAATACAGTTTTGATTTTTTTAAACTTGTCTACTATTTATTTCAATGAAATATTGTTTAGGGTTTAAAGGGCGTAAACAAGTTGTCAAGGGGGCTTAAATTTTTTCTTTCTTTCCAGGGGGGAGACTTAGCACCCGTTGGGGACTGAAACTCCCTAAAACCATATATTTTACTGATCCAGGGGGGGGGGGGCTGCTCCCTCTTTGCGCCCCTTCCCTTGTGAACGCTTCTTTTCAACCATATTAAAATATTCGAATGTACTCACGTCTACACTCCACTGCAGGAGGGGGTCTGAAGGGGGCCCAGAGGGGTTTAGTGCACACCTCACAACTAGTCGGCATATGGAAGGTTATCTGAACGAACTCATGACCCTAAAAATAGTATTTCTTATAATCAATACTTTTTGATTCGTTTGTTAGCGTTCATAAGCATCGTCTTCCTCCGGGCCCTGCTTTTTCTCGAGTTATAAAAACAACAAACAGACAAATAAATATACATATACTAAAATTACAGGGCGCTTTTCTAATATTTTACATGTTAACCATTGCTATTCATGCTGCCATTTTTCTTAGTTATTGTAAAACGTATAATTCCTAATTAAAATTATTTACTTTTCTGATAGAGCTTAGAAGATTATTCTTTTTAAAATAATAAAGTTTCAAAAATTGTAAATTTGAATCTTCATTCTTAGTTTCCAGTTTGACAGTCCAGAAACTGTTTTGTGGATTTGAGATTTGTTTCCGAACCCATTTAAGGTTTTACCTTTTTTCATACATGCTCAGGTTTATTAGAATTGCAGCCTTCTAGTATACTGTATTTATATATCTGGTTTTATATCTGGTTCATATTTGTAAACAAAATTTAAGGTTATAATGTACACATTTTATAAAATAGTCGGGCACTCGGCATAAAAAAAAAGAAAAAAAAATTGTCTCGAATCGGTTTATCTAGTAGATAGTCAACCTACAGTATATTTACGACGGGGGTGGGTGGGTTAATTTTTATGTTTGTTACACTTCTCTAAGACAAGGTTTGGCCAGTTAAAGTTAACAAACATACACGCACACTGCGACTCTACATTACATAAAGAACATATACATATACATATATATATATATAAATCCAACTTATGTAATAAATAATCCCATACTAATATTATTCTAGATATATTGAAACAAATCAATACCTAGTATAATAAATGAATACAGATACTACCCAACCCTCGTTTATCAAACAACATGGACCATACTGTGGGGGTTCTTGGACGGAACAGAGATGAATTGGGTTTAACTCGCTCCCTAAGAGATTGAAAAAAAAAACGGTAAAATACTACAACCTNCCTTAAAAACAACTGACATTTTTTTCTAACCCGGTGTTAGGTATTTTCCCAAATGTGCAACTTCCAAAGCGGCAATTTCTCAAAGTTTAGGTTAGGCCTTCTAAGGCGCCCCATGCTGCAATGGGGCAGAGCGCCGCGGCAATGGCAGCATTGGGAATTTTCAACTTAGGAAATTGCACATATGGGAAGATGCTACTTGTTATATGTACCCATGGGAAGTTGCTACTTGGGAAATGTACCTAAAAGCACTAAAATGTCCCCTAATTTTTCTTTAGAAAATACATCACGAGAATGTAACAGCTTCAAACCATATTGGGTAATTTTTTAATACCTGAATTCGGATCTAAAACGCCAATACAAATATATTACCCCCCCCCCCCCTCCTCCCACTGCCAATTCTTTATTATCTGAGGAGAACGATCTGTAGATTGTAGAACTGAATTGATTTTATCAAGTTTTTGACCGAGGATGTTGAGATGAAGAAATTCTTTGATGTTTATTTCCTCTTGCTTCTTCTCAGTAGATTCATTGCAAATATAATGGTTCATTGCTTCTATAGGATTATTTATTTTATATATATCGGCTATATAGAAGAATGGGGCGCAACCACTGTACACTTACAACTGTTTACTAATAAAGATATACTATAATTTAGGCCAGAATTTGCTTATACTAACAGAGGCGCAACTAGGGTATGGGGAGGCCGGGCGCCCCCCCCCCCCTAGCACCTGAGAAGGGGGGGCCCCCTGCAGAATGATTGGCGAATATCAGTATCACAAGAGTCAGGAATAATAAAACCAAAAGAGTTATTGTAGAAATTGTATTCTACTATGGTTATCTTTAAAAAAAATACTTAAATCTTTCTGAATTCTCAAGGATAATGGCTAAAATGTAAGATAGTTCCGAACTGTATTGAATTTGTGTTGAAATATCAAAGGTTTACACCACTCGGTGCAAAGATTTAGGGATTAGGATTGAGTTTGTGACAAAAACTCAGTTCCAAGTCATAACGTTCTGAGACTGCACCTAGCAAACTTCTAACTGATTATCATATTTGATAACTGTAACATTTTTATCTTCTTTGAAAGAACTTCTATAAAACCGAAAATGAAATAAGATTATGAATGTTGGTAAGAATGATCAATCATAAATTCAATAACTTTAGGAGAAAACGTAACATTATCTGTCCTTTTCCAATGTAGATGATTAAAATTATATATGAATTTTATGTTTTTTTTTCTTCAGAATACCAGGTACCGCGCACACATAAGAATTGAATGACTCATATCGTTAATTTTACAGATGTTGAAAGTATAAATTAAAAAAAAAAAACACGATAAAATACCGATTTGAATTGAACACAGCCAATTCTGCATGCAACAACTGAAAATTTTGCCCCCCCCNCGCCTCTGTATACGAATCAAATATTCAGTACGGTCTCGGTATAGTTCCCGGCCTATTAAATTAGTAAAGAGCTTGGACACTTGTTATGGAGACTTATAAACTTGTGATTGTACATTAATTATCCTACCTTCATTGTAAATGTCTGAACTTTCTCAGTTTCATTCATGACAGGAGGAGTAGCATTCTCATCCGGTTTCCTGCTCTCTCCCTCACCAGCATATAAAACCTAATATAAAGTGCACTTTAAAAAAGTCCAAAGTATTTTTTTAAGCATATTTTTTGCAAGTCTATTAACCTGGAATATTCTAGGTATTTCTCTAGCCTCAGCTCGGATCACATCTCCCTGAGTTACACTCCGCACATGGAAAACCTGAACAGTTCAAAATATCATTAATGCCAGGTTTTCATAGGTTATATTAATTACATGATTTTTAAAAATCATCAAATAAAAGAGAAAAGTAAGAGGAAGGATTTTAAATTTTAAATTTTAACTACAAAGCCAAAAAGAAGAGAGTTCAAAATATCATTTTTATTTATTCTACGCCATCATAATTTTATACTTTCCTCCTTACTTCCCTTACTCTCCCATCCTTGATTTCTTTTTTCCTCCTTACTTTCCTTACTTTCCTTACTTTCCTTAATTTTCTTACTTTCCCATCCTTGTTTTCTATTTTCCTCCTAACTTACCTTACTAAGGTCCAGGATAAGGCTTGGATCTGAATTCTGTTTATCAACTTCAGAGTTAAAGAAAATAATCTTTCTCGAGCTGACAACTATATACAGCTTCTTCCAACCATGCCGCCTGATATATGGAAGAAAATTAATCAACGCTTAAGCAAGTGATACAATTTAATCCTAATGCTGTTGGTTGGTTTCAAGTTAAACTTGTATTCTGTAGTTTAACTATTGTTGGTTACTAGTTTAACTAGTGACTGAGTTCAACGTTTGGTTCTTATTTTAGCTTAATTTGAATCCTAGGTTTTTAAGAATCCTAGTTTAACTTGTATCCTAGAGTTCAAGGTTCCTAGTTTAACTTTTATCCTAGAGTTCAAGGTTCCTAGTTTAACTTTTATCCTAGAGTTCAAGGTTCCTAGTTTAACTTGTATCCTTGAGTTCAAGGTTCCTAGTTTAACTTGTATCCTAGAGTTCAAGGTTCCTAGTTAAACTTGTATCCTAGAGTTTAAGATTCCTAGTTAAACTTGTATTCTAGAGTTCAAGGTTCCGGGTTTCACTATTACATATGTCATGTTTAAGTGTTCATCTGTAGATTAGTTTCTAGTTGTATTTTAAACTTTACTTAGAAGATACGTTCTAATTAATAAATCATACTTTAAATCATTTGAGAAAAATAATAGAGCTAAAAGGTTTTGTATAAATGTAAGCGTAAATGTCAATTTATTTATTTTCTTTTGAACTGTTAATGATAAAATTGAGTGGAAGAAATTGAAATATTATCTTTTCTGCAAGGAATTTTGATTCTGTATCTAGAATTGACGATATAATAGAAAACCTTCTTTCAATGGAAATGAAAGAAAAACACCTTTCTACGAGATAAGACCAGGGATGGGGTTTTATGAATCCTATTCTAAATAAACCGGAAGAATTTTAATTGATTAAGACAATCGTCTTTGACCTTTGAAACAGTTTGCGGCATTCATCAAAGGCAACCCAATTTAAGCATTATTATTTTATGAAACAACTAGCTGAAGCCTGAAGGGCCCGACGTTGCCCGTGGAATAAAATAAAATATTGAAAAAAAATATTAAGAAAATAATTTCGTTTTTTTGGCCTATAACACCCGCCGTCACACCTGAGTGTCCACAACAACTGTTTAGCCCAATTGGTCCAGCCGTTTGGCCGGCTAAGACATAAAATATATTATTATATATATACGAATGTCTTGTTTTATTATATAGATAGATAATCAGATAAAGAAATTAAGAATTTTGTTTAAATTTGAAATTAATATATAAAACCATTAAAATGTCTAAATCTAAACGTAACCGTTCATATCTAGACAGTAATTATGAAAGCTGCAAAAAAATGGCCGATCACATTCAACGACGACTTTGTAGTCTTCAAACTAAACAAATAATTCCGGTTTATTTAGAACAGGACTACATATTGAATTCATCTAATCTTTTATATTTTGAATGTTAATTATAATTATTGAATTGATTGAAAAGTTGAATTAAAGGATACAAGTTATAAGTTGGATCGTTAAATTATAAAAGGATACAAGGGTACAAGGATATCAACTGATTGAATATTTAACAAATATTACCTAATATTTTGTTTGCTGGGTGTCTGTAACCATCCTTCAAGACTAGCCTCTGTATCTCCTTCCATATCTGTTCCTAGGAAAAGGAATTGAGTCTTTGCCACAAACATTGATTTCCTAATCCCAATATCTTTGTAACCTTTATGTCGTAGATCTTAGAACTTTCAAACTAAGTTTGAAGGTTTACACCATCAGGTTGCAAAGATTTAGGGTTGGAAAATTTGAATTCTTGGGAAAGATAAATAATTATTCATAAAATGTTGGATTCCGAAAATTTAAACCCCTTTCAATAAGTACTTTATTACCCAAATTATCATCTAGTCTTAAGTTCAACGCTAGAATATAGTGTATATATCCCAGAACATACACAATTTATTGTTATCCTTGTTTGACGCTTTGCAGAGAGAGACGTTTCACATTTATTTGATTTAATGTCTTGTAAAGGATTAAATTCACATTCCAGAGAAAAATATTTTCATGGAAAGAAACTGGAATCTGAACTGACTACCGCCAGATAAAAATTGAATCACCCATTCAAATCCTTCCTTAATCTTAAACTTTGAATCGGTGGTTCAAATTTGAACCGGCAGTTTACCGACGTAGCTCAAATTCATTCAATTTAGTCCCTGGAATTTTACAACAAGCTGAACCCACCTGTTCCAGAGCAAATACTTTCAGTGTCTATATTGAGGTGAGTTATCTTCATCTGTAAATTCTCAACCTTAACAATGTAATATTTAAAATATAGAAAATAATACTTTACTCATCTTATCTCATAAACAAATGGTTTTGTCATGTAATTCCCAACCTAAAGAGAAGAAAATATTTACTGTAGGGTGACCCCCATAAAATATGGGAATTAAGCGACAACTTTCATAAATCATATGGAGTTGTCGAGTTATAACCACAAATTCAAATTTTTAAAATTGGAACATCATTTGTTTACGAAAGGATTTGAGTTTTGCCTTAAACTCAAATTTTCAAATCTTTATATCTTTGCAGCCTGATGGTTGATATCATAAATATTTCAAACTTAGACTATTTGATCTAACAGACTTCAAAGTTTGAAATATCTAAGGTCTACAACATTGGGTTGTAAATATATAGGGATTAGAAAAAAAAGATTTTGTGGCCAAAACTCAATCCCTTTGTCTAACATTTATTAACAGCGTCTATTTTTATAATATTTTTAAGTATTTTAGGATACAAAATTTCTAGATTCTCAATTACTGTACAGTGAGAACCAGAAAACTCTGGAATAGGAAGACGACTTTTAGACAAAGTTTGTCTTGAAATAGTTCAATAAACATGAAGGACAGCAATTTTGAACTGTAAACAGGCTCATTTCAATAATAAATTTAATAAGTTACAAATGAAACTATTTGCTTCGTAACTATATCAAATACACTTTATTGCTATTATGTCGTCTTCCTATTCTAGAGTTTCTGGTTCTAGCTGTATTAAATATGATCAGTGTAATTCGGGGTTGCAGATGAAGACGTATTTCAGACAATATACTTAAAAACTAACTGAATTTTTGCCAGAAACTCGGATTTTCTAATCCCTATATACAATTGCAACCTTTGATATTTCAAACTATAAATTCTGTTAGATTAAATATCAAAGTTAAAAATATAACAGATTTACACCTTCAGGTTGTAAAGATATATAGTTTGTGGCAAGAAGTCGATTCCTTTACCTCGCTCTCTTTTGTATCTAATTCCATGCTGAGCTTGAGCCTGGCCTGACTCTCCTCGTATAGAGTAGCTTGAAGGTTCTGTAGATCTGCCTGATACTTAGCAACCATCTGGTTGAACTTCTCCTTCTCAGTCTCCAACTCATGCTTCAGCTTCCTGTTCTCCTTCTCCCGCTTACGTAGCTCATCAACGGAAACCTTCTTGCTCCCTTGCTTCGGCTAAAATATTAACAGAGGTAAAAACTTGTGTATGAAATACAAAAATAAAGGGTTTTTTGGGCTGGTTTTTTTTATGCCAACCCTGTGTAGATCCCGGGATTCAAAATAGAAAAGTTGGTTTAAAGTTATCTTAGAACCAGTAATTAGGATCAGTTTCTCTTAGTAAAGTTTTGACGCATTTTTTTGCCACTTAGATCCGCATATTTTTCCGGGTCCTGCACCAGAGTCTAAAACTAAAGAATGCGCGAATTTTAAGTTCGAGGTTAAAAGTTCTGTAAAATAATAAATCAGAGAAAAGGATCTAAAGAATTATTACGTAAGTATCGGTATTCGGTAATAAGCTGTTTAAATTTTAAATTATTTACGTGACGGAAAACAAAACATATTTCCAGTTACAACCGTGTTTTGGGTTTACGTGCAAACATTAATTAATCTAAAACGTTAAATTTTATTAAATCAAGGTTTTTACTTTTAAATATATCGTAATTAGTTGAATGCACTTAGCGCTGAATGATGATAGACAAAAAGGGATTGTGGGATTTCAAGATTTTATAACCCTCTTTTTAAATTTTAACTCTTCGATTTCTGCGAGTTAAATATTTAGCCACAGGGTTAAATATTTAACCTCACGGTTAAAGTTCAGGTTTAAATTAAGTCAGAAGTGGCATTTAACCATAAACTTAAAATTTAAGTCAAAACTTTTCGTTCTTTAGTTTTAGACTCAGGTAGCTAATATGTTGCAGATCCAATGTATCTGGATCCTGAGTACTCCTCAGAATTTTAACCAGAGATAAGTTTGAAAAGAAACGAGACGTGATAATATGATAATCTTATGAGGAAAAAAATGTAATAATGGAAATTCTTAAACGAGATGAAATAATCTTGATGTATTCTTTAACGAAGGCCGCAGGCATGAGTTAAAGAATGCATCAAGATTATTTCATCGAGTTTAAGAATACCATTATTACATTTTTATCCTCATAAGATTATTATTATATCATATTTGTGAGGTTCCATGGGCACATACCCAAGAAATTATATTAAAAAATAATTCTGGTGAAAACCGACTATTTCAAGTTGGAAGAGTTCACAGTATGAAAGGTTGCAAATAAGTTTTATGCTCTTGTTCTGACTAACACTGTTTTTTATTTTTCTATTGTTAAAATGTTAAAAAACAAACATTTTAAAAGTAAAAATTGGTTCTTAATTTGAAAGTAATGCATGTGGTGTGATTGTTTCCTTAGTTTAGTTTGTTTGTTTACCAATGATTTTGCTCGTTTTTTAAGTTGATACTACATTTAGATACAGCATGTTAAATGTGCCCTGAGTTTTTTAGATGGAGAGAACGTATAGTAGTGGGTTGTCTTAAAATACTGAACAATATCGTGTCTTCATTTATAGAAGAAATCAATTTCTGGATATTAGATCCTAAATCTTCCAAAAAGAGGTGATAAAAGCAGGTTATCTAGTAAGAATCAGTTCGACCTAAACTGATGAAGATCTTTGTCTTTTATTCATGAAGCAAGATTTACTGGTTTGTTTTCATTGCTATGGAGTGCTAAGACTCCATTAAAAGTGTGACACTAATATTTCAATGATAAGTTTTTATACTTTTTTTTGGTTTTGATTGTGGTTTCACTTCATCATTTCGAACTATGCGAGATATGGTGACTCAGACTGAAAAGCTCTGACCATTCTATTACAAGTATGCAGAGATTTGCAAAATCTCACCAAACTTGGGTTTGAAATGAAGATGAACTTAAAAAAATTTATAAAGTAGGCAGTCGGGCAGTATTCTTTAAGACTCGGCAGTTTGATGAAAGTGTCTAATGTAAGGCTAAAGGCATCGTCCATATTTTTGGGAATGGTCAGAAAATGTTAACTTCCACTCTTCTGTCAGGACTAGGGTTGAGATTCAAATTGATATTTCTGAATTTAGGTATATCAATACTTCAAAAAACGAAAAAGGTAAGTGAGCATGTTTTACTAAAGTAAAAAAGGTAAGTTTGCATGTTTTAATATAAAAGAAAAAGGTAAGTGAGCATGTTGTTTTTAAGTTAAAAAAAGGTAAATTTGCATGTATTAATGTAAAAGAAAAAGGTGAGTTTGCCCTGTGCATGTTGTCAGTACAAAATAATTAAGTTAATATCAATATTGATCTATACTGAAAAGATCAATATAAGGTGCGTGTAAGAATGAATATTCTTTAACTAGTGTAAGAATTTCCATTCTTTAATGCTTGGAGCGTGTAAGAATATACATTCTTTCACGCTCTGACCGTGTAATAATTTCCATTCTTACACGGTCTGAGCGTTAAAGAATGAAAATTCTACACCTTCAGTGTAAGAATAAGCATTCTTAGTACCCCCATATCTTCAAAAATTGTTCTTTAAAATATTCAACTCTGAAGATTTTTCAGTTGTATGTTCTACACAAGTGGATTAGGTTTGATTAGGTTAATATGTATTGGTTTAACGGTCTGTTCTATTATCCCAGAACCAAGAATGTTAAATGTTAAATGTTAAACCACTTTAAAGGGATTGTTTGCCATATTCCAAGGGACTCTTTAATTTAAGATTTCAAATAACGATTAACAACTTATGAGTAAAATTAAGATGGCAAAGATTTAGACGCTTCCTCTTGCATTCTAAAAAACAAGGCATTCAGGGCGCTTCGCGCCCATCTTCTATTTCAATTGTGAATATTTTTTCTTTGTGTACATTGTAAAAAAGTATATATTATAGATTTGAATTGGTAAATTACGTATTCAATTCTATATCCAACTTTCAGTAAATGAAAGACCATGGTAAGAGCTGATCTTAAAATCATGAGAGTTTAAAATTGTATTTCTTGCAGTGCTTTGGATTCCTGGATCCGGATCCAAGGGCGATATATCAACCAATTTCTTTACCTCAAAACTCAAATCTGAATTGATAGAAAAAGAGAGATTATCAAAAATTTCTTTTTTCCTGATTGGTTTATTAAGTTGTTTCATAAAAATAAGTGAAAAAAGTAAGAAAAACAATTAGAAAATTCTTCTTGTTCATGACCTGGATCCGGATCCATGTCATGAACAAGACAACGGTACCCGGAGAAGCTTTATATAAATGATTAAGAATGAAAGTATTATTCTTGATTTCTCTGTAAAAATGGGTTGCGGATTACAAACAATGACAGGAATTGTGAGATTTAAACATTTTTCAAGCCAGAAAACCGACCGTACATTATACATTATTATTAAGATAAAGGAGGGTACCATTGTGAATAGAGTATGGTTATCCTTAATTGAAGGGTCGAATCAAGGTAATCAGAAAAGGAAAGTTGTTGCGTATTCTCTGCGTATTTATTGAAACCAGTTCTTTCTGTGCGGTGTTTGGAAACAAGCATAGATGCACCAGTGTTACTCTACTATCCGAGGAGGATAAAAGCATTTAACTTGTAAAATTTTTTTAATTCAGATCATAGTTTCTCATGACTAAACTAGTTCATTGACTTTTTATGTGAAAGATGGTTCCCGTGTCAGGCTGTGACATCCGTCTTGTGTTTACTTTACCGCCCAGAGACAGTACACTGCCGTACAATTCCAAAATAACTATCTTTACATTATAATTCTTTGGTTCGAATGAAATAAAATGACAGTCTCTTTAATCTTTACCTGTAAATCCTTCCTCATCATCATCTCTGCTAGTTTATTGATCGCCTGATCCTTCTTAATCTTCTCCTCCCGCAGCTGTTTCTCTAGTTTCTCCACCTCCTCCTTGTTATCCTCCTTTCCTCCTTCCCTCTCCTCCCGTTCTCGGCTCAGCTGATCAATTCGTCCCAACAGATCACTCTCATTATCCTAAACATAAGACAATACCTTCTAATACGTCCAAATAAACACAGGAATTGAGTGACGATTTTGATGTCGTCTTTGTACATGATATTTTGATGTATGGTGATTGGTGATGCATACCACGAACATAAGAAACAGCAATACTGCAGTGTAAACAGACCCATTTTACTTAATAAGTTACTATTATTGGTCTTTGCTTTGTATCAATAGTGTTGCTCTAATTTCGTCTTTGAACCACAGTTTTCAGTTTCTCACTGTGTTTAAAATACTAACCTTGAGTCCTGAAAGTTGTAGTTCCATATTTCTAATCTCTGCTCTGTGTTGAGAGTAGAGTTCTTTAACTTCTAGTTCTCTCATCATCTTCTCCTTCTCTAGTTCTCCCAGCTGCTGGTCAATTCGGTTCCTGGAATATAACACATTGGTCAGGATTTAATTTATACTAGGATTCCACGCGCCCTTCTTCGATTTAAACGGTTATTTGTTGATCTATTTGCGGCAATTCCTTCCTAAATTATCAATAATAACAAAACAAGAATTAATTGTTTTTTCGTGGATCGGTTCAGCTGTATTGGACGTTTATTGGATAAAAACGGACAGACAACCAAACAGCAAAGTAAATATATATAGAAGATTAATTTATTGTCAATCATGTGATTCGAACTCCGCAGTGAAGTCCATACTTAATCAAATCAAGTTTAAATCTGAAAGGGAACCCAATGTGCAACCCCCTGACTGCCTTCAGATATTTAAACCTCACTCTCACAACGCCCCCCCCCCCCTAATAATGTTTTGCAACATTTATTACATGTTTATTTGTTTTGAATTACCTGTTAATACTCTCTTGTTCATGAAGAGCTATAGCGGAGGATAATCTAATCTCTATATCTCCCTTCTCTCCCTCTAGTTCCTGGCATCTCACTCTAGCCTCTTCAACCTCCTCCTGGAGCTCACGAACCTGGGTCTTATACAACCCGGAGAAATATGCTTCCGCCTCAAGTTGATCCTCTAGCTCCTTTCTCTGGAGATCCTCAACAGCACGTGAACTACGAACCTAATCAGATTAACGGTTAACAAGTTAACAACTAAATAATTCAAATATGAACAATTGAACATTCAAAATATAAACGGTAACTTCTAACCATTTAAACAGTGAAGAACTGAACATTTTTACATGTAAAAAAAAATAATTATACTGTGTCAAACAATATACAGAATACAGATCCCCAAGTGAGTGCCGAAAGTAAATTGGATTGCGAGTTTTCTTTAAAGTTAAAAATGGAGACAGAAACATGGGTTTATTTTGATTTCTTTTACACAAAAATTAATTTTTATCTTCCCTAAAAATCGATCAATTTCCCCAATTCAGCGGATAAAACGATAAAAAAAAATTTTTATATCTAAACAAATATTTTCAACAAGCTTTCTATGGGGGAGGGGGTTTCAAGAAAAATTACTCCCCTGGACTGAAAACCATTTTTTTTACCTTCTGTAGTTCCTCCTCTAAGGATTTTGATCTCTCTCTGCTCTCTGTAAAGTCTCGGACTAATCTCTTCTCATTTGTTTTGAGTAGAGTTATCTCACTTGTCTTGACACTTAGGTCGGACTGTATCAAGGACTTCTCTTCAAATACTCTCTCCAACTGGGCAGAGATACTTCGAACCTAAAACAAAAATCATGATTATAACTTGCAAATAAAAACATTGATTACTGTATTGAGGTAAGGGTCGCAAAAGATTAAATAAAACGGAAAGAATTTCCTGTACAAAAACAAGAAAACCAAGTTTTCGCTTTATTAAATTCGTGAGAAAAATAAAACTTATGAAGTCTTTCTAGATTAAATAATTAATCCTTGCATTTATCAATTTAAGATTTTAAAACTTTGCTCGAATACAAATTTAAAAAGTTTCAGTGGTACGGAACTTTACGAAAAAAATTATAATTGAAAAAGTTTAAAAGAAATTTGTTTAATCCAACCTTCTCCGACTCCTGTCTATAGTCCGCTTCAAGTTTATCCAACCTATATTGGAGCTGACGGTTATCTACGGTTAGCATACTCAACTCCCTACTCTTCTCCTGGGCCTGGAGCAATCAATTAATCAATCAATCAAATAACCAACCAATCAGTCCATTTATTTTCAAAAACATTCCATACAACGATACAATTACACTATTATATTAAAACTTTGTTTTAAGATTCATCCATTCTTGGTTTAAAAAACCAATTGACAAATTAAAATTTAATCAAGTCAAACCAATCCTGGGATCAATTATTGCATAAAATATAAACCTGTGTTTCAGCTCTCTGTCTGCCTAGTTTCTCTTGATCTAGTTTGGACTCGATATTTCTGATATGATCCTGGCTTGCTCCGTCCTGACTGATTAATCTACTCTTCTCCTTCATCTGGGCCAATTGCTCTATTTGTCTAAAGAAAATCAAATTTTATTCATCCACAAACTACGAAAAATAAATTTATATTATTAAGAATATATTTACCTGAATTGGGATTCCAATTCACATTCAAGATTTGCTTTTGCTTTCTGGGCTTCTGCGAGCTGGGTAGCAAGCTCTGATCTCTCACGCGCATAATTGTTCTCGCGCTCACGGGTCAGCTCAAGATCCGATTTGAGCTGGTTCAACCGGGACTCTACTTCCTGCAAGTATTTTTTTAATACTAAAAAACTTGAGATTTTAACGAGAAAAATATATATATGAAACTGTGTGTTGTGAGCGAAACTAACAAAATAATATGAAAATCTTCCAAATGGATAAAATCATAAAACCAATGTAAAATCAACCTTGGCATGAGCTGACATCTCAGCTCGTTTCCCCTGCTCCATCTGCAGCTGGGACTGGAGCCGAGCCGTCTCACGCTCATACGTGTTCCGCTCCTCACTCACAGCAGACATTCGCTCATTCAGCTCACTCTGCTGAGCCTCTACAGAGCTGCGAGCCACCTGGAGCTCAGCTATACTTTTTTTTAGCTTCTCCACCCCCTCCTGCTCCTTCTTTAACCTGTCAGAGAGCTGGTTCCTCTCCCTCTCCAGGTTACTGATCTTCTCCACAACATGATGGTTGTTATTCTGTTCTTTAGTTCTTCTATTCGTCTCATCTTCCAACTTTTTCCGGAGTTCCGTTCTTTCCTGCTCCACCTTCCTCCTGTTCTCCGACTCCTGTTCAGCTCTCCTGTTCGCTTCCTTCATCTCATGTCTTGACATTGCTAGATCTCTCTCTACTCTAGCAAACTCCTGTCGTGTCTCAGCTTCTCTCTGGTTCACGTCAGCAAGCTGTTGAATAGTTTTACCTAGAACACAAATAATTTGTCGTTTAAATCAAGATTTTCTCAATTATTACAATCATAAAATAATAACATGAAAAATTTGAGTGCGTCGAGGAGGAAAAAAATCTCGAATGTTATAAGTTTGGATAAATAGTGAAAGCATTTTGAGAACATTGACATGGAGTCATTTAGAAACCCTAAGTCCATTTATATATAAAATTTACTTAATCTCTCCGCCAGATCCTCTGCCCTAGCTCTCTCTCCGTCTCCATGATGATTAGTTCCGCCTCCAGACTAAATATAACACTCATGTGTAACAACAAAACAGAATGTAACAGCAGAACAAAAAAAATATAAATGTTATTTTTATAATTTTATAAAAAAAAAGACTTACCCCGTCAATCACGTCATTCTGCACATGCAATAACCAGTTGTTAGTATGAGCATTTAAAAATGAGAATTAATAATAATGTTTAATAGAATTTAAAAAAAAAAAATAAAAAAATACTCTATTGCGCCAAAAATTTCAATTTTTTAAAAAGAAATGAAAATAAAATTTTAAAAATTGGCATTTGAAATTTCAGGATTTTAAAAACATTTTAAGATCATTTTTGTCAAATATTATCATGGTCATTTATTTGATCTTTAATCCTGATATTTTATGATAAAGAAAGCAACCCTTCACCCGTAATCTTATCAATCAATCACTTACCCTGGGAGGTCTAGGGGGAGAAGATGAAGAGTTTAAAAGCTGGAAATCTTTACTGTACGTAAACCCAACAAAAGGAAGATGGTTCCCGGCAAACGCCTTCGGTGTGGGGAAATTCTCGTCCGGTGTGTCGTTATCGACATCGTCAAAGTGGGAAGTGTCGTCGTCCGATGTTAGATCTGGAACGACGGGTGGGACACAGTCCCGGATGGTGTGGAAGTCCCACTGGTCATTTTTAAAGAACGGATGTTTCATAATTTCCTCTACTCCGTTTTTTCCAAGCCGATTTTGCCGGTCCGTTAGAAATCCACGAATCAGGCTTCCGGCGGCCTTAGTCATCTCCACATCGTCCGGGAACTTGAGATATTTTTGATGTTCCATAATCTGATGATAGGTTCCTATGAGCGAGTCTGCATAGAAGGGCGGGTCTCCGACCAACATCTCGTATAGAAACACGCCCACACTCCACCAGTCACACTCCCGCCCATATTCTCCAGTTCCGCCCTGGGACTTGAGAACCTCAGGAGATATATAATCCGGAGTTCCAACAGCAGTTTCAGATCGAACCATACCGTCCGGTCCCATCTTCATGCAGGTTCCAAAATCAGCAAGTTTCAAGTGACCTTGTGCATCAAGCAGCATATTGTCTGGTTTCACGTCCCTGAGGAATAATAACGTGAACATTTTACTCAAACATTTGTTAAGAAAAGCCAAAATCCCAATAAACCGACATATTTTCAACTCGAAAAGAAAAAGATTTTTTCAATAAACAAATTTTTTGCGGAAAAAGACAGAGATCATAAATATAAACGTTAACAAGTCTGAATTAGGTGGGTGAAATTCTCAGATTTTAGAGAGTGTACACTGTGTGTACAGTGTACACATAATTTTTAATAACCCTTCATTTATTAAGAGTGGCTCGTCCGATTCACAACGGTACTAAATAAATGGAGGGTCACTTGCAATTAGGTCAACTAGGTCCTTTTAATTAGTGGAAAAATAAAAGGACCGAGGACAAAAGTAAATGCAACATTAAAATGAAAAACGTAACATCAAAACATCAGAATTGAACAACTTAATAAATTAAATTTGGAGTTCGGAAGGACATGAAAGATTTCTGAACTACCTGTGCACAAAGCCCATGCTATGAATAGCATCCAGAGCAAGGACGACCTCTGCTGTATAGAACCTTGCCCATTTCTCCGGTACATCGTAGTTGGACATTAGATTAACCAGATCTCCTCCCGGCATGTAATCCATCGCCATGTACAGGTATTTATTATCCTGGAAGGCAAAATGAAGCTGAACCAACCACTCGGAGTTGGCGTGTGCCATGATATCCCGTTCCTCCCAGAAGAAAGCTGAATCTGATCTTTTTATCATCTCGTACTTGGACAATAGTTTCATGGCGTACACCTACAAATAAGAACAATTAAGTTTAAAAAAGTGTAATTTAAATTATTTGTCTTTTTAAGAATCAGGAAGTACTCAGGAAGTGTGCTTAGGATTTGGTTCCGATTCGTTTTTTGAAATTTATATTAGATGAAGTGGTAAAAATAATAGAACCAAATACGGACTTCTAGGTTCGCCAATAACCACACTCGAATTCCCGAGGTGACTTTAATAAATCAGAATTGTAACAAGGATTTACAATTGTCCATGAACTACTCAAAATCAAAAGTTGAGAGGTGTCGTTAGTTAACTTTTTAAAGCATGCTGGAGTAAAAAGTATGTTTATGTTTATGTGGTGTTGATTCTCAGGACTCCTATTGGAGTATAATGAGAATTTCTTGATTTAACTGTAAATGATTTTAGTTCACTATAGCTCTGGCCATCATTGTTCATATCATTCACATTTTCACGTGTTCATCGTATATTCTTTTGAAACTGTCTACATTCTTGGCATTCTGAATTGTTGCAGGTAAAAAGTATAAAAACTGAAAAAAATTAAAGTAATTACCTTGCTTGTGTATTTATGCCTGACGAGTTGAACCTCTCCGAAAGCACCTCGTCCAATCACCTTGATCAGGTTAAAATCATCAGCTTTCATCCGTTTCTCCACAATCTTCTCCGAGATATCAACATCTAGAATACAACAGTAATAAAAATATTTCCACTTTCTCCTCTTGCATAAATGGACAAGTTACTTTTATGTAAAATTGAAATTCACAGCAATTAATGTAATCTATTTGAAGATAAAAAAAGAGTGCCTCAATCATTTTAATCATTTGAGTAAAAAATATTAATAATGAAGCCATATGGACAAACAATCTAACTGATATAACATTTCCAGAATTTTATATATCAAGACTCGAAATATTAAGCGGGTCTTTACATAACAAATTAAAAATTTGGAAGTTGAAAAAAGAAGAAACATGCATTTTTTTACAATTTTAAGTAAAATTTTTAATTTCCCGAAAAAGTAGTTGTTCACAATTATGTCGTCTTCTGAGATAAAATGCGCGAATTTTTTACATAACTGTCCAAAGGGACGTTAAGAACTTAAACTCCCTCTATTGGAGGAATCATAGGTCGGTAATGTTGGTCAAAAGGCGGTAAAAATACATAAACCAACTTACATCTGTTGACGAAGGCGTCGACATTTTTATTCTGTCTGATGGCTGCATGGTCGCAGTCTGATACAAGCGCCTGTACTGCATCAAGTAAACAGTCTACGTTGATGATAGATCTAGAATAGAAACAGGAGTTATATATATTTTCATCAAAAATCATCACACTCCAAAAATAATTGTTTCCTTCAGTATAAAAATAAAAAATAAAAAAATTCTTCGAAAAATTTATTCGATTCTTACAAGGGCAACATTGATACTTTCAACAAATTTCATATAATCTCTATTTGCCATAGAAAAGCATTTTAAAATTTAAATAAAACGATTAGAAGTTAAAACCCACGGTATCTTCCCAAACACTAAAACCAGATTTAGATCATGTATTTATTTCAACCTGTTATCCTGGATTTTCCTCTCCAAGTCCCGCAACCGTTCCCTTCGATCCTCATCCATCATCTTTCTAGATACATAGATGTTCATCCTTCCCTTCTATCCTTATCCTTCTTAGATACATAGACATTAGTCCTTCCCTTCTATCCTTATCCTTATCCTTCCTATATACGTAGATGTTAATCCTTCCCTTCTATCCTTATCCTTCCTAGATACACTAGAACTAAAACAAATCAGGATTTCTATGAGTATAAAAAAGCTGAGAAAGAATTAAAGAACTTTATCAAAAAAGCAAAAAAGAAATATGAAAAGAACCTTGCCAAAAATGCCAAAACTAATCCTAAAGCTTTTTATGGATACATGAGTAGCAAGAAAAATAATAGAGTAAAAATAGGCCCCTTAAAAGTTAATGATGTAGTGATTGATAATGAAAAAGAAATGGCCGACACTTTTAATGATTTTTTTAGCAGTGTATTTACCAATGAGAACTTGAACTTTATTCCTAGTGTAGATAAATTAAAGTCTGATCAAAGCTCAGTTTACAATGTGATTTTTACTGAAGAGGAGATTGAAAAAAAACTTGGTAATTTAAAAAGGTTTTCTGCTGCTGGCCCAGATGGTTTCAAACCTGTTATTTTTATAGAACTTTCAAAAGAGTTGTCCAAACCACTGAGTATAATCTTTAATAAGTCAATTTCAAGTGGTATTGTTCCAATTCAATGGCGCCAGGCCAATGTTTCTCCTATTTTTAAGAAAGGAAAAAAAGACGCACCACTGAACTATAGACCTGTATCTGTAACATGTATTGCTAGTAAGGGAGTCAATTTTGAAAGATACCATTGTTGAACATCTTAGTGAAAACAATCTTATATTTGAATCACAGCATGGATTTATGAGGAAGAAATCCTGTCTTACTAATCTATTAGAATATCTGGAAACGCTTACAGATCTAGTGGACAGTGGTCATGCAGTAGATGTGATTTACCTTGATTTTGCAAAGGCCTTTGATAAAGTTCCTCATCAAAGACTAATAGCCATTCTGAAAGCACATGGCATACAAGAAAATCTTCTGAATTGGATAGAGGCCTGGCTTATAGGGAGACAACAAAGAGTTGTTATTAGTGGAGAAACCTCAGATTGGTTACCAGTTACCTCAGGGGTCCCCCAGGGTTCAGTCCTGGGGCCCATTCTTTTCATCATATTCATCAATTTATTTGATCTTGCTGTGAAAGATAATGTGAAATTATTATCCAAGTTTGCTGATGACACAAAGGTTGGCTGCATAGTTGACACTGAGAATGATGTGAAGAATATGCAATATGTTCTGGATAAAGTTGTAGAGTGGGCTGACTTGTGGCAGATGCAGTACAATGGGGACAAATGTAAAGTACTTCACTTTGGAAGACAAAATACTGGAGCACATTACGCCATGGGAGGGTATGCTCCTGCAGGTTCTATTTTAGAAAAACCAGCTCTGGAGAAAGATCTTGGTGTTATAATAAGCACAGATCTTAAGCCTGCCCTACAATGTCAAGCAGCAGCTAAAAAGGCCAACTCAGTGCTTGGAAGGATGGCAAGAGCTATATCATATAGGGACAAGAGAGTCTGGTAAGTCTATACAAGGTCTATGTTAGACCTATTTTGGAATATTGTGTGCAAGCCTGGAGACCATGGATGGCCAAAGATAAAAAAGTGTTGGAGGATGTTCAGAAAAGAGCAATTAGAATGACGTCTGGTCTTAAAGGGGATTCATATGAAAAGAAATTAAAGGAGGTCAAGATGACCAGCCTAGAGGAGCGCAGGCAGAGAAATATGGAATGACATTCATATGGAAGTGACATCTGAAGTGAAAATTAATCAACTGAAAAACAAATATGATGAATTTATTAGTGCTTAATCTCAGTATGATAACAAGTAATAGGAGTATGGAGACCTTCCAGGAGATTTAAGTACCTGTAAAGCCCATGATCCGCATAACATGGCCACGCACGTGGCTCTCTTTGCGTGACTACTTCAAGTATTCAAGTATTCAAGTATTCAAGATACATAGACGATAGTCCTTACCATCTATCCTTATCCTTATCCTTCCTAGATACAAAGATGTCAATCCTTCCCTTCTATCCTTATCCTTATCCTTCCTAGATACATAGATGTCAATCCTTCCCTTCTATCCTTATCCTTATCCTTCCTAGATACGTAGATATTAATCCTTCCCTTCTATCCTTATCCTTCCTAGATACATAGATGTTAATCCTTCCCTTCTATCCCTATCCTTCCTAGATACGTAGATGTTAATCCTTCCCTTCTATCCATATCCTTCCTACATACAAAGATGTTAATCCTTCCCTTCAATCCTTATCCTTCCTAGATAAATAGATGATAATCCTTCCCTTCAATCCTTATCCTTCTTAGACATAAAGATGTTAATCCTTCCCTTCTATCTTTATCCTTCCTAAATACATAGACGTTCATCCTTCCCTTCTATCTTTATCCTTCCTAAATACATATAAATAAATTCGCTGAATCGGGTACAGAGGTTACTTTCATACATTTTTCATATTTTCCTTGGTGTCCGGTTTTATTCTTCATTATTTTTACCTAGATTTGTCTGTTAAATAAATGCATTGTCCAATGTCCAGCAGCAGCAGTCGGAATTATTTATAATTGATTGATTGATTATTTTCTAGGGTTTCATACTTGGACCAATCTGTATGAAGGATATAATAAATAAATCAGAAAAGATGGCCCGTATTTTCATTTTTTTCATTGAAAAGAGATAAATTGATCTTTGAATTGAATATTTATATTTAATGTGAACAGGAAAATTTAAAATCGTTCATGATATGAATTCTAAATTATGCACAAGTGACGCTTACTGGAAGATTCAAGAAACTTGCCAAAAAAAAACTTTAAACATTTGAGGGATTAAATGTCTGATGCTCTTCAACCACTGAACAGTTCCAAATCAAACAAATATTATATTGAACTGGTTAAGTGGTTACATAGCATTTAATTCCTCAAACTCAAATGTTCAACCTTTATCCCTCAAATGTTTTGAATTATTTCCCCACCCATTTTAAAGGTTTTTCATGGGGCGCCAATAGTTTTTTTTTTTTGGGGGGGGGACAGGGGGTTTATTTAAGTAAAAAAATAATTTTTTTTTCGTAGTTTGAATCATTTTATATCCTTGACCTAAAGTGCAGAGTTTTGTCAAAGCTACAAGATCCGTTGAAAACTCATTTCCGTCTCTTATTCCGTTATTTAATTCAACATTTTAGAGATTCTGAAAATAGAGAGGGTTCAGCAGACGAAATCTTTAAATTCAGAGTTGGATTAAATCTAAGTTTGAAGCAGATTTATTTTATAAGAGATTGAGATCAAATCTGCGGATGACTCCGGAAAAAAATGAGAAATAAATCGATAAGTAAACGTTTTACGCATCGAAAAGTTTTTTTTTAACATGAAAAAATGTTTTCAGATTTAGGATTCAGTAATGCTTTAACTATTACTTATTTAAACTAAAGAAAAAAGATTAGAACTGCAAGGAGAAGAATTAGATGAGAATGCTTTGAAAGTGTAGAGCTAATAAGAAAATAGAAGTGTCCCATTTTTTTCAGAAACTTAATGATAATAATGATGAGGAGTTATCTAGAGATATAAACAGGTACAAACATAACCAGCAGTTTGAGCAGTTAGCTGACCGATAGACCAGCTGACAAGCTGACTAGCTGACCAGCCCCAAGTAATCGTCCATTAATGTTCCGATGGCGAATATGTCGGACGCGTCCACTCTCGTTCCAACAATCTTTAATCTAAACAAAAAAATAATAATATTTAGAATGATCTTTAATTAAAAAAGTGCCATGGCTGAATCACACTAGCTTTGTCTGACACAAAATGGCGTGGAAAATTGTTCACTGATTGCTTACTGATTTGCAGAAAAGTCTCGGATTTGTCTATAGGACGAGGGTATGTACATTGAGGGGACATGAAGCCATTATGCCTTATCACGTAATTATTTAAAGACGACGACCTTTTAATTTTTATCTTGTAAATTAAAGGTCGTCGTCTTCAAATGAGGGAATTTCGTCTGCAAAGCATCTTCAGTGTCATAAGTCAAAAAAATGTGATGTTACTTTCAAATTGAAAAGAACCGAAAGATGAATAAGTGACTTGACAGTAATTCGATAAAAGTTCTAAAAATCCTTAAAATATTCTAATCATTACATACAGATAAGAAGGTTATGATTCATGGAACCGGTAGTATATCATTTTTGATAAATTAAGCCTAGGTTGCAAGTCAAGTTGGGGGGGGGGGGGGGGGGGGGGAGAGGGGTGAATTTCTAAGATTTTGGGGAAATGTTGTTCTTCTTTCTTGAAATAATTTGGACACAAAAAGAATTTCTAGGAAGTGTGAAGACCTATCGCAGTTGTATTTCAGTCAGAATTAAAGAACAAAAAGAAAAAAGACCAAACCCTAAACAATAATCGACAATCTCCGATTATGCTGAAATTTCAAACATGAAAAAAATCTAAATTTTCTTTAAATATTTATTTTGACTTCAGAAGTCTGGATTGAAAAGTTATGAATTATATTATTATGTGTTTAAAAACTATTTGCTCCCAAAGTTTGGATTATCAGGACCGTCATCACACATTTCGATTAAAGAAATGATGATAAATGGACAGGAGGCGTGCTGAGTGAGTAATCATAATGGAAGGAGTGTTGGGTTACACATACATATAAACTAGAGAACCCTACAATAGGGCATATATTCATGAAAACTACAGGCTGTCCCTTAATACTGTTTTTTTTGTTTGCTTTTTTAACCCAAGCATTGCGGCCATCTTTATGTGTACATACGTAAATATTTCGAGGCTTTCTAATTCAATTGCGAACATTTTCTTTTTGTACACAACATCACAATAACAAAAAAGTTCGCGGATTTTGAAATTTTTTTTTCGTGAAATTCGAAAATCGTGAAAAATTAAAATCGAATTTTGATGGAGCCTTTTAGAAATTTTGGTCATCCATAAACATTCCCTGAGGTCATTTGAGGTCTCACAAAAAATTGGCCCCGATCGGTTAAGTCGTTTTTAAGTTTATTGGAGACAAACAAACAAACAGAGGCACACACAGACAAGCAAAGTATATACAAAGAAGAAGTGATTTTAACATTTTGTCAAAAGCTATTAGAGGTAGTGAGTCTATTTAATATTAAATATAAACCCAATATTAGGGGTCGCGAGTCTATTTAAACGAAAGTTGAATTAAATATAAACCAAATATTAGGGGTCGCGAGTCTATTTAAACGAAAGTGGTATTAAATATAAACCAAATATTAGGGGTCGCGAGTCTATTTAAACGAAAGTGGTATTAAATATAAACCCAATATTAGGGGTCGCGAGTCTATTTAAGCGAAAGTGGTATTAAATATAAACCCAATATAAGGGGTCGCGAGTCTATTTAAGCGAAAGTGGTATTAATTATAAACCCAATATTAGGGGTCACGAGTCTATTTAAGCGAACGTGGTATTAAATATAGACCCAATAAATTTACGGAGAATGACCTACTGCATCTAAAGTAATCGTTGCCTACCCCATGTAACAATTGAGGTAAGTAATACATTTCTATTAATCTAAAAAATCTGTCGTATTTCTACGCGACCCTGCATTTAAAAGAGGGTCATGACTGGTTTACGATGGTACTCTTTAACTCCTTTGTCTGATATAGTCGTTTTTCTCGCTGAAAGTGCTTATTTCAACAATTTGAAGAAGAATTTCTCAAGTAACAAACACAATTGTCAAACAACAATTGAAAAGAATTGACTTTCCAGTTAAAAGCATGGATATCATATTCATTCTTGATCCCGCAAAGCTTTCCAGGGTACCGTTGTGAATTGGAATTGCCACTCTATAAATTGAGAGTCAATCGAAATTACGTGTGCAGTCCCTTTAAGTTAACTTTTGTTGACCGGATACAGGTTGGATCCGGATACTGGTAATCTTGTTCACATGACAGATCGAAAATCCGGAATCTATCAAAATGGACCTGGATTCATAAAACTGGTGTCATTATGAAATTTGTGAAAATATTGAATACGAAGAACAATCATCAATTGCCTTGCTTGTACAAGTTTGGGAAACTAGAGATAAAAACTGTCAAAATGCTTCTAATTATTTCGTGATTCAAAATTGTGTCACCTGTCTTCATGAAGCCGTTAAAAACAAATAAATTTAGAAATAGAAATTAGTATGTAAGGAGTCTACACATATCCCCCCCCCCCCCCCCCCCCCTTAAATTAAACAATACTACTTGTACCCTTAGTTAATATATTCATTCTGTAGGGTGTTCAAAATCCTTTATATTTAAATTAGATACCATTGTTTTAAATAAATATTGACAAGAAGTGTACAAGAACCGGGGGAGGGGGGAGGGGAGGAGAGTAAAGTATTTTAAGTACATACATTTTGCCGAAAGACAAAACAGGTGTGGGTCGGAAGGGAAAGGGTGATTCCGCAAATCAGTTTTTTGCTGAAATTTGTGGTTCGGATGTAAAAGGGGTATGGGTTGCTTTCCTCCCCTTTGGAGTGAGGCGTCCAATGAGTTTTGTAGAAATTAATCTGAAACCATACAAGTTAAATAATAAATATGATGATGTATGGAGAAATAATCTGAGAATTTAAATAAATTCAGGCTAAATATTTAGATATCTTAAACAAATTTTACATACACTATAATGCATAATGATGAAATTTTTGAGATGTTAGATCGAGAATCTGTTCATATTTGAGAAAATGAATGATTTCAGACCAAATACGTAGATATCATAGCACATTTTACATATTCATTATACAAACCATCTTACTTAATTTTCTTTAAAAATTGGAAGATTTCATCCAAGTTAATTAAACTAATTTCATAACAACAAAATGAACGCTCCTTTTCCCCCTTTACCTGATTTCATCGTCCTGTTGAATAACCATATCCTCATCTGCAGTTTTATAACAGGCAGGGTTAGAGTTAGGATCAAAAGTCATATCCACAGGTATAGAGTGTCGGGAGATAAAACAGGCTAGAGGTCCAATCTCAGTAAACAATCCAACCTTATTAACCTAGAGAAAACATAATTGAAAATTTATTCTCCCCCCCCCCCCATATGTTTTAGTACAACGGAATTTATACTTTTGGGGAAAGCAATGAATGATTATTAAAATAAGGTAAAATAATAGAAAGTACCATTTGTTCGAATAGACATTATATCTTTATTTATATTTTGATTTTTACTGTGCACATTTTTTTGTGTCAGATTAAAACAAAGATTTCCGAAAGAACAATTAAAGTAGGAAATAGGTAAATTATAAAATATCTATATGTATTAAGTAGTTATCTATTAGTTTGTTTGGATGTCCGATCATAACTCATGAACCCATGAACTGATTGGACCCAAGCTTTTATTTGATTTGAGCACGAAAATGTTCTCAGCTGGTTTAAAAGTTCTTAGTTGAGTGGGTTTGAAGGAAAAGGTTGAAATCCAAGCAAAGTTGAAAGACAACTCAGTACGTAACCCCCAGATCTAAGCGTTAAGTCCGGCGTGTTTCATGATGAATTATATTCTAGTTACCTGGGTTACAACTGCGTCTAGGACTTCTCCTTTAAAAGGTCTGAATACAATTGCTTTATATTTGACTGGATACAAGACAAACCCTTCTCCAGGTTGGATTAAGCCTGCTCCAACACTGTCAATCGTCGTTACCGCAATTACGAAACCGTATTTTCCTAAAATTACAAATATTTATAAAGTAACCTAATGCAAACATACTTGGTAGAGTTAAATCTATTTTTCCTTAATTAAGTATTGTTTGTACAAAAATCTAAAAACAAGAAAAATTTTCTCAAAAATCGGTAAGTCTTATTTTTAAAATTCCATGGCTAATTCATTTGGGTTGAAACTTAAATTTTTTTTTAATTCTCTTTTAGCCGTAACCTCGCCCCTTGGATTGGACAGTTAGTAATATGTATTTGTTTCATGCGTATTTAAATCAAGATATTTTCTTCTAAAAAATAAACCAAGACATTTCTTTATGCTTATGTTCCCTATAGCCGGCTAAACGACTGGACCGATTGGGCTGAAATTTTTCGTGGACACTAAGGGATGGCCGCGGAGTGTTAAAGCCTATAAAAAATTCGAAATTTTTTTCACAGGCAACGCCGGGCCTTTCAGCTTGTTAGTAATAAAATATTTTATTTCCATCGTATACATGTATTCATGTTGGGGGTTAAAATCAAGTTAGAAAATCGTTTAACCATGTTCTAAGATAGAAAATATCTCGATTAAAAATCGGATCCGTTTAATTTACATAGTGTAGCTAAGATCAAGATCCGAACTGATGTACGAATTATCGAAACTGGAACGATATAACAATTTACATGAACAGAAAGCAATCAACCGTGTCCTGCTTGAACATTGATCTTTACCCCCCTGACATAATTGAACCTAGAACATGTACCACCCGTCAACCCCCTTCCTACCTAAACATGTTTCCCCCCCCTCCTACCTGAACATGTACCTCCCCCCCTCCTACCTGAACATGTACCCCTCCCTCCTACCTGAACATGTTCCCTCGACCTCTGTGAATAGTTTCTGTTTGACTGTATCCATAAGCTGAGGACCAAAGTATCGAGGATGAAGAACAATCTCATGATCTAGTGATATATGGTAGAACATATTTCTAAAACATCAAATACATATTACAAGATATTAACTAGAAAAAGTGTCTAGCAAACTTTTTCATCAAAAACTGTCAACATAATTTAAGTAGAGGCGTATACGGAGTAGCTGTGGAGGCTCGGCCCCCTCCCACCTGAAACAGTATAGCTGTCTTCCAGGGAAGTTTCAGGCCTAAGAAACATGAGCCCCCTTAGCAATAAAAATAATAAGCCCCCCCCCCCCCTCCCACAAATTCTTGTGTACACCCCTTTATTTAAGTTTGTCAGATATCAAAAGAGTGTCCGAATCACAACGGTACCATTTCAAAAAGAATCTGAGTCATGATGAGAGATATGATCGTAGATATATATAATAGTTGGCTGAATTCAACCATATCTTTCTTTTCCAGCGCTAAAAATTTCAATTTACTATTATCATTTCTAGCTTGAAATCTTATTTAAATAGTGATCTGAAATATAAATATGTTTTCCTTAAAAAAGGAGGACGAATCAGGAAAATTAATTTTAAATTTAACAGTAAGATAATAAGTAACAAATTACCAATTTAAAACTTTTGTATGAAAGGCTAAATATACAGAAAGATTAATGGATTTCACCGTGTCCATTAAATACTTAAATTTCAAGTGATAAAAGATTGATTCAATATAATTAATCCATACAGGATTAAATTAGTCCGTAGGATTTAGCAAATTAATCCCAGGATTCACCGAATTCAAAACGAAATTCTGTTAACCTATATCAGATTAATAATTTAAATAACAGGTAATAGCTTTATCCCCTCTTGTTGAACCCATGACTTCCAGGATGTATTCCTGTTATCAACAGGTGGTCTAAAAACAACAACATAACAATCACGCTCCGTAACAAATAACACTAATTGAAATATTGTAACTATCATTAAACAGAGAAGATTGTTTTTAAATATTCCATTAATTACAATAAATGGCTCTCTTTATGTTAACGGTTACGATTTATAACTTTTAAAACATTAACCATGACAATTTTCACGTAGGAAACTAACATTTCAGGTTATGAACGATATATTTTATCGTTTTCTATCCATTTACATCAATTAACAAATCCTTATTATTGATTCAAAAATATTGTAGATCTCGCAACTTCCAAGGACCAAGGCGCTAGAGAAAAGAACTTTCATAAATTTGGTTTGGAGTAATCCTTGTTTGTCTTAGAATAGTTTGGTATGGTTTTATAAAAGACGACATTCAAACTTGTTTATAACAATAGAAAGTCTCACTTTTCGCCGATTTCGCAACTGTCGCTGACTGAGCAGTGGCGCAACTGGGGGAATTGTGGGAATGGGGAGGGGGAACAGATTTAGCCCGGTGGTGTATTTTTCGACCTACACATATCCGCCATACTCTACTTCTGACCTACGCCAAATCCGCTATACTACACATCCGACGTGGTATTACTGCAGCTGCTATATGGACTAGCCTGTCCTAGCCGCGGCGCTCGGCCCCCTAGCCTGTCCTAGCCGCAGCGCTCGGCCCAGAATTTGTCTTAACCTAACCTAACCCTCAAATAATACTAAAATAAACAGCTGGCGTAGGTCCGATATTGCAGTAGGTCGGAAAGTTAGTAGGTCAGAAGTTCAGCAGGGGGGATGGTGCGTATAGATTATGTAACATTACCTTTAGCTCCCCCTCCCACGGCTTTTTGATCATAGCTTGATCGATCATTTTGGACCATACATCTTTTTTGATAAAAAAGAATATCAATTTGAATTGTGCCGGCGCTTCTCTTTTTGAAACAGGTATCACGAAAAGTAGGGGTATTGTTACATCGTCTATACGGAACATCCCCCTACTGAACTTCTGTCGACCTACTAACTGTCCGAGCTACTGCAATATCGGACCTACGCCAGCTGTTTATTTTTGTATTATTTGAGGGTTAGGTTAGGTTAAGACAATTTCTGGGCCGAGCGCTGCGGCTAGTACAGGCTAGGGGGCGGGGCGCTGCGGTCACAAGTCCATTTAGCAGCTGTAAAACGAGTAAAACCAATGCTTGTAGGTCGGATATGTAGTATAGCGGATTTGTCGTAGGTCAGAAGTGAAGTACAGCGGATTTGCGTAGGTCGAAAAATACACCACCACAAAAGTAGGTAATATACCGGAGAAACATATGTCGCAATTCCACATATGATCAACATTCTCAAATCTGTTGCGCCTCCAAGACAATTCCATCAAGCCCCTACATACAAGGAATTGCTTTGAATCTTGTGGTAAGAATAAGATTTAGTTAATGCAGTTCTGCCAAATTATTGCTCTTTCTCGATCAGAATTCAAGATTTAAACATATAAAATTGTTGGTTTAAAGGAACTAAATGTCATTTTAAGTGACCCATCATTGATGGTTGGCATGCATGGGGAGGGGGGGCTCTTTTAATATTACATCTGTTTGCATTTCCCTTCCTCAGGCAATCTGCAATCTATATTCTACATATTGCATTGCATTGCAGTAAAAGATTAAGAAAAGAAATAATATATATTCTGTTTCACAAAATAATACCCTTCAAAGCTTGACTGATCAAGTATTGCACTAAATATCCATGTTTCCCATTTTGAAAACTGATTATTTTCATTTGTGGTTTCTCTACAAAAGTGACTCATACATTTCTTGCTTCAAAAACGATGGAGAAATGAAGGGTTCAAAGGTACATCTATAAATGGAGGGTCACTTGAAATTATGCATGTTTTCCATTTAAGTATAAGTGTGTATATGATCGAATAGTTTACATAGTTAAAGAAGGTATCAATATTTTTTATTGTTTCCCTACACAAATGCTCTTGTACGCCCCTGGTGGCATGTCCGATTGACAACAATACCCTTAAAAGCTTTCTCTGATTGTCTAAACAAGTTTGAATTAGGTATTCATGTTTTGTTTTTTAAAAACTGGTTATTTTCTCTACAAAAGTGACTTGCGCATTTCTTTGGTCACTTCAAATTAAAATTAACAATTTCAGCATTTTACATTCATTGCAAATATATGAATTTATCAAACAAATACAAGAAAATCCAACTGAAGTGAAGGTTTTTTTTTGTAATTATCCTCTGTACGACCTTCACAACTTCCCCCATGAATTATGTATTTAAATCCTTTAAAATATCTATAATACAGAGGCTAGCGTCCCATATCATATTGAATTATCTCCAATTGCTTAAACGCCAAAATACGCATAAAATACTCGAAAAATCCGGTATTTTCTGCAAGAAATTTTTATCTTAATCTAATAAATTTTTCTAATTGATTCATTCTTTTTAATATTCCTAATTCTTCCATTAAATCTCAATTTAGAGCTATAAACAATATGATATGATGTGGGACACCCTGTACATATGTGTTATCAACATTGCGCATATTGTAGAACTTGCACTTCTTTGAAAATATTACTTATTAATTGACGAGATAGAATTTATATTAGAATCAATGGTTATAGATCTTTATGTTTTGAAATATAAAAATCTGGAAATAATTTCAATTCTGCATTTTTATTGTGACATTGTCTTAAAATTGCCTGTTTTTATTAAACTGTTTAATACTTGAAAACAAGAAGAAATATTCGATGCTTTGCTTTTAATTTCAAAATACAATGAATAAAAAAATGATGACGATGAAACCGTAAAATAAATATCCTTATTTTTTTTTATTTTAATCACGTCTGGATAGGTGGGCCATCAAGTATACCAAAACTTGAACTATGCAACTTATTGATTCTTTGATTAACCGTTAATTTTCAAAAGCCTTTACGAAATTTGACCCAGCCCCATCTATCATCTAATGAAGGATTTCTGGAAGGAAAGTTAAAAACTACATGTTTATTGTTTAGGGTTGATGGGTCGTTTTTTTCGGTTTTAACTAAATAATAACTAAACGGTTATTTCCATTCAACAAAACTTTCCGTTTATTTTTCAAAACTTAATCGTTTGTCAAGAAAACCCCTATATATGATTAGTGTTGCCATACATAAATCAATTGTTAAGTTAAGTTGAAGACATATCATCGTTCTGCACTGCATTCTTGAATTAATTCATAATTATCTATATATTGCGCGAGTTGAGGTTGAGAAGAATTAGAAATATTTCTTTATTTTAAAACTAAATAGATCTTTTAAAATTCCCGGTACTTCATGGGACTCCAAAGGACTTCTGCAGACTTTTTGGACTTCTGGGATTCCCGGGATTTCGAGACTTATGCATTGCAGACACCTGGGACTCCAAGATCTCTGCAGACTCCCATGTACGTTTACAGACACCTGAAACTTCTGGTCCCAAAATGGGGGGAAGTTTATTTGGGAGTTGTGACTTTTTTCTAATTTTGTTATGCAGATACAGGATGTGAAAACTATACAGTCAAGTAATTTGAAACATCTTAAAAGCCAAAACATGGATTGCAAAACAGACACCTGCAATCTGCATATATTCTTACATTAAAACGCAAAAAGTCTCAAAATCAAATTTTCTAATCTCTATATCTTTGAATCTTAATGGTGTAAACAATTGATTTTTTAAATTTACACTTTTTATTATTATTATAAAGATTTATTCACACACAAAGATATAAATACATATATAAATGGTGTAGTTTAAATTTGTTTAAATAAATTTTTTTTTGAAAATACAGGTTTCCAAAAGAAAAGAGAAAAAATATGCAAAATTATGCACAAATAGAAAACATTGATTTTTAATCACTACATAACATATTTATCATGAATGCATAAAATGACTGAGAACCAAGATAGCAAGCTTATAAAGTTCTGTTTATCAATTCCCATACCCCCACTATTATAGCTAGTTAAGGACAAAGTACTAGCTGTATCCATCATTGTACTGCTGTTGCGCCACCAGTAGCACTATTCTTTTCTACACTCTTGGTTCCGTTTTTATCAGAATCTGATACACTTGTGGTTCCATTTCTATCAGAATACCGCTTCCTATAATGGATAAATTCACGGACACGTACTCGCAAGGGCCACACAGTGGGATCCAAGGCTTTCTCAAGATCTTCAACTGGAACAGAGATTTTAAAGCTAATAACATTTGATGTTTCATTTGATCTGGCAGAATATCACTTAACAGCATTTACTAATTTATACAATTTTACTTTTAAGCTTTTTCTGAAAAATATTATTCTCCTAAAAATTGGTTTTCTGGAATCAGGAGCGTATTCAGGAATTTGTCCAGGGGGGAGCTTAAATTTTTTTCTCTTTCCAAGGGGGGGGCTCAGGACCCGTTGGGGCCTGAAAACCCCCTAAAATCAATAGGATTCACTGGTCACTAGCCCCCCCCCCCCTGAATACGCCTCATGTCTGGAATAGTTGTTGTCCAAGATTAACAGATTGAAGGGTTTCTTTTTACTGATCAAGATTACACAAGTATCCACCCGGAGTCCTGGGACCAAATTTAATGAATAGCGCAAGAGGTAGCTGAACCACGCAGACGTACAGGGTGTCCCACGAAACATGACAATTAGTGAATAGTTTTGAATGTTGTCTTCCATGGCATATACTGTCTTAGATGTTAAAGGCTTTTTGCAGTTAATTTTGTTAAACAAATCTTTTGCTTAAATATATTTTACTTTGAAATCAATTTTACTATAACATGACTTCCATATAATATTTTTATTATTGTCTAATTGGTATCAAACAATCTAACAAATTATGGAAGAAGACATTACTAATCACCAACTGTCATGTGCTGTGGGACACCCTGTAGTTCAGCCACCTCTTTTATGCGCTTCTATCACCGGGTCCGTCATAGAGAACGATTTTTGGACCCCCCCCCCTCCCCCCTCCTATCAATTTTGTACATTTATTATTTATTATTTTAGGGTTAGGTTAGGTTAAGACAATTTCTGGGCCGAGCGCTGCGGCTAGGATAGACTATGGGGGGCCGAGCNGGGGAGGGGTCCAAAAATCGTTCTCTAGGAAATTACCCTATCACCTCCCATTCGCTTAATTTCTTTCCGTTCCCTTTCTTCTCCTTTTCCTTCCTTTCTCTTTCATTTCATTCATTTCTCTCCCTCTCTCTCGGACCAGTCCAACCCTGATCTGTTGAAAGAGCCCACAAACTGCAGCTCAATATGTATGTATATGGATTACGTTTATGACAATGACCTAGATCGGGTAGAAGTGCATTGAAACTGCAGCTAGGTGCATTTACAGCCAGACCTCGGTATATATATCTTACCCTGGGCCACTAGTCCGTAGCTTCCATAGTGCAATAAAATATATGTTAGTCTAGTCATTTCCCCCGATGTTTTTGACTTAAAATTGTCATATTTATAAATCCTAGAACAAGTTGTAGGTTTGATCTTATCCTAAATCTTTTAAGTTACTCCCGTCGCCCCTAGTTGTCTGGAAGATAAGCTAGACACGAATATCCCCAGACAATTCCCCGAGGTCTGGGGGGAGCTACTGCAAGTCTACCCCACTCTCGGGATCCGCCCGTCCCCACGGGTCAATAAACTCAACCCTTTACTTTTTTGGGACAGTCCATTTTTACTTCCCAGGGGGAGGAAGGTTAGGATTTCCTTACTCTCTCCGAAATGGACCCATCGAAAGGGTTAAATGTGTCCTTGGTTTATTGGGGTCATAAACCCATTAGTTCTGCTTGGGTTAATCGGGGTTATTGAAATTTCTAAAGGATATTTTATTTAACCATGGTATACGCCTACAAAGTGTTATAATAATTTATATTAAAAGATCATACTTCTAAAATAAGTTTACTAAAAAATTGTTGATATTTTCAAAGAACCTTGAGAGAAATATGCCCGGCCCTGGAAAGAAAGAAATATGAATTAAAAAGTTAACACTATCAAAATAAATAAATACACAAAAACGGCACGTCAATTATATAGCATCTAATATAAAGTTTAAACTTTTAAAAAGTACATATTAAAGAAAATCCCAAATATTAATGCTGGAAGATGATCATTCAAAAGAATGCGGGAACTTCATAGCAAAAAAAATGCACAAATATTGAAAGATGTACTCAGCTGGGGTGATATTTTACTTTCAACCCCATAAGAAAACAGTGAAAATTTTACCCCAGCTCAGCTGGGAATATATGGGTTTCAGGATATGTTCACCATAGATTAAAAAGAGGCCACCCAGGGAAAAAAAATAATTTCTGTTTTTTAACTCTAAACCATTAAACTGCAACTCTCATTTTTTCAAATCTCCGGGGTCAGGGTCTCAACCCTATCTGTGTAGGGGCGTATATTCGTACCCCCCCCCCCCCCCCTGAGGGGGGGGGCACATATATAAAATAATTTAAAATCTCACTTTTGCCCTTAACTAAAAAGGTCTCATTAAAAAAGCTTTAATCAATACTGCCTTCAGTGTAAATATATCTTCGATACCATTATTTATGATTATACTATGAAAATATATAGATATTTCTTAAGAAACGTTTCCATCTCTATTTTTTAACCATTGAAGCTTACACCAAAGTATTAAGAGGAAGTGTCTGATGAGTCCACTTAAGAAAATTACATAAATAATTTATTAACACTTGTAATATAGGAAGTGTGTATATGATCGAATAGTTTACATAGTTAAAAAAAGGTATCAATATTTTTTCAAAAAAGGGGTTTTTGAGAGGGGGGCACAATGTTGCCAAGGGGGCACAACCCCCCCCCCTACACAAATGTTCTCGTACGCCCCTGTCTCTGTGTAATCGGCTCCCTATAATCGAACTTTTAAAAATCACAAACTCCTTCTGAAAATTACTATGTTGGGCTCTGGCCCCTGATAAATTTAAACAGAAATGTTTTGTATTTGTTTTCTTTAAATAGAAATTTCCGACAACCAAAAATCTTCCAAATTTTTTTGAGAAAATCTTCAATAATTTATTACGCTTGATTTTATACTGTTGTTTGTATGGATCCAAGAGTTGAAAATGAACCAGACTCTTCCTTTTCTGATGTTCAGAAGTCATGTTTGGAGTTCTGGGTGACAGGAAATAAGAAAACTATCAAAATATTTTCAACCAGGTCAAAGAATACTAATCCCGTGGACCATTTTGGTCATTTAATTTTCGCACTTTTTAGTCTCCTGATTCTGATTGGATTAACGATGGTTTGCTGTATATCGATATTGAATTTACCGCAGGTATTAAAGTTGTTCACTTAATTATTTTGCATGAAAAATTTAAATTCACAGATTTCGTCTCGTATAAAATTAAAGATTTAAAATGAAAAATAAGGTTTGAAGGTGTGGAAACTGGCAAAATTGGATAAAATGGGTTCCGCAAAAGATGCGTATTCGCAATATTTAATTATTTAAATCCTTCCTGTTTATGCAAAGAAATGGTACAAACTTTTTGCACATACTCTTTTAAACAGGATTTGCATAATTGTAGCTCTTCTTTAATATTTGCAAATATTTTATCTAAAACTATTCTGAACCTTTTCATTTGTTCTTAAGCATTTTTTTACTTTATGATAAGATTTTGCCAAAAAGAATAGCATTTTTTCTCGTAAATCTCTAGTTAGACCTATCTAGAGATCTAACGAGAATGTTCTGTTCTGCAAGATCTGTGTTAGTTAGTACAGATACTTATGATATTCTCTCTATATATTGACCTATCTATAGAGATCTAACGAGAATATTCTGTTCTGCAAGATCTGTGTTAGTACATATATTAATGATATTCTCTCTATATATAGACCTATCTAGAGATCTAACACGAATATTCTGTTCTGCAAGATCTGTGTTAGTACAGATATTAACGATATTCTCTCTATATATAGACCTATCTAGAGATCTATCGAGAATGTTCTGTTCTGCAAGATCTGTGTTAGTACAGATATTAATGATATTCTCTCTATATATAGACCTATCTAGAGATCTAACAAGAATATTCTGTTCTGCAAGATCTTCTGTTAGTACAGATATTTATGATATTCTCTCTATATATAGACCTATCTAGAGATCTAACGAGAATATTCTGTTCTGCAAGATCTGTGTTAGTACAGATATTAATGATATTCTCTCTATATATAGACCTATCTAGAGATCTAACGAGAATATTCTGTTCTGCAAGATCTGTGTTAGTACAGATATTAATGATCTTCTCTTCAGGTAAATTTGATAAAGAAAATGAGTTTTTGCCATAATCATATGAATTTTAATCTCTATATCCTTGCAACACGATGTCTTGCAGACCTCTGATATTTCAAACTATTAAAGCTCTGATAGATCAAATAGCCTAAGTTTGAAGTTCGGGTTGCAAATTGATTTACGGATGAAAATATTTGAGTTTGTGGCAAAAACTTATTTTCTTTTTATGTTCTCTATTGCATTATACATGCACAATTAAACTTGAAGTATTTATTTAAATCATTTATTACCTACATAATAAATGAATACTAAAATAAACTTTATATAAAAATGTATTGTTTACAGTTGTTTCACAGCTTACATCTTCTCTAAAAAGAAAGATTCAATTGACAGGTATTATTATTTTAAACATTATTAAAAGATTTTAATATTTTTTTCTGTAGAGATATTGTTTTAATTAGCTGTGTTCTCATCGTGTTTCTGCTGGGTATAAACTTATGCAAACTATTCAGGTAAACTTTTGAATTTTTAAATTTGATTTCTTTCAATTTACTTAATATATACTTTTAGTGCTATTGTTCTGGTTACATACCTGCGCCTTGAAACTCATTATTTTCAAGCTGAAAACAGAAACAGGAATTTATTTATTTTCATTTTATTTTTTACTGTCGACGTTATTTCAAGTGAACTTCCATTAAAAGGGTTACATTCACGATTCACAACAGTACCTTTTAAATCCTTATCTATAAAATAATAATGAGGAAGATCTTTAAAAAAACTATTTTTGTAAACACCTACCTAGACTCGTGACACGTGATCTAACTGGGAATCTCTTTAATGGAATTGAGCCTTTGCCACAAATTCAAATTTTCTTTATCCTTATATCTTTGCAACCTGATACTATATACCTTTGACATTTCAATCTTAAATTATTCAAACCAACAGAATTCATAGTTTGAACTACCTAGAAAGTCTAAGACTTTGGTTGGGAAAGATATAGGAATAAAAAATAAGAGTTTGTGGCAAAGACTCAATTACTTTGTAAGCTTTGAATTAGGTCAACAGTCCCTTTTATATTTGGAACATTTTTTATAAAAATTGTCATGCAGCTGATTTAGACAATAATACCATGATAATCCCATTTTAATATTAATTCTATAAATCTCTTGTTTTTCAAATTAAATCAATGGTGTAAAATAGCCGTAAACATTTTCTTCAGATTAAACTAGGATATTTCAATCCAAATAAACCCGATCTCGTAGATCTTTCACATTTCAAACTATGAATTAAATAGTCTAAGTTTGAGATATTTAAGGTTTATACCATCAGGTTTCAAAGATTTATTAATTAGAAAATTTGATACCGTGGCAAAAACTACCTATTCAGTGTTGAGGGCATAGTTGAGATATTATCCGACTAAATAGAATAAATTTGTGTTGATTAGTGACACTGTACATATTTTGGATTGTGGTATTTGTATTCTTATTAGTCTGAGGTAAAATTTATTCTACACCTTGTATGTACATTGTACATTGTATACTGTTCATGTAAGCTGAACACTGTACAGTAATGTACAAATGAATGTTAACCAATTATAGATTAAAGAGATTAACAAGTACTTGATAATATATATTTGATGCAGTTGGAAATAGATTAAAAATATATTTCTTAAAAGATCTTTTTGGTCGTCTATTGAGCATCATTTTTTGTAAGTTGTACATTAGAACAAAATAACACTTTTTCCGCTTTTGAAGAGAATCTGAAAATAGACAATTTATTACAAAACTATTAATTTTTTTAGATTGGCGTATCATGTTGTATCAAGTTTAAACATGTTTATCTTTATTCAAGTACATAAAAAGCTCTCTTAGGTATACCATTAATACTTTTTTTGTTTAATCGAACAAAATTTCATTTAGATAGTTTGTAAACAAATCCCAACCCTATTATCTCAGTACAATTATTTATATTTATTTTGGAGCTAACATTTGTTTATTATCTAGGTTTAAGCAATTTGTTATGGTTCAGGTCTGGTTTAAGGACAGCTGTAGAACTCCTCATATATTTGCCTGACCATTTTGTGCTTTTGAAAAATGTTGTTTATGTATTTCTCTTTATTTGAATAAAAAGTTGGACGATTTCTTGAAAGATTTATATAAAGACATTGAGAAGAATTTATCTCCTTGTTCAATTTATTGAGAGATCAGATTTCCAAGTTTTTGATTTACAGTTTGTTCAGAGAAAACCCAGTCAATGCTTGAACAGATCAGGATGGAGGTGAAGTACCTTCCATTCCTGCTAGTTATACTATTCTCTGAATCCCTGGGAGAATATGCTTCAGCACCAGCTGCAGCTCCTGCTAAAGGATATCTAGATGGTTCTGAGAGTGTAGAAGTTAATGCAGAAGGTAAAGCTGTAAACAATCCTGGCATGGACGCAACATCCAAAGCTTGCAGATACGATGATGGTCCTGGTTGGTCAGACTGTGATCCATTTGAGCTTGTCAGATTCAGGGTTCTCAGACTCATCCATGGTGGGAGTCAGTGCGAAGAGGTCAAGAATATTACAAAGCATTGCACACCTCATGATTTTCCATACGGAACCCATTGGTTGATCCAGGAACACAGAAAATGTATTGCTGAGTTGAACAGATTGAAGGCAATGATTTCTGACCTATACAAGTTTATTGAGACCATGCACCAAAAAGGAAAGGAATTGTTTACTGCTTATCTGAACCTGAAGAAGAAACTTGAAGATCTGACCCAGAAGTTGGATAAACTTAAGGTTGAAGGAGATCATCAACAAGAAGTACTACAGAAAGTCAAGGACGAGATTGAAGAATGGAAATCTAAGGCCAGGGAGTTGCAAGTTCAAATTGACGAGCTGAAAGCCAAGTATCATGATCTTGAAGCAGAACAACATGAACTTGAACTAAAGAATGAACAGCTTACAACTGATATTAATGTTCTGATCAAAGAAACCGAAGGTATGACAAAGAAGATTGAGAAAACTAGCCGAGAAAATGAAGAATTGAAGAAAAGAATAGTAGAGGCTCAGCATATTAAGGAGGAGGTTGCAGATAAAAAGGTTGAGCTGAATAAGCTGACCGCTAAGTCAGAAAAGCTTGAGGATGATCTATCCGATATTAAAGATAAGCTTTCTGAATGTAGAATTGAGGGACTAACTAAGAATGTTGCTAAATATGAAGATGGATATGAAAGCAAGGATACTCATGTTGATCTGAGCATGGAAATGTTTATTACACATAACAAGACTGTACTCTATAAACCAACCTACAAACCAATCTACTACACAACTGAAAAATACTATTCCAAGGGTTATGAGACTGAGTCTGCTAAATGCTTGATTTCCTACTTTGGTTATACAAATGAGACATGCTGGTATGAAACTGAAGGAGAAAAATCTGAAGATTCCTATGTTGATGCTCTGGGTCACCATTTAGTTGAGGCGCACTGGAAATATTTTACCATTGATGTAAAGAATCAGTATGAGTGTGACAAAGCTTCACATCTTCATTATGAATTCTTGCTCAACAGATGTAGCCCCAAACATTATTTACCAGTACTTTCAGTTTTCAGACAAAGTAGACTAGATAAAGAATGTGGAACCCATGTCTACCCCAAGGTCCCAATCAGGAAAGGAGATTCTAATGCTTGCTGGATTACATTCTTAGGGGCTCATGGTCACTGTGAAGCACACAATGGAAAATACGATCTTTACAACACTGCTGACAAAGAGGATCAATCTAGTCATAACTCCAAACAGAGATGTTTGGCTAGAGCGGACTGGTGGATGAAATATTGTGATACCCCTGTTATTGCAACTTTTGTTCCGGATGAAGTTTCTTCCAACTGGGAACATGATTGGATTATGCATGACAGCCATGGAGGGAGAATGTTTGAAGATTCTGAGGACACTAATAATCATATTAATCCGGATTCCCTCAAACCCCAATCTGCCAAGCCAAGCTCATACAAGTCTGACTACAAATCAATGCCAGCAAAGGTCCCTGACTACCATGATTCTCCAGAATACAGGAAAAGTCTTCACTTGCAAGGAGAGGAGAAGGAAACAGTATTGAAGCAATTAAGGAAGAGATTAGGTATGAGTGGTAAAGCTAGTGGAATCAGCAAAGATGTTATTAACCATCAAGGCGTTGATACTTCAGGTCAACCTTCTGATTCTTCATATAATGGATATAAAGCAGAAGAACAGAAATATGAAGCACCAGAACCTAAATATTCTTCAGAAGCATATTCAGAAGCTCCAACAACTTATGCAGCTCCATATTCCTCAGAGGCTTCATACTCTTCTGAGAAACCATACTCTTCTGAAGCTCCATACTCCTCAGAGGCTCCTTACTCCACAGAAGCTGCATACTCCTCAGAAGCCCCCTATTCATCTGAGGCTCCCTACTCTTCTGAGGCTCCTTACTCCACAGAAGCTGCATACTCCTCAGAGGCCCCCTATTCCTCTGAATCTCCCTACTCTTCTGAAGCTCCCTACTCTTCAGAAGCTCCCTACTCACCTGAAGCACCCTACTCCTCTGGAGCTCCTTACTCTACAGAAGCTCCTTATTCTACAGAAGCTCCATATGCTTCAGAAGCTCCATATTCAGCAGAACCTGTCTACTCCTCTGAAGCTCCGTATTCCTCTGAAGCTCCTTATTCTCCTGAACCTGCCTACTCCTCTGAGGCTCCCTACTCTTCCGAAGCTCCCTACTCCCCAGAAGCTCCATATTCATCAGAAACTCCATACAAAACTGAGGCTCCATATGCAGAACCTAGTGAAGCACCTTATGCAGAAGCCCCTAAGTATGAGGAACCTGCCAAAGACAGCTCTGCTGAGAAGTACAGAAAATAATTTGAAATTATGTAATTCAAGAAAATTTGTAAATTGAAAAATTCTATATAATATTTCTATCATCACTAACACCTTTTTAAATTGGCATGAATTGAATAAATGAAGTATAAATAGCATATAGATAGAAATCATTATTCATTTCTTTAAAGTATTTAAAATTTTTCTGCTATAATATAACAATATACACACAGCCTTAACCAGAAAGATCCGGAATTAATTGACAGTGAATCAGACGACTTTTCATATATATCTTCGGTATTTTTAAGCGCACAACAAAAGCAGACCACATTTTGGAATTGGCAGGCTATTGTTTTATTACAGTTTACATTCATCACAGTTGTAAAATTGAATTGTAAAGTCGTCTGAAATAAGTCTGGGGGAGGGGAGAAATGTGGCTTCTTGGATACTTGAAAGGTACATTCCATTTACCTAACAAGGACTACTTTATCTCTCTTTCAAACAAAACTAGCAGAAAAAACAGCAAATACATTTTTTTATGTCCTTCACTCTTCGGTTTCAGATTTTAAAAGTGTGATAGCTCTGAGTTCTGGGGGGTATGCCCCTCTTGCCCCCCTCTGTATACGCCCTTGAAAGTAGCAATCTCTGTTTGTCTGTTTGTTTGTTAAATTTAGGAAACTTGTTAAAACCACTGCACGGGAATAGTTCAATTGAGTTGCCTGGGTTGACATTTACAGAGAAAGTTTTGTTTCAAGGCAAAGCTGGATTCCAAAGCAATATTTGGCTTTTTTGTTTGTCTGTATCCAATAAGTGTCAAAATGGCTGAACGGATCGGACCCAACATTTTTGTGGCAACTAGCATGACCCCCGGGGAATGTTTATGGTCTGTCAAAATGTAAGATTTTTTCTGGAAAAAATTGACATTTATTAATTGTCAAAAATGCACCAATTTAAACTGAAAAATCGGCAAAATAAAATTTACAATTACTAAGAAACAAATTGCACCTTGAAACGCAACATTTAAATTCTAAATTTGTTAATGAAGAAAGGGGACCCGAAAGTGGGCCGTAAAGTGTCCTTAAAGTCTAGTATATATAATTTTCAAACCAAGCCAAAAATATTCCAGTGGTTCTACCGAGTTCCTCAATCAAAATTTGGGACAATTCGGTCAAGAGGTTATATAGTTATGAACAGACATACAAACAAATAAACACCCAAGCAGAGATTACTACTTTATTTATATAGATATTTTATCTGTTTGAAAATAAAACTTTCCCCATAAAGTCAACCCACTTAAATTAGCATCTTTATACCAAGCTAAAGAGATTTCCGTGGTTTTTCTGCGTTCCAAAATCAAAATTTAAGGCAAATCGGTCAAGGGGTTCCTGAGTTCTGATCATACATACAAACAAACATGGATTACTATTTTTAATATATAGATAATATATATACGTACGTATATAAGATGCAGATAATATGTATTATGTAAAAGGATCCCTTTTTATTTGAAAATTGAAAAATATTTTTACAGTTCCAATAAAGAACTCATAAACGAAAGGTGAGTAAAAGTAGTTAAACTAACATTATCATAAACCTTTTGTAATATAAAACATAAGATTCGCAAAATTACCACGCTGTATAATAATATCTTAACACTTAACATGTTTTACTGGCAGTGACTAAGCCGTTAAACATTACTGCAGTGTTGGGGGGGTTTACAAAATTATGAAACTAGATTGAATAAATTAGATAAAAAGTTAAAAACCGGTTGGTCATTAAATACAGATATACGATAGCTCAGTACTAAGAAAAGAAATTACTAATGCCCGGGAAAATGTGAAGAACAGGTTTAGTTCGGGATTTCTATATTTCATCATGAATTTAAACTAAAGTCAAAACCTATAAAATTAGGGTCCTAGCCAGGCATAGGAGTAGTTCATTCCTGTTCAAGAGTTTAACAATCTCGTGTTCTTTTTTCAAACAGTGTCGCAGAATAATTTATTTGTAGAAATATGAACTTTTTCAATCTTTTGATTTCCCCCTTTCTCCTTTCATCACTTCTTCTCCTTTCTATATCAGCTAGACCAAACCCAGATCTCCCAGTAAATTCCTTCACTACTTTAGCGGATGAAACCTTTAATATTATAGCTGATGGAACTTCTGCTGCTATATCCGATGAAACATTTACTACTATAGCTGATAAAACTTCTACTTCTATGGCAGATGATACCTATACTTTTATGGCTAATGAGACCTCAGCTACTATGGCTGATGAAATCTTTAATATTATAGCTGGTGAAACCTCTACTGCTATATCTGATAAAACCTTAACTACTACAGCTAATGAAACTTCTACTACTATAGCTGATGAAACTTCTACTACCATAGCTGATGAAACCTCTACAACTATAGCTGATGAAACTTCTTTTTTTATAACTGATGGAACTTCTACTACCAGTGCTGATACAACCTCTACTACTATAGCTGATATAACGTCTACTACTATAGCTGATGAAACCTCTACTACTATAGCTGATGAAACCTTTACTACTGTAGCTGATGAAACTTCTACTACTATAGCTGATGAAACTTCTACTACTATAGCTGATGAAACTTCTACTACTACAGCTGATGAAACCTCTACTACTATAGCTGATGAAACCTCTACTACTAGAGCGGATGAAACCTCTACTACTAGAGCGGATGAAACCTCTACTACTAGAGCGGATGAAACCTCTACTACTAGAGCGGATGAAACCTCTACTACTAGAGCGGATGAAACTTCTACTACTACAGCTGATGAAACCTCTACTACTACAGCTGATGAAACCTCTACTACTACAGCTGATGAAACCTCTACTACTACAGCTGATGAAACCTCTACTACTACAGCTGATGAAACCTCTACTACTACAGCTGATGAAACCTCTACTACTACTGCTAATGAAACCTCTACTTCTACAGCTGATGAAACCTCTACTACTACAGCTGATGAAACCTCTACTACTACAGCTGATGAAACCTCTACAAATATTGTAAATGAAAGTATAAGTACGGAGGTTAGGTGCCCTGAAGGTATGACTGGGAGTACAATAAAGCATCCTACCGAGTATAGAATGTACTATACCTGTGTCTGGGGAGCACCTGTACTAATGAGGTGTACTCCTCCTTTAATATTTGATCCTGAACTACAAATCTGTAACTGGGAAAACTTGACTCATATTTCACAATAAGTCTGATAACTCAAGTCAGAACTTTTGTGTTGTAAATCTCGGGATCAATCATCAATATCAATCTTTTGCAGAATTACGGATTAATTTAATTCTTCTCTGATTCTGTCCTGACTTAGGGATAAAGCATTGATTCACAAATTCAAATCAAGCGTTCAAAATTAACGATTCTCAGCACAAAAGTTCCGATTACTGATCAAATTTAAACCAAATATTATTTATTGTCTTTCTTTATGTATTATAGATTTAAGTTGTATACCTTATATTATAATGAATTAAAGCAAAATCATGCATATTTGATGTAAATAATTTTTTTGATTAAATACATTTTTTCTACACGTGCACAATGATAAAGTTTAACAGTCTAATATTAGTGAAGAGAACAAAATATATTTAGGTATTATTTAGGTTATCTTTACTTATGTAATACAGTGGTAGCCGATTATATCAATACAATGAGGACGACTTTTTTATTTAAGTTTTGATGGTTAACAAGCTTTTTTCGAATTACTACAAGTAATCAAAGAGAAACTTTTGTAATCGACAGCTTCTCTTTGTTTTCATGTTTATGTGTATCCAACCATACTCTTTAAAAGTTTGATATAAATCAAAATTTAAATGGAAAGTCGTCTTCATTGTATTGATATATGCGACGACGACTGTACTAAAATTTATAGACAAAAACAATATAAAACCGAGTTTGGTTTTACATTTATAATTAAATATGTCAGCAATTCGTCGTTCAATCCGTGCAAGCCATCTATGTTTATACTTTGCTTGTCTGTCACGGTGTCTGTATGTTTGTATCCAATAAACGACTGAACTTATCTGGCCCAAATTTTTTGTGGGACCTCACATGACACCAGGGAATATCAAAATTGAAGAAAAAGCGCCCTAAAAGACTAGTATTTTTAAATTGAACTAATCTATACCAGCAAAAGGAGTTTAGAAGTAAAGTTGAGATGTGTGAAGTTGAATAATAAAACTAGGGTTAGACCAGACCTATTCATTACTCACACTATCTTTGCGTGATCTAAAGATAACCCGGAGCAAAAATCCTTTTCAATTTTATAAATTAGCAGTCTTTGCAAACCTTACAAAATATATTTAAATCTTTCTTGCTAGCAGGGGCAAATATTTTCACAAATTGTGTTCATTTTTTATCTAAATCTACAAACTATTTTGTGTCTATTTTATTTGAACCAACTGCAAACATTAAGGATTACTCTAACTAGGTTATGATTAAGCTGTTCATAGGAAAATTATGAAAACCTGGCCCAGCATACTTTTTTTTCTTCATGAGGATTGGTATTTTTATTGTGATATTATATTTTCAAAATATTTGAAATCGTCATGTAATAAATATTTTATTTATATCCAACTAGTTTAGGATCAAGATTTTGTATAAATCTAACTAGGTTTATAGGATTAAGATCTGGTATAAATATAACTAGGTTAGTATTAAGCTTTAATATTAATCCAACTAGGTTAGAATTAAGATCTGGTATAAATATAACTATGCTAGTATTAAGCTTTAATATTAATCCAACTAGGTTAGAATTCAGATTTTGTATAAATCCTGTGATAAACACAGTGTCAGGTTCCATAGAAACTTAGCAAATCTGCGTTGTACATTCTCCATAAATCTAAATGCGATTATCACTAAATACGCAAATCTTGTATTGTGATTAACCTAATCTAGATACGTTTATATATATAACTCCCTCAAACCCATAATGTGATTAGCTTAACTACGTTTATATATAGCGACGCAAAACTTGTAGTTACGTCTATTATACTTAATCTGTAATCTAGAATTCAAAATATACTCAGTTGAAACAGGCTCTTGAACGATTACCAAGCAAGAGTAATTTGTTTCTTGTTTAGCGAACAAGAAACCCCTGAGATTGTGTCCGGGTTGAGGCATTGATAGTTTATGAGATCGTGTCCGGGTTGAGGCATTGATAGTTTTTGAGATAGTGTCCGGGTTGGGGCATTGAAAGTTTATGAGATTGTGTCCGAGTTGAGGCATTGATAGTTTATGAGATCGTGTCCAGTTGAGGCAAAAGTTTATGATATCATGTCCGAGTTGAGGCATTGATAGTTTATAAAATCGTGTTCGAGTTGAGGCATTGATAGTTTATAAAATCGTGTCCGAGTTGAGGAAAATATAGTATAAAAAATCGTGTCCGAGTTGAGGCATTGATAGTTTACAAGATTGTGTCCAAGTTGAGACATTTATAGTTAAAGATTTGACATTGATAGTAAAGTGAGATTGAGTTATACCTGGATTGATACGGGTTTGAGAAACCCTTATGGAGTAGGGAATTTACTACAATCCTACGAGCTTATGATTAAGATTTTGTATAAATCCAACTAGTTTAGGATTAAGATTTGTGTAAATCTAACTAGGATAGGATTGAGATTTTATGTAAATATAACTAGGTTATACTAAAGATTTTGTGAAAATTCCAACTAGGTTAGGATTAAGATTTTGTGTATATGTAACTAGGTTACGATTAAGACTTTGTGTATATGTAACTTGATTAGGGTTAAGATTTTGTATAAATCCAACTAGGTTAGGATTAAGATTTTTTGTAAAAACAACTAGGTTAGGATTAAGATTATGTAAATTTATCTAAGTTAGGAGTAAGAACTTGTTTTAATTTATCTAGGTTAGGAGTGAGAATTTGTTTAAATCTATCTAGGTTAAGATTAAGATTTTTTATAAATCTATTTAGGTTAGGATTAATATTTTGTATAAATGTAACTAGGTTAAGATTAAGATTTTGCATAAATCTAACTAGGCAGGATTAAGATTTAAGATAAATCTAAATGGTTTTAAAGGATTAAAATTTTAAATGAATATAAGTTTACGGAGTTATCTTTAATTATTTTTTCATTTAATCCACACCCCCCAGAGGGGCTTGATCTTAGCTACCTGTTATCTGTTCTCTTTAATCATGGTTCATCCAATATACTCTGTTTCTTAGCTACCTGTCCGTGTGTATTAGCCCAAGTGTATACTTCGGACAGTTTACTGATCAAGGATATCAAGAGATTATGGCCTTATTCATACAGTATAAACATCAAATATGCAGTACGCTTTCGGAGTAAAAGTGTATTTTGGTTTTGTATCTTGAACTTTACTCGTTTTCTCAGAACAGTTTATTATTGATGAAATATTGCTCTGTAAAAGACTGTAATATTACGTCTTCCTGTGAAAATGTAATCCTGCACACGATAAAGGTGTAGAGGATTTCAATAGTTTAGGAAAACAAATTCTCCTGACTAAATGTTTTCAGAAATCCAAGGTTATAATGCAAGGAAAGTTAATCGCAGTTGCGCACATTTTGAAACCATGGTTCTCTCTGGGCGGAATTTGTAAACAAGAATAGATGCATCAGTTTTCGTTTAATATCCGTGGAGGATAAAAGCATTAAATTTTGATAATTTTAATAATTCACATAATAGTTTCCTTTGACCAGAATATTTCATTACATTTTTATGTGATAGATGGATCTTATGTGAGGCAGTGACATCCGACTTGTGTTTACATTACCGCCCAGAGACAGTACACTGCAGTAAAAAAGATGAGTAATCCACTGAAATAACTTTCCTTGCATTAGAACCTTGCAGAAATCACCCCCAAGTACTGTAATATATAGATTGACCTTTGGAAGCGGAGTACCATTGCCTGTACAACTAGGAAAGGATTAGCGTACATCATCACCAGGATCATCACTTTATATCAACAAAAACATATAAAAGAGAGTTTATGTTTCATTGTTTAAATTGTGATTGAAATTCAGAGCTTGCTGGGATAAATCTGTTAAATCTGTATGATGTCTAGGTTAGGATTAAGTTAAAGAATACTGAATTAGGATTAAGTTTTAGAATACTGAATTAGGATTAAGTTTTAGAATGCTGAATTAGGATTGAGTTTTAGAATACTGAATTAGGATTGAGTTTTAGAATACTGAATTAGGATTAAGTTTTAGAATACTGAATTAAGATTAAGTTTTAGAATACTGAATTAGGATTAAGTTTTAGAATACTGAATTAGGATAAGTTTAAGAATACTGAATTAGGATTAAGATTTATAAGACAAATTAAACTTTAACCACTTGTTTAGGATAATAATTAAACATTAATAAAAGAAATGAACGGTCCAAAATTATTCTTTCTCAGCAAAAGGGGGCGGGGGCAGCGGACCAACTTTTTTGCAAAAACTACACTGCAATCTCTGGTTCGTTCATTGGCTTCAGGGTAAACACTGTCCTCCTGTATTTTATACAAGATAGAGTTGAGTGATGGATTCTCAGAAATCAAGATATTATCAGTAGACAGAATAAACCTAGACCTGGAACCAAAGAGAATAGAATATATATTAGAGTGGAATTTAGAAATCCTTCGATATGAATTTTTTCAGTCCCTTTCAGCCTGAAAGGGAGTTCAATCATGTAAATGTTCACTAATTATATGCAGTACATTAATACAGTATGTTTCCTAGATAATCCATTTCAATTTCGAATTTTTTAAAGCTGTTCAATAAACTTGATAAAATGAATTAGGTGAATAAAAAACATCAATTGATTTATAGTTATAACGGAAAATCATCGTTTGTAAAGTGAAAGGCATAAAGTCTATGTGAAATGATCATTGGTCAATTATGAAACCAGCCTATTTCATAATTTGGTTTTCGCTTAACATTAATTTTAGATTTTCTATAAAATGATGTTCCAGGGCCCAAGAGGTTATATAGCACAAATATGTGAATTACACCTGCAGTATGGGAACAGTACAACAAAATGGCCGTTTCACACTTTTTTCTAGTAAATTCCACTCTAATATATATTTTTATTCTCTTTGCCTGAAACACAGTTTTAACAGCAAAACTGTCTACAGATTCGGAACATGGCTAAAATTTTGATATTGTTAATTCGTCCAATCCCCACTCTTTTTCTCTTTAATCATGGTTCGTCCAATATCCTCTGTTTCTCTTTAATCATGGTTTGTCCAATATACTCTGTTTCTCTTTAATCATGGTTCGTCCAATATACTCTGTTTCTCTTTAATCATTGTTCTTCCAATATTATCTGTTTCTCTTTAATCATGGTTTGTCTAATATTCTCTTTTTCTCTTTAAACATGGTTCGTCCAATATCCTCTGTTTCTCTTTAATCATGGTTCGTCCAATAAACTCTGGTACTCTTTAATCATGGTTCGTCCAATATCCTCTGTTCGTCTTTAATCATGGTTCGTCCAATATACTCTGTTTCTCTTTAATCATGGTTCGTCCAATATACTCTGTTTCTCTTTAATCATGGTTCGTCCAATATCCTCTGTTTTTCTTTAATCATGGTTCGTCTGATATCTGTTTCTCTTTAATCATGGTTCGTCCAATATACTCTGTTTCTCTTTAATCATGGTTCGTCTGATATTCTCTTTTTCTCTTTAATCATGGTTTGTCCAATATACTCTGTTTCTCTTTAATCATGGTTCGTTCAATATCCTCTGTTTTTCTTTAATCATGGTTCGTCTGATATTCTCTGCTCGTCTTTAATCATGGTTCGTCTGATATTCTCTGTTCGTCTTTGATCATGGTTTGTCCAATATACTCTTTTTCTCTTTAATCATGGTTCGTCCAATATCCTCTGTTTTTCTTTAATCATGGTTCGTCTGATATCCTCTGTTCGTCTTTAATCATGGTTCGTCTGATTTTCTCTGTTCGTCTTTAATCATGGTTTGTCCAATATACTCTGTTTCTCTTTAATCATGGTTCGTCTGATTTTCTCTGTTCGTCTTTAATCATGGTTTGTCCAATATACTCTGTTTCTCTTTAATCATGGTTCGTCTAATATTCTCTGTTTTTCTTTAATCATGGTTCGTCCAATATTCTCTTTTTTTCTTTAATCATGGTTCGTCCAATATACTCTGTTTCTCTTTAATCATGGTTCGTCTAATGTTCTCTGTTTTTCTTTAATCATGGTTCGTCCAATATACTCTGTTTCTCTTTAATCATGGTTCGTCTGATATACTCTTTTTCTCTTTAATCATGGTTCGTCCAATATTCTCTGTTCGTCTTTAATCATGGTTCGTCTGATATTCTCTGTTCGTCTTTAATCATGGTTCGTCCAATATACTCTGTTTCTCTTTAATCATGGTTCGTCCAATATACTCTGTTTCTCTTTAATCATGGTTCGTCTAATACTCTCTGTTTTTCTTTAATCATGGTTCGTCCAATATACTCTGTTTCTCTTTAATCATGGTTCGTCTAATATCCTCTGTTTTTCTTTAATCATGGTTTGTCCAATATCCTCTGTTTCTCTTTAATCATGGTTCGTCCAATATCCTCTGTTCGTCTTTAATCATGGTTCTTCCAATATACTCTGTTTCTCTTTGATCCTTGAAACTTCGCTCTCCTGTTTTACGAGATATAATTTAATGCATTAAATGAAAAATTTAGTTTTATTAACAGTTATTGTACTGATTTGATAAAAATATAAATAAATAAATATAAAGAGATACATTGTTTGGATGGGATTGGTGCTATGTTTATCAAGTATCTTATACTGAATGATGATGAGAAATTCTTTGAAAGTTAAAAATAATGCCAGGAATTGTTGTTGAATAATGCCCAACCAGGATATAAGTAATTAAAAGTAATATCACTTTACAAAATGAATGTATGACTATATAAGAACATGGTTATCAGAAGGGCCTAAAGTACTGCTGGGGCATATTTTATGGTGCAGGTTTGGCAAGTATTGCATAGATACAGCTTACACGGAGACGAATATATTTTTCTCTAACCCTAGAAATATAAAATGTGAACTTTGGATGAAAAATAATTATGGATTCATTGATTTTCAAAATGTTTAAAATTTAGATAATAAAAGTATACCTTCGAAAAGGCGAAATATCCAGGACCTCATAGAGCATAGTAGGATGCAGGTTCAGGATCTGCAGATTCAGAATATCCAGGTCCTCCAGGAGCATAGTAGGATGCAGGTTCAGGATCCGCTGATTCAGAATATCCTGGTCCTCCTGGAGCATAGTAGGATTCAGGTTCAGGATCTGCAGATTCAGAATATCCTGGTCCTCCTGGAGCATAGTAGGCTGCAGGTTCAGGGTCCGCAGAGTCACTGAATCCTGGTCCTCCTGGAGCATAGTAGGATGCAGGTTCAGGATCTGCAGATTCAGAATATCCAGGTCCTCTTGGAGCATAGTAAGATACAGGTTCAGGATCTGCAGATTCAGAATATCCTGGTCCTCCAGGAGCATAGTAGGATGCAGGTTCAGGATCCGCAGATTCAGAATATCCTGGTCCTCCTGGAGTATAGTTAGATGCAGGTTCAGGGTCCGCAGATTCAGAATATCCTGGTCCTCCTGGAGCATAGTAAGATGCAGGTTCAGGGTCCGCAGATTCACTGTATCCAGGTCCTCCTGGAGCATAGTAGGCTGCAGGTTCAGGGTCCGCAGATTCACTGTATCCTGGTCCTCCTGGAGCATAATAGGATGCAGGTTCAGGATCCGCAGATTCACTGTATCCAGGTCCTCCTGGAGCATAGTAGGATACAGGTTCAGGATCCGCAGATTCAGAATATCCAGGTCCTCCAGGAGCATAGTAGGATGCAGGTTCAGGATCCGCAGATTCAGAATATCCTGGTCCTCCAGGAGCATAGTAAGATACAGATTCAATGTATCCAGGTCCTCTTGGAGCATAGTAAGATGCAGGTTCAGGATCTGCAGTTTCAGAATAATCAGGTACTCCTGGAGGGTAGTAAGATGCAGGTTCAGGATCTGCATATTTAAAATATCTTGGTCCTCCCGGAGAATAGTAGGATGCAGGTTCAAGATCAGCTGATTCAGAATATTCAGGTCCACCCGGAGCATAGTAGGATGTAGGTTCAGGATCTGCGGATTCAGAATATCCAGTTCCTCCAATAGCATAGAAGGATGTTGGTTTAGTGGTGGTGTCATTATAACTTGTTGTATCTGTATCTGTTAAGTTGGATGGGGTAATTGTATTAATATTTATTGGTTTGTATCCAATCTCGCCTTCTGGGACATCGCCTATTTTGGATACACTGCTGGTTCCACCTGAAGTATCCAGGTGGGACCCCAGACCATATCCGGAGAGAGGAGACTCCCCAAGGTTGGATCCCTCTGTATTGTGTTGAGCTGGGAGTTGGCTGCTCAGGGATGGATTTAATGCAGAACCAGTTTCCTAAACATATTCAGTCATTAATTAAAGGGGCAAAGAGTAGTTTTAGGACAAAAAAAGAATCCTATGTGTATATCAGATAAAAAGAATCCTATGTGTATATCAGATAAAAAGAATCCTATGTGTATATCAGATACTAATCATAAATATCGAAAAGTGTTGGAAAAAGGATTTTTTTTTGTTTTCTATGAAAGCGTATTACTGTATGTAAATTGTTTGAAATTCACAATTGTCACTAGACCTTTACAAGTATATGCAAGTTGACCCCAACCTGAGTATCCTTGACTGGGAGATAAGGTAGGTTGGAACTAGGGAGGATTGAAGAATATATCCTTTCCTTGTTAATGAAGATTTGGTTGTTGAGACTGTAGAACTCCGGGCTCATCTCACAGCTCACACTGTTGCTCCAATCACAGACAAAATGCTGCTGATTAAACAAGGACGGTTCGGGGCAGAGAAATGTTGCGTTATTACCATTAGATTCACAATAGTGGAAAATCTAAAAGAAAAATGTATTAACACCTAGGGGAACTATTTGTATGGAGTGGAAACCAGAAAACTATTGGATTCTTTGTCCTTTTATGAAAGGATTAGGTAATATGTAATTGTTAACACACATATAAATGCAAAAACAACAAAAATCTTGCTGAAAATGAAAGATGAAAATGAAAGATGAAAATGAAAGATGAAAATGAAAGATGAAAATGAAAGATGAAAATGAAAGATGAAAATGAAAGATGAAAATGAAAGCTGAAAATGAAAGATGAAAATGAAAGATGAAAATGAAAGCTGAAAATGAAAGATGAAAATGAAAGATGAAAATGATTTCTTGTTCCCTTCAAAATGAAGTAAGAAAGAAACCGAATTTGCCCAATTTTTTTACCAATGCTCATAGAAAACAATTCTAGAAATTCTATATCACAATTAATTTTTCGTTACCTGTCCCATATACGTCCCAAATATATATACCTTGCAACCTGACTCCACATCTGCATATATACCCGGATACGCCTGCTCAGCACATCTAAACCTTGTCAAGGGTAGAGGATTAGGTCCAGGTACATGGTATCTTGGTCCTACAGGAGCTACAGAAGCTACGGAAGCTACAGGAGCTAAAGATGCTACAGGAGCTGCGGGAGCTAAAGGAGCTTCGGGGGCTACAGAACCTACTGGACCCAATGTAGCCAATACATGCGGTCCATTTAGGTTTGATGCTACACAGCTTCTCAACAACTTAAAATAAAAACTGCATTCTTAAAGGAACTATACTCGTTATTTAAACGTCTCTCCATTTACAGAATGGGATATACAATTTACAACAGTACCCTAAGAACTCTTAAAACAAGTCTGAATAGATATCCATGTTTTTAAACTGTCTTAATTTTTTTTTGAAAAAGTAACTTGCTTCAAAAACAATGAAGAAATTAACAGAAATAAACACTTTACGAGCCAAACCAAGCACGTTTTTATTAACATGTTTGATCAGATTAAGGTTTCAAGAATTAAGGTTTCAAGATTAAGGTTTCAAGATTGAGGTTTCAAGATTAAGGTTTCAAGATTAAGGTTTCAAGATTAAGGTTTCAAGATTAAGGTTTCAAGATTAAGGTTTCAAGATTATGGTTTCTAGATTAAGGTTTCAAGATTAATGTTTCAAGATTAAGGTTTCAAGATTATGGTTTCAAGATTAAGGTTTCAAGATTAATGTTTCAAGATTAAGGTTTCAAGATTATGGTTTCAAGATTGAGGTTATAAGATTAAGGTTTCAAGATTAATGTTTCAAGATTATGGTTTCTAGATTAAGGTTTCAAGATAAGATTATGGTTTCAAGATTAAGGTTTCAAGATTAAGGTTTCAAGATTAAGGTTTCAAGATTAAGGTTTCAAGATTAAGGTTTCAAGAGTACCTTTGAATTTGGCATGTATCTCTTTATAAGTAGAGCCACATACATTACAACAACAATCACTTATTAGGATTGTTACAATTTTTGAAAGCGATTTGACACTTTTTTCGTTTTTGGGACAGAGAAACAAAGTTCTCCTATCGTCCACTAAACACTGAGTTCGACTACACTAGACCGGTAAATGTTTTTTTTATAATTAAATTAACTACTTCATAAAAATAGGCCTTTTTCCTGCTTTCTAAAGCAACAGAGATAACATTTTGGAAGTGTTAGGAATTGGTTAAGAATAAGAGTATTAAATGATTATTGTTTCAAGAATCATACTTGTAAAAATATGTTGAAGAATGAATGCCGCAAATCATTACGAAGATCAAAGACGACCTGTAAATAGTTCCTCAACTGTATTGTTTAGGGGGACACTCTGTACGAAGAAACATCACGATAAAAACCGGGGAGGGGGGTGAATATTTTTCAAAGACCGGAGAGGCGAATTGTTGTTTTAATTTCCAGGAATGAAAATGAAATAAATCTGTAATATCTGAAATATATAAAAGACCGTTGATTTTTCTTTTTTTTAATATTGCAATTATAGAAAGTCATGTTTAGCAAGGAAAGTACGACGTGGAAGACGACATTTGTTTGATTTACAATTTCTGAAACTGAGAACTGTGTAGATAATTCACGTTAATTATTTTGTAAATCTAATTCCTGTTCCGTCAATGTGTTTGTTAACAGAATCTCCCTGGTTCCAAGTTTCAAGTTTTTTTTGCGCATTTTCAAAATTTTCCAAAAAGAAACACAAATTTTTAAAATTTTGATCATTCATAGACCTTCCCTGGGGTGACGTGAGGTCCCACAAAAAATTTGGGCCCGATCGGTTCAGCCGTTTTGACGTTTATTGGATACAAACAGACAAACAAACAAACAGACAAGCTAAATTTATATATAGACTGCTAACCTGGGATATCAGGATACAGAAGAGGGTTGATGTCCACATCCTGAATATTAAGTATTTAGTAAATATTTTTTTAAGATCTAAATGTTTATTAATGATACATACATATTATAGATTTATCAAACGTAAATGTTTGATATACATAGATTATAATTACTAGTCAAGTGAATATCATTTTTAATTTTCTTAGTTTAGAACATTATTAGTTACTGATGAGAAGGTTATAGTCTCCTTCCCATTCTCAGCTTCCAGAACCATCTTGGCCCATATCCCAGCTCCTCTGCACTTATTATATAACTGTAGGATAACAGGGAAAGTATTTATCCCTGCCATCGTGAAAGTTTTGTGGATCACATTTCATAGACGTTGTTGTCCCTCTCAGTGTCGGTAAATATTACATTTATAAGAAAAAAGTTCGCATTTTACGATTTTTGAACTTTCCAAAATGTGTTTAAAATATCATAGAAATGAATGAACTACAAGGTGAGTATGAAAGGAAATATTCTTAAAGGGACTATAAGCGTAATTTAAAGTGACCCATCAAGCATATTTGGTAATGCCCGATTTGCATCGGTACTTTTCTGATCAAAAATGTTGTTTTTCTTATTTTTTCTCCATTATTTCTTGCAAGCAAGAAATGAAGTCACGTTGCAGAGAAACCACAAAAATAAGAAACTGTTTAAGCAAACAAAAAACATGGATATCTAATTCATACTTTTGCAGACAAAGCTTTTCAGGGTACCGTTGTGAATCAGGCATTACCATCCTTGCATAAAAGGTCACTTAAAATTAAACTTACAGTCCCTTTAGATTAGGTTATTTCAAAAATACTGCCTTTTTTGTTGCAACATTAAGAATATATAATAATAAGAATTTTGACTATAATAACATAACAAAATACCAAATATTACAAGGTTAGATCAAAAACTAAGTATGATGAAATTAAAATATCAAGAATTATCATGTCTTCATGAGACCCACTTTATATAGAATAAAGAATATTTAGACAAAAAAAAAAGAATTTATTGATCAAAGGATTGCTTGGATGATAAAAAAAGTCACTCATTGTAACAGTTTTGATAACAACTCCTTATAATTATTGCAGTTTAAATATAAGATTTATACCTATCAAAATGATTATATAATATAGGACTTTAGGATCAATATTAATACTAGTATCTAATATAAGAGAACGCTAATGAATTGATACAGTGTGGTGCTTGAGTTAAAGGTATATGCTTGATTAGCCGTCCCACCACAATTTGAAGCGTTAATATTGGGTGAAAAATTATATATATTATTTCGATAAATGATATTTTTCCCACAGTGCACTTTTTATACAGTTTATTTTATAGATTCGATATTGAAGAACAAATCTCAGTTTAAAATATATAATAACGAACCCGCTCATGACAAATTTTAAAATTATGTTTTTAAGTTTAAGGATTTAAAGTTCAAACGTATTTTTGGCTGCATAGCTTGTTTGATTTTTTTTCCTATATTATCCAGTTTCCTTGATCAAATTTGATTTTCCTGTAATGAAGGATAATCCGCAGACATGTTCCGACCTCAAATCAAATACTTATTTTCAGTGAATTAAAAAAAAGATTTTTTGCACGAGTCTGCAGATCAAATTTTGCACGAGTCTGCAGATCAAATTTTGCACGAGTCTGCAGATCAAATTTTGCACGAGTCTACAGATAAAATTTAGCACGAGTCTGAAGATAAAATTTTTCACGAGTCTGCAGATCAAATTTAGCACGAGTCTGCAGATAAAATTTTGCACGAGTCTCCAGATAAAATTTTGCACGAGTCTCCAGATAAAATGGCCGGAAATATTGAGGATTATCATTAAACTAAACTATGCGGTTTCTAAAGCAAACCCTAATAATTTTACGATTACTATAGGACAAACTGGAAACAATGGCATTAATTTGCAAACACAATTCTGCACACAATTCTGCACACAATTCAAATTCTTTTGCATTATGAATAAACTTAAAAGTAGATGTATACTATCATTATACTATTGTTTTCATATTTACGTATACATACACATATACATATATATATATATATACTTTTTGTGTTTGAACTTAAAATGAAAAGAACTCTACCCGATTCTACTTTTTGATCAGTTCAGAAATAGATTATCCAAGTGAAAGGGATTGTTAGCGTTTTTTAGGTGACCCGGCCCTGTGTTTGGATATCTGCGGTACCAGAATTAGGAATTCCTCGAAAACAATCATTTCTTGCTCTTTAGCTCCTTTTATTTGCATGTCTTCTGTCTTTTTTGTATAATAATTGTCCAGTATGATGGCTTTTTGCGTACAATTTCCATTTGATTAAAGAATTTTTCTACGCAAAAGTAAAACTGGCAATTATTGAATTTTAATTTTGATATCAGCTACAGTGATGACCAGAAAACTCTGAAATGGAAAGACGACTTTATAGCAATCCTTAATTGTATTTGATGGTGTTACAAAACAAATTGTCTTACTAGACACTTATTAAATCATTAATTAAGTGAAATGGGTCGGCTTAAACTGTACAATTGCTGCGTACCATGCTTATTGGACCATTTATAGTCATATCCTCAGTCTGGGAGTCGTCTTCACATTTCAGAATTTTCTGGTTATCACTGTACCCCGCATGTAAGTATATGTATCACTGTAAACTCCGGTTTATTTAAAGCATACCGTACCGTACCGACTCTTAGGAAACTAGGGCAAGTATCCAATGACATACAGACTATAGACGACTAAACGGAATAAATCATCTCCTTCTTGTGAGATTATTGTGACCACCTACTCTAAAAGCTGCATGATCCGAACCGGTACAACATGAACTGTATATGCATTCAGTCGGACTGTCCAGTCTGGACTACCAAGTGAATGACCCGGCCCGTTTTATGCAACAAATGTAGTCTGTATTAAGATCACTGTGATATATATATATTTATATATATATATATACTGTGAATACCTTAATAAAGAATACATCGGAAGAATTTATCAAATGTCGTCTTGACAATTTTTCAATGAGTTTTATACTATATTACGTAAATTTCAGTATTTGCGAAAATAAATAAATAGCCATGAAAATGCGGGAACAGTTTTAAAGAGTTCCATATAATCATTTAATTAAAAATCTAAATATCTGCAACATTCCATCATCAGAAAGTGAAGAAGACGACATTTGATGAATTCTTTCGTTGTATTCGTTATTATGGGTTTTACTATATATAAATGTACACATGTATATATATATCTGGAAAAAGATTTCATCAACTAAAAAGTAATTAAAATAACAAAGACAATTCTTCTAAAAAACACTAAATTAATCTCCTGTTGCGAAAACAAGGAAACATTAAAACTATATTTACAATTTCATCCAAATATTTTTATGAACATTTAATTAAAAGTCCGTGCACAATGCACATTATAGTAGAATCAAATAGTATATCTAAAAAAAAAGGGAGTGACCGGCAAAAAAGAGACAACGTATTATTGTTGGAGGCACTCTAAAGATATTGCGTCTAAAATAGTATATAAATTTCATTCAAAAATTCTATTCTTAAAGTTATTAATAATAAAATAAAAAAGTAATGAAAATAACTTTTTAACAGAAGTTTGATTCCTGAAACGTGTTTTCTCTTCAAATCTGTTGAACTTCATGCAAAGATGGCAATGCCCGTATTGCAACGGTAAACCCTTTAAACAGGCACAATTCTTAAAGAGAGGAGAGGGGGGAGTTACTATGAACTAGACAGAAAGAGACGGTCAAAGGAATTGAGTCTTTGTAACAAACTCTGGTATTCTAATCCCATATCTTTTCAACACAGTGCTGTAGACCTTTGATATTTCAAACTATGAAATACGTTAGATTAAATGATCCAAGTATGAAATATCAAAGGTTTACACCAAACGGTTGCAGAGATATAGGGATTAGAAAATTTGAGTTTGTGGCAAAAACTCCTTTACACAACATCGTTAAATTACTGGTTAGACGTAAAACTAGATTAAAGAATTCCATGTTTACATTGTAAATGGTAAATCTGCTAAATTCAATTCAAATCTAAAAGTGCATTGTTTGTAATGCGTGGCATCCCTTGTATGTAAGCATTGAATAAAATAATAGATAAACATTTCAGGTTAGGTTGATAATTAAAGATGAATAAACATATATATGAAGGAACTGAGTTTTTGCCACAAAATCTGATTGCTAATCCTTATACCTTTGTAACTTAATTTTGTAGCACAGCTGTCCTGGGATAACCCCAGGTAAAACAATAACTTTTTCAAAATAATAAGAAAAAATTTATTCTTAAAAATCAGGAAGCCTAGAAAGATATTACACTTTTTGTAAAGTATTTGAGAAAAGACAAAGTAAAAATGAAAGAAGCCCTCTTTTGGGCTCTCAATACGGGGAAATGCTCTGTTAGATCAAATGATATAAGTTTGAAATATCAAAGATGATTACCATCAGGTTGTGCAGTTTTATGGATTAGAAAACTCAGTTTTTTTTTTTACCTGAAATCGTTTCTGTAGCACAGTAGTAGCACGTTCTAACCCAGCTACAATTTAAATATATGAGCTAGTGCATGTAATAGTCAATTCTTGTTTATCAGTAAAACAAGTTAAGGTTTTTAAAATTATTTTATGTAGAACCTTTTCTTACAACTTTTCCCTCAAACGAAGTTTGGGTTCTCAATAGATTTAAAATTATATTTATGTATAAACCCCCTTAACAAACCATTTAAATCCTTATTTTGATTTTTTTTTAGTTTTTCAATTATGTTTTTTTATTGTTTCGTGTGTAGGTAAAATATAACAGTGGGATACAAGATAGGTCAATTATAAAAAATAAAGAAAAATAGTAGGTTGGTTTTAGACAAAGAAGACACTAAAGAGGATCAATTTTAATAAATACATAAGAAGTAAAATCAAAATGTGCCTGATTTTAATAAACGTTAATAAACAAATATAGGCAAAATTTACACTGACTAAAGTGCCTTGTCCAGACATAGTACAAAACACAAATTTTGATTAGAAAAAATATTTACAAAATATCGCTCCGAAAATATTTACAAAATATCGCTCCGAAAAAAAAGTTTTTTTTGGAAACAATTAAAAAATTAAAAATTTACAAACACATGAGGAAGTTGTTTTCAGAAAATACATCCCATCTAGGTATCAATCAGTAGATTGATAAAAGTAGCCAAGGCAGACAAGGTAGACAAGGTAGACAAGGTAGACAAGGTAGACAATGTAGACAATGTAGACAGGGTAGACATGGTAAACAAGGTAGACAAGGTAGACAAGGTAGACAAGGTAGACAAGGTAGACAAGGTAGACAAGGTAGACAAGGTAGACAAGGTAGACA